TTAGTAAATAACAGTGAAAGTGTCTTGTCAACACAACAACAGCCCCAATTCTTTTCATGTTTAAGTTTGTAGCTTGAAATAAAGTGTGTTACGAAGGTAGGGAAGGGGTCAACTCAGCTAGGGCCAGAGTAAAGGGTATAGAAAGCCCTGATCAGTCCATTTTCATCTAATCTCTTTGCAAGGGTGGCAACCTAGCCAACCCCGACTCTTGGTAAAACATAGACATCTGGATGAAAATCGTAAGGCAATCCCCTTCCTAAACAGAATGTAAAAAGCTTGCTATTTTTCCCATTGGTCACATGATTACATGCAAATAAGATGTTGAATGCAATGTCTACTGAAGCATTACTACGAATGTATTGAATTCTTTTGCAGTATTCACAAGTTGTTCAAGTGAAATGAAGTCATTCAAATACCAATATCCAGAAATGAATTCTTTAATGCAAGTACTAAGACCGATTTATATTCCACAATTGCCACTAGAGTCGAGATAATTATCTGCTAAATGTAGAATGTTAACTGTATTTAAGACTTTTATTGTTACATTAATGTAAGTAACATCATTTAAGAAAAAGATAGGATAGAGTATTATTCTTGTCCTTGTATTGAAGTAAAAACTAAAATGTTATAAGTTCTAAGATGAATGTTTGGAACATAGGTTTCTTTACATCTGTTGCACAATCTTACTATCCTATGCCTTGTTAACATTGTAGCCAGCCGTCAATAGCCTGGAGAACCAGAATTATGAGCCCCTACCGAAGTAAATCCGATTAAAACGCTAGTCCCCTATTTATAGAAATTGAAGCTCCTCAAGAAGGTAAGATCATTCTATTTAGCCGGCAAAGTCGTAGTCGTAGCAACTGCAATCTAATGAGGTATGAATGGTCGAATCTCAAGAGCTTATGGATAATGGTAAAGAATGTCAATTATATGCGAGAGAGTGTGTGTTATTGTCAACATTGCAAGGATTTCTAGTGAAGATCGAACATATGCATGGAGAAACGGATTTAATTATCGTCTCACTAGCTTTTTTATGAAAAACACTCAATATTTTCCAAATCTGAACTAGAAAACGATTTTGATGAAATATAGGTGATATCAAAATTGAAGTGAAACCATATAGAAAATAAGTTATTACAAATATTAATTGGATAGTGTAGGAGAAAGTAGTAAAACATGTTGATTGACGTAACTGATGAGAAATAAAAGTTAACTAGAAGCTTGGGGAAGTCAATATGTTTCTCTGCCGTCCGTCGGATATTTTCTCCATCTCCCCACGCGAAAAGGTGACGTTAAACACACCGCCCCAAAGAATCTAAAAGAGTTAAGATTAGACAATACTATGCTCCTTGTCGACTAGACCGTGTACCGCTCAATGGTACTCAGGATATCGGGCCCAGGCTCTCTCTCTCGACCAGACTTTATAAAAGCCAATGTTAGACGGGATGTTGGACCCAGTGTCTCTCTCTACCTCTCCACTAGACCTTTTAGTCACTACCTTTCTCTCTATCTTCCTAGCATAAAAGGGTGGGCAGGAAAGGTAAGAAGGATTCACAGACCATAACATATCGTGACGAGCATAACATAACATTCGTCGGACCCTTCTTTGTTGAGCGGCATGGCTGCTCGGAGCAGTGGTCATTTATTCTCCCTCCTCCTGAGCATCATAGCTTCTCTTCCTTCTCCCTCCCACTCCGGTGAGATCGCCGTCTACTGAGGAACAGCGAGGGGACGCTCACGCAGACCTGTGCAACTGGCCGGTACAACCTCGTCATCATCGGCTTCCTCAGCCAACTCGGCAAAGGCCGGCCTGCCAAGCTCACCCTCGCCGGCCGCTGCGATCCTGCCTCCGGCGGCTGCGCCCGTGTCAGCAACGGGATCCATGCCTGCCAGGGTCGGGGCATCAATGTCCTCCTCTCCATCGGCGGCGGCGACGGGAGCTACGACCTATCCTCAGCCCATGATGCCCAGCAGGTGGCCAACTACCTGTGGAACAGTTTCCTTGGTGGGCAGTCCAACTCCCGCCCACTCGGCGACGCGGCGCTGGACGGCATCGACTTCGACATCGAGCAGGGCCGTGGCCTTCACTAAGGCCAGTTCGGACAGGCGCTCAAGGACCTCGCCAACCAGGCAGGGAAGACGGTGTTGCTATCCGCCGCGCCTTAATGCCCTTTCCGGACCAGTAAATCGGCAAAGCCATCAACACTGGAATCTTCAACTTCGTCTGGGTCCAGTTTTACAACAACCAACCATGCGAATACTCCAACGGGGACACCAGCAGGCTCACTTAGCCACTATTGAACCTACCTGCTAAGGCTTTCAACTTGTCATCCTTTTAGATTCGGAATTCAATACTTGCTGGTGGTGTCATTCATATTTCGTATTTTTCAGGTATTTCTTTATTGGGGCTCCCGATTTATCGTCATTTAGGTTCTCAGTTCAAATCTTGCACTCTAATATTTTGTCAATTTCCAAATAATTCTCATTGAGGCTTTCAACTTGTTACTATACATTTTTCTAGTTCAGGTCCCGCTAGTGACTTGAATATTTCATCACATGCATTGGCACTAGATCTTTAATACTTAAGAATTCTAGGATGCTGCACTTGTTTCGACATACAAATATCTCAGAGATTAACTCTTTAGATTCATTTATGAGCAATAGGATCATATCAGCATCATCATTATACATGTTGAATAATTCTTGGAAATATAGAACTTTTAGCTCTCACGAACATCATTGAATATGTAGTAAATATTTAATAAATAAGTTTTTACTTGTAGTACATTTCTTGAATTTTAATAGTGAACTCCTCACATTTATTCCATCATTCATCACCTTTTCTTAAATTACCACTTCAAATGTAATTTAGATTTTATTAGAAATTTAATTTAATAAAAAGTCAAAATAGAATAAACAAAGTGCAAAAAATGCCACAAGTTACTTTTTAAAAGGAGAATACAATTGAAAATAGTTCAAAGGATTTAAATCATGAACTTGTGATAGATAAGCCAAGAAGTTATGCAAAAAATTTCGTATTGCAGCAAAACTTTATTCATCTCTAGTACTGGGGAAACAAAAGTCCATTGGGAATGGAGCTAAATTACCTATGACGTTCTATGTGAGAAAATTATACAAAAAACTATGTAATGCTCTTAAAGTGACAAATTTAAATGCCAATGAGATTTTAAATGTCATGATTTTAGAAATGTTGCGGCATATTTTATTTAAAAATCTGATAAAATCTTAAAACATACTACATAAATGGAAGTCGAAATTATGAGATGATGATTTAAATGCCAAAAAAATTGGTTACAATGTTCATTGAAACTAATGACACATTATTACAAACTGTTTGAATGCTTTTAAAGTAGTCACAAGGTGCTCAAGAGAAATGAAGTCATTAAAACATCAATATCCAAAACTAATGAGATAGTATACCCTATGACATGGTATGGAACTTTAAAGATCTATTTCTATTCCTCTATTGGTTTTAGAGTTTGCTAAATGTACAATGTTAACTGCGTTGGTAGATTTTGACTGTCACATTAATGTAAATTTTCATTGAAGAAAAGGGAGAAGATAGAATATTCTGTTTTTTTATCCTTGTCAATAAAATGAAGTGAAAAAAATGCATGACACCCTTTTACCTGCGTCTGCTACAACCTGTAATCGGGCTCAAGACGAAAGTTAGACAAGTATCTTTCTTCTTTAACATAGACAACCATAATTATGAGCTCTCATCATAGGAATTCCAATTCAAACGCCCAGTCGCCACATTTAATGAACGTGCAGTTGTTGAAAAGTCAAGATCTTTAGTTACATCAACTGTGGATCTAATTGCACACGGCGACAGTTTTCTGCCCATTCCTCCGACTTAGCGTGTGCGCCATGTCCTGCAGTGAGCAAGCGTAGCATCCTTGCCCTCCGAAAGTCGCCCATTCCGTCAAGTTATGAGTAGTCCATTCACAAAAGCATGGAATGAGGGTTTTGTTTGATATGGGTTTAAGTAATATAGTGAATATCTTCAAATAAAATGCTCACAAGCTCTAACCTGCCACTTGGCAACGTGGTTATTTATATTTTCCATGTTAATGCCAATATTGCAAATGCTTCTAGTGAAGGTCAGCGATTTGCATGTAGAAACGGGCTTGCTTATTGTTTTACTAACCTTTAGGAAAAAAACTCATTGTTTTCCAAATCTGAGCTAAAAAGACACTGCTGATGGAATACAGGTGTCATATTTCAACTGAAGTGAGACTATGAAATATAAGTTATTAGAACCATTAATGAAAAATTCTAGGAAATGTTACGCCTGTGTTTAGAAAGTAGTAGTTCAACATGTGGGGTTACATTAACTTCTGAAGTTTAAGGACTAGCTAGAGGCTTAAGGTCCATATGTTTCTCTGTGGTCACCCGAGATTTCCTCCGACGTCTTCCCGCCGGAAAAGGTTTTCTTAAACACACCGCCGCCCAGAATCTAGAAGAATGAAAGATTATATAAGACTTCAGACTGTCTGTCTGTCTCTCGGTCGCTGTTTCTTGACCAGACCTTATATCGTTCAATGGTGCTCAGCATATCGGCCCAACTCTCTCTCTCTCTCTCTCTCTCTCTCAACTAGACCTTTTAGTTACATCTTCATGTCTTTTCCCCTTTATAAAGGACTTTTCTCTCTCTCTCTCTCTCTCTCTCTCTCTCTCTCTCTCGCTAGATATATATATATATATATATATATATATATATATATATATATATAAATATGTATACGTCGCTCTCTCTCGACCAGACCTCATACTGTTCAATGGTGCTGAGCGTATCCGTCCCACGCTCTCTCTCCATCTCACGCTCGATCTTGATCAGACTTTATAGCAGTCAACGTTAGTCGAGATGTCTTTCACCTTATTATAAAAGGGTGGGCAGGGAGAACGAGAAGGATTGAGAAAGCATAACATAGCGTGAGAAGCAGGCCAGTTCCTCCATGCCTTCTTTGTTGAGCGGCATGGCTGGTCGGAGTAGCGGCCGTTTATTCTTCATCCTTCTGAGCCTCATGGCTTCTCTTCCTTCTCCCTCCCACTCCGGTGAGATCGCCGTCTACTGGGGACAAGGGGACGATAACAACGAGGGAACCCTGACGCAGACCTGCGCAACCGGCAGGTACAACTACATCCTCATTGGCTTCCTCAGCCAATTCGGTAAGGGCCAGCCTGCCAAGCTCAACCTCGCCGGCCACTGCGATCCTGCCTCCGGCGGCTGCGCCAGAGTCAGCAACGGCATCCGCGCCTGCCAGGGCCGGGGCATCAAGGTTCTCCTCTCCATCGGCGGTGGTGCGGGCAGCTACGACCTCTCCTCATCCGATGATGCCCAGCAAGTGGCCAACTACCTGTGGAACAATTTCCTTGGTGGGCAGTCCAACTCCCGCCCACTCGGTGACGCGGCGCTGGACGGCATCGACTTCGACATCGAGCAGGGCGCTGGACTGCACTACGGCCAGCTCGGACAGGCGCTCAAGAACCTCGCCAACCAGGCAGGGAAGACGGTGTTGCTATCCGCCGCGCCTCAGTGTCCTTTTCCGGACCAGTACATCGGCAAAGCAATCAACACTGGAATCTTCGACTTCGTCTGGGTCCAGTTCTACAACAACCAACCATGCGAGTACTCCAACGGGGACATCAGCAGGCTAACGGCGTCATGGTTTAACAGCTGGGCCAACATCCCCGCCGGCAAAGTTTTCCTGGGTCTTCCCGCTGGCATCGCCGCTGCCAGCAGCGGCTACATCCCGAAGGAGGTGCTCATTTCCCAGGTTCTACCGGCGATCAAGCGCGCTCCCAAGTACGGGGGCATCATGCTGTGGAGCAAGCAGTACGACGACAAAAGCGGGTACAGTGAAGCCGTCAAGGGCAGCGTTTAACACCGGAGGAAGACGACGACTAGACCTGCCGATGGGGTGTTCCTTTTTCCGTCACGACTAGGATATAAATAAAACCAGGTCTGCCGCATCGCCGCAGCTGTCATCTAGCTTGCTTTGAATTAAGTTTGTTTGCCGGCATGTTCTTCATTATAGGAGAAAATTACGTGAAATCAGATTGACGTTCGTTTTGGGTCCATGAAAATCAAGTGAGAACGATCAATGGAAACAATCAGAGTGTCAAATCTGGCTTAACTACACTGGATACGATATACTGGTTTAAAAAGTCGCTTACAACCCAACAGCTTGTGTAAAGGTTATAAACTGACGATGTACGGACGTAGCGAGAAATGTTTTCGAATAATCACAATTTTAAATCAATGAAGTATGCGCAATGAGAAGTTGATATTCATGATTTTATATTCGGAAATACATTGAGATGACTAAACGTTTATACATGTGATCTTCATCTTTGAGATGTGTCAAAGGATACGATGAATATTTGAGATTTTTAGAATTTTGTTTTGATAATAGTAAGTAGAAAAGTCTCAAATCATCATTTATTTTGGGCATAGTTTTCTAAGGTGATGTTCTAAGTGAGTAGAGGTTCTCAATGACTATCATACCAGCTCCAAACAACAATGAAGGAAGTTCAGATCATACTAATATTGAAATAATGACATTTAAGTGAAAATATTGTGAAAAGAGTTGACACTTAAAATGAATAAGATATAGTATGAAGAGAATGAAATGACTTTGTTGGCAAGATAGAGTATATAGAAGTCTTAATACTCACAGGGGTAAAGGTATCACTTTAAAGATGAGATGGCCTTAATATATAGATGTCTTAATACTCACAGGACATTTAATATTAGATAGAGATGGCCTTAAATTAACTCACATCATTTTCTATTATCATAATCAATTTGCTCAAGTTTTAAGAAATTGATCTATTGTTAACAAAATTATACCAGAAACGAGCTGTTGCTCTTATTCTAGAAGAATAGCGTTTTCCTCCATCATGGGTAACCATTTTGCATAATCTCCGGACGGTACCAGAAGCAGTAGTCTGCCGCTCGACGACGCTGCGCATCCTCGCCGGACGGTCCGCGGAATCCTAGCCTCCCTCTGTTTCACCCTCTGGTTTACGCCCACCATCCCACACTTAGCCCAAGCGGGAGCTTTAGAAGACCCCGGGGAGGAGAATCGGACATAACCCGCCGGCGTGGTCCGTAATAGGGCTGCATGGCGTTCCGCCGAGGCCCATCCTCTCAGTAGTGCAGGTAAATCCCAGACTCGTCCCTGTAAAACCACGGTAAACCATCGGGTCGGCCCATGCAATTGCTGAACAAGAAGAATGGTCAAGAATAGAAACGGACCCCAGTTCCCCCCGAATCCTTTTACAGTAGTACGCGTAGGGCGGAAGCCCGAAAATACCATGTAAGATATATTCTATGAAAGGTACTGGGTTATTTAACCTAAAATTAACGAAGTTTAGACTGGAATAAGAATGTTTTCTTATGGAAGGTTTACTTTCGCCGTAACCATCATGGTTATTAACAACTCGCCTTACTGCTCAAGTTCACATTCGTGTGAATCACATAATGAATGGGTGTGGGCGGTCCAAGAGCCTCATCATCCTTATTAAAATGTTCCAGTCATTGGCCCCTCCAACTAAAAATCAGTTCGCAAAAAAAATAAAATTGAATCCAACTCAAAGCATAGTTAATCGATGATTTTTTTTAACTAATTTTTAATTTCAGCGTAATTTCCACGGATGCGACCACAAACACTAGGAACTGAACTTAAATACAGCAGTTTAGGGGGACTGACGCCCACGTTGACCTTAGCCAGATAATTATATGGGTCGTCTTGGGTTTGACGTAGGATGGGACGCTAACAGGGGAAAATGATGCTGGCCATGTTGCCCGTCACAGAAAGGACACAGGTTCTACCAGAAGGGTTCCCATTTTCCGCGTAGAGGCCAAAGACCGGTCGTTGAAATATTCCGCCTTTCACAACCAGGGATCGTTTTTGACTCCGGACTGATGAACTAAATACTAAGGTCTCACCAAAAATTCTTCTCTCTCTATCTCTATCTTCATCTGCCGTCCACGCTCCCCCTTATATCTTTTATGCAACGCCGAAGGAGATGCAACCGCTGGATGATCTCTAAGAGCACCGACGCCCTTTCTAGAAACCTGTCCCCGGAAGTCGCAAAAGTTATCCGACTGTTAGATATATATCCCAATCACGTTTCTCTCTCTCTCTTTCTCTCTCTCTCTCTCTCGCCTTAGGTTCTACGTGATATCTTGACTCCAAAGTCTCGTGGACTAGATAGCAGCAATGGATCCCTCCTTGACGTCACATTCTCTCACTCTCACGGTCTATAAATCGAGGGACGGGAGAACCCATGAAAACAAGGCAACACCCATAAGCATGTTCCAAGCGACTGTCTTCTCCCTCCCCAACTGCATGGCTTCTCTGAATAATACCCGACTTTTCCTACTCTTCGGCTTTGCCTTCATGCTATCCCTGGCTTCGCAGGCCCACGGGGGACAGATTGCCGTCTACTGGGGACAGGGGAACAATAAAAACGAGGGAACCCTCAGGCAGACCTGCGAAACCGGCAGGTACAGCTACGTCATCATCGCCTTCCTCAACGAGTTCGGCGAGGGCCGGGCCCCCAAACTCAACCTCGCCGGTCACTGCGATCCTGCCTCCGGCGGCTGCATCAGTGTCAGCGACGGTATCCGCGCCTGCCAGGGCCGAGGCATCAAGGTGCTCCTCTCCATCGGTGGCGGCGTGGGCAGCTATGGCCTCTCCAACCCCAACGACGCCCAGCAGGTAGCCAGCTACCTATGGAACAACTTCCTCGGCGGACAATCCAACTTCCGCCCTCTCGGCAATGCCGCGCTTGACGGCATTGACTTCGACATCGAGCAAGGCTCTGACGTTTTCTACGGCGACCTCGGACGGGCGCTCAAGAACCTCGGCCAACAAGCCGGGAAGACGGTGTTGCTATCCGCCGCGCCTCAGTGCCCCTTCCCGGACCGGTTCCTCGGTAGAGCCATCAACACTGGAGTCTTTGACTTCGTCTGGGTGCAGTTCTACAATAACCCACCGTGCCAGTACTCGAACGGGGACACCAGCAGGCTCAGGACGGCATGGTCAAACAACTGGGCCAACATCCCCACCGGCAAGGTGTTCCTGGGGCTTCCCGCTGCCCCCGCGGCTGCAGGCAGCGGCTTCCTCCCGCCCCAGGTGCTGATCTCCCAGGTTCTTCCAGCGATCAAATCTTCTCCCAAGTACGGGGGTATAATGCTGTGGAACAAGCTGTTCGACGACGTTACCGGATACAGTAACGCCGTCAAGGGCAGCGTTTGACGAGGGGGGAAACGACGGGATCTTCCCCTCTTTAAGATTAAATCTAGTGAGGAGCCAGGGGATGGAACTTGCGACCGCGTCAACAGCGTACCGGCCGGAGCCCATTTAGGAGCGGTTTTCTCTATTATTAAGTCCGTCTTTTGTGTTGTTTATGAACTCTATAAATAATCTCCTAATCTTATTATGTAGGCAGAGAATAATTTTCGAGAAAGGCTTTCCTGTTTGTTACTCCGTGATGGAGAGGCTGTGAAGGCCGTGCATCACCGCTCCGTGAGAGAAAGATCGAGAGACCATCATCTATCTTCTCTCCTCCTACCTTCGCCACCCACACTTTATTCAATCTCCGCCGCCGCCTCACCCTTTCTTCCCTCCTCACCATCACCATTCGCTGACACCATTTCAACCTCCTATCAATACCTTACGACGTCTTCGTTATTATCTCTGCGTCTTAACGCCTAACCCTTTATCTCCACAACCGCTGCCAACCTCACACCTTAACCACCATCAGCCCAAACTCCGCCTACATCCGTTCCACTCATCCTGCTGTCTCTCCGTTCCCTCCGCCTTGCACGACTCAGTCATGTTTTTCCTCCCTTTATTATTGTCAGTCAGTTAAGCTTAAGTCCTGGTTCACTGAAACGAATCGCTGGACTGAGTCAGAGGCTATTGATCATCGAGGAAGACAGCCAACTATCCGCCAAGCAACATTCAGCTTCTGCCCTCAAGCCATCATCAAACCGTCGTCTGCTTCCGCATCAGGGTTATTTCTAAACTCTCTATCTTTCCATTTATGAGCTATTTGTTCTTCTAGTATATTTTCTTGCAATATTGTTGCGGAGTGATCCTAGATAGGTTCCCTGAAGATATAGTTGGTGGATAGAGTAAGAGAGAGAACCCACTTGATTCGTACAATTCAATTTATTGACTGTAGTAGCACCCTAATCTCTATGAATTCTTTAATTGCGTCGATCCAATCCTTTCCAATTCTTGCGGGATTACTCGGATCTAACTTATTTAATCCCTCTAGATTTCATAAGTCTGCTGTGAGAGTCATGAATAGTTTGTTAGTCTAAGTTAATAAAGTCTGTCATCATTTTGTCCCACAACAAAATCCTAGCACGAACGGATGAGTCGCATCGCCACGCTAATAATCAAGTCGTGGAAGGAGTGTTAGTACTTATTATGGAAATAAAGCATAGTTTGTTAGTACTTTACCTGTCTGGGACGATGCCAACACATCCCAAGTCTGTGTCTCTCTTTCTCTCTCTCTCTCTCTCTCTCTCTCTCTCTCTCTCTCTCTCTCTCTCTCTCGCTTGCTCGCTCGTTGTACCAATCTGCACAATGGATCAGACTGCGTTAGTTATCAATCTGCGGTCGGCTAGTATGGGACTGAGTTCCCGACCAACCTGGTCCATTGACACTTCAGAGCATTACTGAACTTTTGTGACCGGCTTTAATAGTAAGAAATTACGATGCCTGATAATGATGAGATCAATACTTTCATTCACTCACTTTAAAGGCATTTACTATCAGAGATGGCCTTAATATTAACTCGCATCATTTTCTGTTATCATAATCTATTTACTCATATTTTAAGAAATTGATCTAGAAGAATAGCGTTTTCTATCAGAGATGGCCTTAAAATCTTAAGAAATTTTAAGAACATTATACCGGAACCGAGCTATTGCTCTTATTCTAGAAGAATAGCGTTTTCCTTCATTGTACGTAACCTTTTTGTATAAATGGGTCATTTAACGAAGTTTAGAATGGAATAAGCATGTTTTCTTATGGAAGGTTTACTTTCGCCGTAATCATCAAGGTTCTTAACAGCTCGCCTTATCGTTCAAGCTCACATTTGTGTGAACGTCGTAATGGGTGCGCGCGGTCCAAGAGCCTCCATCATTGTTATCAAAATGTTCGAGTTATTGGGCCTTCTATCTAGATATCAGTTCGCAAAAAACTGAGTACGACCATCCTTAGACTCGCTCATCTAATTATAGAAACTACTAGTATGCGATGACTATCATACATTCATGTCCCACCTCTATTTCATTATACCTAGTTTCATTCTTGTAGACTTTGACTTATTCCTGAAAATTTTCCACAACTAAGTTGATAGGATATTATATGAATATTGGTATCTTCCTAGCAATGGCCAGATAACATCATGAACGTTGCAATTTTTTTAAGAACCTGACCTCAGCAGATTCAAAACACGTCATGGATTGTTTAACAACGATAAAGGTAATAAAAGCTTGAATAATTTATAAATAAGTTAAAATTTAATCTCCACAAATTAAGAAAAACATAAATATTTTCATACAATAATCCTATTTCTATATAAGGTATAATAATCCACGTGACATGTGCATTGCCCTATTAAATTTATAAATACGTCAAAGAACTAAGATCCACAAAGGAAAGAAAACATAAATATATTTGCATTGTAATCTTATTTCTATATGAGTATAATAATATTAGGTGAAATGTCTATTTTCTCATCAACTAAGGAACATTTACCAAACTTTTTAGCTTCTTTTGCCAAGTAGATTGTTATTTCTTTCCTAAGCCCAAAGTAAGCAGTCAGGGATAAGTATAATATTTCATTTGTTTGAGTATTAAATCAATAATATTTTGATAATAAAAGCCACACATAAGACTAATTAGAGGTTCGAATTGTGCTTATTAATTATAATGCTTGAAAAATGAATATATTGTTTTATACAGGAATATGAATATAATTAAATATAATTCATGTTAAATTAAAGTTCGTGCTTTTAAATATTCGAATAAGAATTTGAGGAATACGTTGGAGTCTCATAGTGTTGAATTCTGGAATTATATCCCTCAAAAATATTAATTTACATATCGATGTAGAATTATTCATATTTACATAAATTAAAATAATAGGAAATTAGTGATTAGTGCATCACGCAATGATAATCCTTACTGAAAATATGATTTTGATAGCTTACCCCATCTACTAGATGTTCGTGATTTTAAATCATTACTTTTTATTATTCTTGATATCAGATTAATTGACTGAATTCAAACCATTCATACTACCGCACATGATTTTATAAATATTAATGAAAATTATTTCAAAAATAATTTGAACAATCATATTTTCCCTCTGCTATGATATTATATATTGAGATCAGGAATTCATGCGTCTATTTAAATTTTTTATTTATCTGAGGTAAATCATATAATTTTTGAATGAGCAATCGTATCTTCATTTGAGGCTATATTATTACTTCTATTTCAATTATAGCAGACTACTACCATAGCTCCCCAAAACCTTCAACAAGAACTCCGTCTTTAAAGGCTTAAACTTTATTTTCCTTCATTCTTCTCATTGATTTCTTGATCTTTCTCTTCGTCCCTTCCTACTCGGATGTGAGTGGCATGGAGGATAGTGTTCTTCTTCTCTTTGTTGGGAAGAAGATCAAGAACATCAATCTAAATAAAAGGAATCGTCCTTGTTCTTCTCCTCTTCAAGTTTTCTCTCAATCAATTGTCCAAGAAGAAGATGGAGATTAGAGTTAGGGTTAGGGCGAGATGGTAGTTTTTATATTTTGTTTATCTTCTTATTGGGCTGAGAAAAGTGCCATGAATAAAATGGACCGATTGCTCTAGTTATCCTGGATCCAATTCGCACTCTTTAGTTTTAGGCTTCATAAAAATTTTATTTCTCAAGGGTATTGCACACATCAATTCTAAGCACCCAAATGTCCTCATTTAATATAATTATGTAAATACATAGAATCACATTTATGTCTTTTCATATTCATGGAAATGTCTCATCTATTTTCAAATTGCTATGATTAGAATCAAGACATTTAAATATTAAATTAATCACTTAATTTATAGAACTTGATAATGAAAATTTAGGGAAATTACTACTTTTTTCAAAGAAAAAATCATCTTTATAATATATTTCGTATTTTAAAATATAGATTTTTGGTATTTTGATCTCACAAGCTGTAATTTACTAGCAAACCGTTATAGATTTGGCCTTTGGGGGTATAAAAATATATAAACATGTGTAAGGGCTTTGTGGATATTTAAATCTCGGAGGTATTTTCTTTATACTTCACTACAGGAAAGAAATATTTAGTTAGCTTAGACCTTCTACCCTCGTCTGCAGCCCTTCCGACCCTCTGCTGCAAATGCAAGCGGTTCTCGCGGAAGCTCCCTGCAGTTTCGGCCGCATCCGTCAGTAAGAACTCGAAAGCGACGAACCCTAGTTTGTGTTTATCGTCGCCCAGAAGGAATCCTTCCGACTTCCGACTCCCAGGTTTCAGCTGAAGTCACTAGGGTTCGAGGGCTGGTAATTCATGTCGAAGAGGAAATTCGGATTCGAAGGCTTCGGCATCAGCCGGCCCGCCACCTACAGCTTCGAGCGCTCCCAGGCTCCGCAGCGCCTCTACGTACCTCCCTCCTCCCGCGGCGGTGGCGTTCATGACAACTACGAGGACAACGATGTTGACGAGATTGAATACGAGTCCGATGGCGCCGAGGGCCATCCGTCGAAGAGTGGGGGTGCGGACGATGGCGAGATCGATCCCCTAGATGCGTTTATGCAGGGAATTCAGGAGGAGATGCAGCGGGCGCCTTCGACCTCCGTCGATGATAAGAAGGACAAGGGAGACAGATTCCATGAGGACAGATTCCTCTCGCTCTCTCTCTCTCTCTCTCTCTCTCGCTCTCTCTCTCTCTCTCTCTCTCTCTCTCTACACACACATGTGGACAGAAAGATGTGAGAGCCTATTTTCAGTTGCGCACTTAAAAGTAGGTAGTCTAACCTTTAACATTAAATGCAGAACTTGCTTGCTGACACTGAAAGATTGTTCATGGCAATACTAAACAGACAGGAAATATTAGCCCATGGAAAGAGATGGGAATGGGGAAAGCAAATACCAATGTGGAGAAAGAAACATCAAGATGGAGAGACATTGATGAACCCTAATACACAAACTCAACTTAGCGTGGAGTATAAGGAGTTGAGAACTCTTACTTCTACTATCAACGTTCTTGGCTAGAATTAGGAAACACATGTTTTCTTGGACACAACAAAACTGCCATGTTCATATTTGTATTGAGTTGGTATGAGCTCCAAGAAGCATGGACGACAAAACATTCAGAATCTGTTGGCAAGTAGGGTTTTCCGAGACTGACCAACCCCAAAACTGTACCTGCCCAACAAGGAGACTTCATGGAGGGGCAAAGGGATGGTGTGGAAATAGAATACAGAAGGGCACATGCGGCTAGTCACTACTAGACACAATCGAATATGAAACAAGCCATCATAGGAGATTTAAGAACATGGGATGACGTTTGGAGATGGATGAAGGAAAGCTACCAGGCATAGTCTCGGTGGATCAGTTTGCCTGCTTTCAAGATGTCCGGTACCGATGTCTCCGCATGTTCCTCGCGTTTGCGGAATTTGAGTCGGAAAGGAACTTTACCACGTTGATCACAGCATGCAGCCGGTCCCATATGTTCAAGCCATAGAGAGCCTCAACCAGAGATTCTTGGAACTGGAAGGCATTGTCTGCAACCGGGTACTGCAGAGAAGAGGAATAGTGAGAAGTAGAAGAGAAGATTTGTGCTAAACGATCAGCATAATGGGTTTAATAGAATCTCAGACTCTGATCGGCGTACCCTCAGAGGTGGTGGTATGATAGTTTTGACGAATGGCCACCACCTATCCTCAACCACGGACTTCACCAGGCAGCAGGCTCGAAGTCCTTCTACACCCGCAAATCTTCCAAACCCACTGTGTTTCACACCACCAAATGGTAGAGACTGCACAAAGGAAGTTTGAAGCTTAGGCACGGATCGTGGTGCAACAGAAATAAGAAGGCTTCTATGAGGCAGTATTGAAGCTTTAACTAAGCTTGAAATCAGCCTAATCAACTGGTTAAGAGTGTAGACAAAGGAGAATCACAAGTGAAACTTTTATGAATCCACAAGCTGCTCTCTATGGAAGATTTGTTTTTTTGTTTTCTGGTTCGCCATTATTTTGTATGATCGCACATAAATCTATAAAATATCTCCATTCCTGGAAGAAAGTTAATCATGAGCACGATACTTCAAGTAGTTAGCATTTACCAGCTGGACGTCGTAAAGTTTCCATTTCAACAAAAGCTTCTTGTCAAGGAATAAAAAGATAAATAGTTTGAAACCAAAACATGACATATATGTATTAATACTCCCATCCTGGATGTAAAATGCTACTTTATAAGTAAGAACGTTAGCAAATAACGGTAGCATATAGCGTACCTGACACATGTAAGTTGATGCAAAATCATTGATTGCAGCGACCCCACAGTGCAACTGAGAAGCAATCTCCCTTGCACGCCTCTGGTTGCCAGAAAAAACAGCGCAGCCAAGTCCATAGTTTGAGTCATTTGCAAGATTGACAGCTTCTTCATCGGAGCTAAACTTCATTATTGGAAGGATTGGTCCAAAAGCCTGCAGTGTTATCATATTTCAACAACAGAAAAAAGATCAATATAACTGGGATTACATCAGGGAATGAAAAGAGGCTTGCCAAACTCGGAGAGGCACCTCTTCTTGCATTATTCTCATGGTGTGATTAACTTCCGTGAGAACTGTGGGTGGGAAGAACTGATCGACTGCGTCTTCTCCCAGGTTGCCAAAACTTCCTCTGACAGCAATTTTGGCACCTTTGTCTAGAGCATCATTTACAAGGCTTTGCAGTTTTTCCGCATGCCCTTGCATACATATAGCTCCCATGTCATACTTCCCAGCCAGTGGCGGGCCCTAATCGAAAGATGACATTTTTTTAACGTATGAGAAAGTAAAGTTGTCCATCATTGCTTGAGATAGCAAAAGAGAGGGAATGGAACAAGAACAAAAAAAAAGAATTAGAGCAAAGGTTAAAAATATATGCACAAGAACAGTTGGAGTGGAACCTAAAGACTCATTGACGATAGCAGAATTAAACATATTTATTCAGCAATTACACTAATTCGGAATGTCTTTTGAAATCAATTTTCATAGGTAAATGAGCATGTCACTAGACGATATAAATAAAGTAGGTCTTCTCTGCCTTAAACAAGCCAGTTGAAGTACAGGCAACTTTTACGCCAAGCTTAATATTTGCGCCTAAATCGCTAGGGCATCATACTTGTTGGGATTCAGGATTATGTATGGTGTTTTTGGAAACAATAGAAAACTGTGTCCAGCGGACAAAGAACATGAAACTTTGAGCACCACAAGATTCAACGGTGACGCAAAATATTATGTGCTGATGAGATGACAGAGACAACGATATTGTTCATTGCAGATTGTCAGTCCTTTTCTAATCTTTATTTGGAACTGGACTGTTGAAAAGGCAAAAATGCATTCTAGCATCAGAAAGAAGACCAAATCCACGCACCATATGGGCCATGTTGAGCCCAATTTTTTTTATCACTTCCAGCTCATTATTCTTTACACAAAAATCCATACATGATAATGTATAGCATATTTACTGTACAGTAACTTAATTTGGGGACGGTAGTAGAATAAGTCAGGATATCACTCACAACAGAAATAGACTTCACGATTTTTACTATCTGAGCAAGGAAAGCAGAGTAAATATCCTTGTGAACATAAAATCTCTCAGCACCAGCACAGTTTTGCCCGCTGGATTGAAGAGCAGCCCTAACAGCAATGTTGGCAACCTGGACATGGAAATTGTTTTCTCAGATACTGACACATGCATCCTAAGGGTAAATTTTCTGCTTAGTTCCGAGAAACAGGAACAACGCATTAATTTGAACACATAAAGAGAGAAAAGCCAGGAGATACATACATGAGAAACATCAACATCTTCACACACAATGAATGCATCTTTTCCACCAAGCTCAAGCGTAACAGGAACCAGTGTCTCTGCAGCATTCCTCATTATCTGCAGCAAAAAATGGCAAGAATGAGATCAACGTAATAATAAGAGAAACTCGTTAACTTATTCAGTGATCAGAACGCTAGGTTGATTCCCAAGAAGAGAAGATGAGTTCTGGATATTTACTCCCATCTTTATCAAACCCATGAAAAGCTGTAAAAAATGGGAAAGTATACACTTCACACTGGTAAACATAAAATCATGGTCAACAAGGATCGATAGAAATTACTAAAAGGCGAAAATGAAATCAACCGGCCTTGGTCAAGTTTTACATTCTAAATGATTCAAGAGAAAATCATCATCAAAGAACATAAATGTAAAAGGTTCGTTGAAGGCCTCATGATGAATGCTTAATCAGAGAGATTTAGTCATCTGTATGACCCAAGAGGAACTTACCATCTTGCCAACACCAGGTGATCCAACAAATATGACTTTGTCAACTGAAGAGACAAGGGCTTGTCCAGTTTCAGCAAATCTAATAAAGAAAAATTATACAGTTACAAAACAAAAAAAGTATACTCTTCATTTAGGAAACTAGAAATAAACAGTCAAAAAAAATTGAATTTTAGCTGATGGACCTAGCAATAATTAAAGAGCCAAATGCAATAGTTACCCTGTTATCACGTGGACCAAATTATCTGGAGCTCCTACAGCAGCAAGGGCAGTTCGAATGATACGCAGGTAGAAACAACCAGACCAGCTAGCATGCTCTGAAACCTGCACAAACACAACAATTTAAAAAAATGATAATAAAAAAAGGGCATGTGTAATGAAATGGTTTAAAAGATAAACTGATCTTCAAAGTAAAACAAAAGTCCTCCTCCCCCCCCCCCTTGAATGGAGGTGGCCATCCCTGACTCATGGGTGTTATTCCTAAGTCTTAACGAAATAAAATCCGTTGAGAACATGGAAGTCGTGGATGATATCAAGGCTCACAACGGTTTATACTAAAAAAGCCACTAAACATAGTTTTCTCATTCGAGTTTAAAACACCCCCCTCGAGTATATTTCCTTTCACGTCAACATATGTACGAAGCTAGGGAACTCTAGTCGCCCATAGCATATCAATGAAACAGCTTAGATACCTTAATCACCACTCCATTCCCTGAGAATACAGCAGCTAGTATGGGATTTAAAATATTGTGAAATGGATAATTCCAAGAGACAATTGCTCCAATGACACCAAGCGGATAAAACTCCACCCTAGCTCTCTTGTGCAGCATTGATCTACCTGTACATCTGAAATCGTAGATTACATGAGATAAAACAGCCATTGATCCACATATAACTAGAATATCTAACTAGTCAGGACAGATAAAGACATCAAACATTTTCTTTCATTCAAGGGTATCCACTGCCATAAAGGTGTTCATAGTAGATCAAGATAAAAGTTTAACATCTCAAATTCGCAGAAAATTAATATAATCTTCTCTTCACAAACTATCAGCAGAAATTCTTCGACTGAACAATAAGGAAAGCACCACTTTTTATTCTATCACAGTCATATAGTTACTGAAATATTCCAATTAATGCATGAGCGAATCTAAGCAGTTTCTTTATGATAAATTGGACATTATTTTTGGCAAATCACTTTATCAACGAAAATATACCAGAGATGTGACAACAAACCCAAGAAAAAACACCACAAGAGAAGAAGAAACTTCTAGATTATCATCTTACAACGGTTTTGAGAAAAGGGGAATAGTATATGGCAAGCATAAACTAGGGTAACATTGAGAAGCCAAATTTAAAGCAAACCTGTATTCAGGCTTTAACCACCGCTCACCCTTTGCTAGAAGCCAGGTAATCTTCTCACATGTTGTCATTATCTCTCCCAGAGAAGCATCAATCATTGTCTTCCCAGTATCTCTAGAGGAGACCCTAAAGTATGAAATTCAAGATATCAAGATTAAAAACTGACAGAAACAGCTCTTAAATTACTAGACTATCATGAGTTGTTCCGCTTTTTCCATGTTGAAAATGATGAAGCTAGATAATTTCTGGAATAACTGAGATCTTTTGAGCATTTATTGTCATCCGAGGGTTCCACTACCATTTGGCTTGTAGATGCATAAAGTTGGCCATTTACTTAAGCAAAAGTTTCTGATATGTAGTTTCACATACAGATTCTCCTCCTATGGAAGAAGAATAGAGGAACAATCCTAATATTACCTTTCCTTTAGAGTGAACAATCCTTCTGTAAGAAAAGAAGGATACCATGCTATTCAAAAAAATCTTTTCCTACAGATGTGAACACCAGTGAATAAGAGCAAGGGAAAGCTGGCACCTGTTCTTTAGTAATGGGATGAGCAACACAAAAGATAAAGCGAGATTAGAAATAGGATCCAGTGTTCGATCAGATGCAGGATGGAAGGAAAAAGTTTGTCAATGTCTTCCCACGCAGGAGGTAAAAAATGAAGAGTGTTTGTTCCTCTAGGTCATTGAAAAAAATCATTAATGAAATTGGGCAAAGTCAACAAGATGTATGACAATTTTCGTAACAAAAGCTTCCAACATGGAATGGCACTGATCTGCATCTTAAGAAAGTATATGATTTAATCAAAAAGAATATTTAAAAGGAAGTTATCGCAAGGCAAGATCAGAAGCTGTCCATGATTCTCGATAACAATGCCTAAAAGCAATAAAAGTTGAACTCAATCTGGAAAATTAAGGTAATTTTCCACAAAGATGAAAGAAAGAAACTAAACATCTAACTGCAACTAAAATATTATACAAACAGAGCGAATCCTTACTCGCATATAAGCTCTTGATGTTCAATAATATATTTCAAAAGTATACGCAAGAATTGTCGCCTTTGTCTGAAGGTACTCTTCCCCCAAATTTTCTGGGCCTTTCGTGCTTGTTCCACATGTTCCTTCACCTGAGATATATTTAGTTTTGAATACAACTTAGGAATTATATAATAAATGTGGACGCAACAATTCAGACAGTTTTAACATTTCTATTGAGAGATAACAGGTTGGTGTTGAAGAGAGAAAAAGGGGATGGTCAGAAAATTGCAATCCAATTGCATCAGCTTGCAGGTTGCAGTCTCAGAACAGTAATTTTAGAGAAAATTTAAATCCCAAACATAATACCAGGTAATATTGGTTCCGCTCCTCAAGATGATAACTTGATTAAGAAATAACTAATCTTTTTCAAGAATTCATCATATTCACAGTGAATTGTAGCACCGCAGATCAGAAACTTTTATTGGAGATTAGTTTTACCCAATTTCCAACTGTACAATAGAAGTTTTACACCTGAAAAAGGATGAATCCATGGAAGTAAAATGAAGAAAGCCTTACTATACTCCCTCTCACATCCATAAATGCCAAAAAGTAGCATGCTTATGCGAAAAGAAAGAAAGAAATGAAAAACAAATGCGAGAACGATGGAAATAAAGTCAGGGACGGGAAATCGGCAACAGCAAAGTTAGAAAAGGACACGAAAGTTTATGAATTGGCAAGTAGATCGCTCATAGAGTATTATTTTCAAATCATTTACTCGTCATTTATATTTGCATATATACATATATGAAGAAATCAAATACCAAGAGCAAAGTGAATAAATTATCTGATTGCACTATCATTCACGATCTAAAGATGGACACAATGACATCTCCAACCAAAGGTTGCAAATGTAATCAGACAATTAAAAATGGGCTTCGAATATATCGAGTCAGCACTATTAAAAACCTCTGAAAAATTAATTTCATTGGAGACGAGATGGCATTCAGACATGTATTAAGGTGACATTTTTAAAGAACGAGGTGAATAGACGTATGTGCTCTCGACAAATGAATACTGCGACATTATTAGCACAAACCTCATCAGGTGTCAAAGCAGGAAAATGTCCCAGGTACTTCATTGTTGCAGGCTCATAACATCGGACTTTGTCAGATTGAGGAACCCCACCCTTCCTCGGAATCTGCCATTCAAAAGTTACAAGAATTTTACAATACAACCACCAACGGACCGAGACCATTCATTCAAGAGGTTGGCAGCGAAGACGGAACTTTTAAAAAAGTTTTAAACAGGGTGATATTCCTAGGACAAGCTAGGCAACTCTGCTGCAGAACAAGTGGTCAGAATGTTGACTCGACAGCGAAGACCTCGCAAAACCGAAACAATAGTGTAAGGGAATCCAAATGCTGACATAAATATCGGCAACGTTGAACAGCTACACAGCTGTCGAAATCAACGTCCTCGGTGAAAATTATTCGCAAAATATCATTCGTAGGACCGTTGGGAAAAAGGTCAGAAAGCAGCAACGCTGCAGACACGTACGTAGATGTAGCTATTCTCCTTCGTCTGGCTCCCGTCATCCATCACTGCCACAAGATCCCAACCCAATAAAGAAGAATCACGCACGATTCAGCGACAGATAGAGGCTCAGAGTAAGATGAAATGAGAGGAGATGAGGGACAATGATCTACCATCTGAAGCGTCCACGTCAATGGAGGGCACGTTGGGTGGAATGAGCATCAGCAGGCAGCGGCAGATCAGGTATGCCACGCCCAGGACGATCAGCGGCCACCAGAATGCCATTTCCCCCGTCTGATAGACACACACACACACACACACACACACACACACACACACAGAGGTAGGGTTCTATAGCAGCGGAGGAAGTAAAAGCAGGAACAGTGATTGCTTGGCAAGAACGCGCCCTGGAGATCCTCCTCGTCCCCCCGTCACCGGGGCTTTCAACCGGGAGTGAAGAGGCAGGAGAATGGACACAGAGAGCTGCACAAAACCAGTGCCAGGTTCTAATTTTAGTCCTACCCCTGAAACAAACCATTCTTGCATTCTGCCCTCCAACCGACTGGTATTATAACTTAGCATCCTCTTCGCCGGCGTAATTGGATAAGCCTAATAATTCCGAGTTTAGGTACGAATTTTCCAGAAAACTCGCAGTTTCTGGGGAAAAAAAAAGGCGAGACAATAATCTCCAACTTCACTAATTTACAATAAAACCCTCGATACCCAGGCATGTCGAATATGCCCCTCTTTACATTAACATCGGGTTCTGCATTAATTTTAAGGAAAACTTGTTTTTTTAGAGAAAAAACGAGAAAACTCTCCAACTTCCATTATTTACAATAAAACCTTCACGACCAACCCAGGCAGAATAAAGAGTTAACAATTTGCCTTTCATATTTTCTATTAAATTGTCCCAAATAAATAAAGTAACATTTTTAAATCAACTACAATTCAGTCTTCCAGTTTATAAATTTAGTTCAGGGGTATAATTGTAATTTCAGTTAATAAAAGAAATTGTCGCATTCCAGTTCTACACCAACCCCTACAGCTTAGTGACGCTTCAGCTTCTTTGGAACCCCCCCCCCCCCCCAAAGGCCTCACATTCTGTTGATATTCTTATCCTTGCTAATGCACATCAATGAAAGTGGGCCATTCCTAAACCAATATCTTGTGCTCTTCAGACTTTCCTTCCGATATCAACTGGTTTCTTTATTGGGAATCATATCACAGTGCATCATGTTCTTGGAATCTGGTAGAGAAATTCTTATAAATCTGGCAAATAGTCTGGAATATTATAAATCTGTTTTTATCGACAACCGATTATCATCTGCACTGTTTGATCGCAGAAGACTAGGCTCAAAACCCGTTCATTACAAGAAAAAAAAAAAAAAATTGCAGTGGGAGAACATGTTGAGCAATGCTTGACAAAACTGTTATATTTACAGTAAAATTCAGACCCGCCTGGGGGATGGAAGCATGCAGTCATAGACATGCCCGATTCGGGAAGTCAACGCCAGCTTGTATGGGGTCGGCAATCCAGGCTTCCCGAGGTCAATGATGTCGCGTTTCAAGCTATAAAAAAGGGGACTTTGGCTGAGAAATTGAATGCGGTTTTATTTCTGAATTGAGAATGAGCAATTGAGCTTTTTCTGAGTTAGAAAAATAAGCACATTAGTGTGAACAAGAAGAAAGCAAGTTGATATCCCAAACCTCGACCATTCACTGGTTGCCTTGGCGTGTCCTTCTACAGCTTTGTAGAGGCGATCCAGCTGGTAAAGGACTAAGCCAAATATGCACCGGGCATCTTCTTCCTGGTAAATAGAGGCTCCATGTCAGATCCAGCAGAAGTTGTTCAGGGTTTATGGGGTTTAGGGGTTTGTGACAAAGCATAAAATCATAAGGTTGACTAATTGACGAGACCATTTTCCAGCTCGTTTATGAATTCTTACCCTTTTCTACTCAGATAGTGATCAAACATTCGGATGATTTGATATATATCGTCACAGTAGAGTATAAAAACAGTCCTCACTCCTTTACTTATTTTAGAATTATTTTTACATTCACCGGAACTAAAAATTATTGCATCTGGCTGATCATTTCCTGAGGCCCACATTGAAGCATTTTTTGAGACGAAAATATCTCAGTATGCTTTAAATAGTAAAAAAGAGAACACGATTCCAGTGTGACAAAATCAGTACGAACTGTTGGAAAACTGTCAGTAACATGAACTGCACTACTTGTTGAAACAACGACTGACTCGATGAGGAGATGATTGGTTAGGGTTTAACATATTTACCAGTCCTTGATCCATGCACATCTGAAACTGCATTATCTTTTTCTCAACGTCAACAACAAGAAGTCTTCTTTGGATACGGGCTGCTCTTCCACGACCCTCTGCCCCTTTGTCCTGAATAAACAAGGGGATTACCATAGAATCACCATAGAATCCCAGATTTGATGAAGCAAGTCAAAATAACGCTATCAACGCAACCTTTAGGCACAATTTTTTTACTTTACTGGAGATAATTCATGAAAACTAGATTATGGGTCGCAATGTTATTCATCTTTGTCACCATAGGAATAAAAAAATGAGATTTTCATGCAACTCCCTAAAAATCGTGCACATTAGAATCCATTTTAACATATATAGAATTAAAATGTTTGAAGAAATCATGATAAAAAAAAAAGAAACCCCTGACATGGATTGAACCATGTAACAAATCAACACATGTTTAGGTTAGCATATCAAAGGAAACTTCTCCATGGGCACTAAGCGAAAAACAAGATAACACATATACATAAGGAATAATTTCCTCACCTTTCTTAACCAAGCTCGTACCAGCATGACCAAAAGAACAGAGAGGAAGAAGGCTGGGAGAGCAGCGAGAATTGCAAAGTTTATTTCGTTTGCTTTAAGAATCTGATCTAGTTCCAGCATAGCTCTGGCAAGGAGAAAAATCATTCAAAGTCAATTGGAAAAGAACCAATTCTTTGACAGAATAGTAAAATGAAAGATACATCACTTACGTCTCAACATCAAGTTTGAGCTTCTGAACCTGCAATTGTAAGGTAGCATGGGTGACCGAAGTGAATTTTGCATAAATGTAAAGCAGGGCAACAAATCCGAAGTCGTACCTGAATGAGCAAAGCACGGGGAAGCTCACCACCAATTAGATTTTGAAGTGGATGCATCAGCTCCTTCTCATATCTGAAGGTGAAAACAAATGTTAAATAAGATTTGTATAGTAAGATACAGGAGGCCAGAAACATACAACGAATGAAAGACAGAACAAAAGCATAGTTCACTGTCCCTATCATGCAACTTCTTGGATCAATTGCAAACATGTACTGAGGTAGCTTCTCATAGCCCTCTCAGCAAATCCACGAAACTTTTGACTAAAATTAATTTTCCTCCTAACTAAACAGGAAGCAAAACAACAAGGGGCTCTTAAACAGGCCATCTGATTCTGATCCATATTGAATTGAATGGGCTTATTGCCAGTAAATTCAGCAAATGTAACCAATATCACGTCAAGAAGCAAAGGATATTGGAAAAGACATTATACAAGGATTCATGTGTGAATGTTCAACATAATCAAGATCCTTATTGTCTTTTGCTAGCTAGAGCACTCATCAATCAGAAACTACCGTTCAAAAAAAATAGTGAGATGATCAAATGACTGTGTTAAAATGGAAGGTAAACACAGAGCATTTCGCATCTCCTGTAAGCGACATTTGGCTGCGTTATGCAGCTTTGGCTAGCATTAGGCACTAATTTACAAACTTACTCCCTGAACTACACCTTATGAACTTTTTACTGAAGTTATGAGGAGCAGATGAAATAAGGCCCCAGCCCTTGACAGAAGTTTAACCAAAAGAAGAGATTCCAAAACAAATCAACCACAATTGGCATCCAACCCAAGCGAAGAAAACAAAAAATCCAATTTCAGTCTTAACTCGTCTATCTCCTCAATAGTGCTGCCAGCAGCTTACTAAGCGAGTATCATTGACAGACACATTATATCAAGAAAATTGATCAAAAGACTTGATTCAACTCCTCACGATTTGAATAAAGTTTATCATACTGGGTTAAATTCATAAACAGATGCAAGTTCATTGATTGAGTCAGTAATGTAAACTTACTGATCCATTCAAAACCAAGAAGATGTCCCTGACGAACGCAAAATTCATATAACAATTTGGTTCAATACAACTGTTATTTAGGAGTATATGTGGGTATCCTGAAATGAAGCAAGGAACCGCTGCATAAAATGACATAATATTGATCCTTCTGACCACGTACAAGACATATTTGCACCCCATGATCTATAGTCTGCATACTTCCTCAAATACTCTAATATTTTGCTTACTATCCTTAAAACTTGATAAAAAAAAAAATATAAAATTTTAAGCATGCTAACATCTGATGAAAAAGGACTGCAAATGAAGATCAGAAGGATCAGTAAACCATGGAAGGTACATTTCCTTAATTTACCCTACAAGAGCATCCATCAAAATTTAGGTTCTCCAAATGATGGAAATGGATAAAAGTACAGACACATAAAATTTTGGGAAGGACATCCTCCCCTTGCTTTGCTCAGTTTATATGAAATGAAACCAGGGAAAGAAGCATGATGGACCCAGTCAACGAATGGGAACGAGCAGAAGCATGCCTATCTGCTCACTATAAATCATAACAGGCTTTATGACCCTCAAGGAAAATATTTGCATCCAAGTTGAAAGATTTCTTCATGCACCTAAACAAGTGTGCATTCTTATATTGGAAATATAAAGAGAAAAATATCACGAGTTAGTTTCATAAAAAGAAGAAATATAGACCATGTTAATAGCTACAATAAAGGAAGACGCTTATTTGGAAACAATAAAATTCAACAGCTTTGGCATAAGTAGTTTATAATAAGATGAATTACCTAGACATCACAATTTCAAGCATTTCCTGATCTGATGCATCCTCTGGAAACTTTTGGCCCTTTGTCTGCTCACTGAATGCTAATAACATCCTGAAAGGCAACATAGGAAAGTACAACTGCTTTAGCGGATGTAATGTACTGGAAGTTTAAGTAACCATAGTTTGCTGATGATGAAGAAGACTAAGTACGAACCAGATAAAGCGACATGGTATACGTGGACTAACATTTGGCATTATACGGGATGTCCATAAGATGACCCCTTTAAAATAAAAGATTTTTGGGCAAAAGTAAAAAGAATTATGGAGAGGTGAATGGGTCTGTTAAGGTGAAGATATCCAGTGAAATTCCAAGCCTGGCAATCGGTGGTTCCCCACGTTACGTATTAGAATACAGTGTAGTCTAGTACAGTTGCCATCTGGGTTCTTTACTGGTTGCTGGATTTCAAAGGATGATGCAATATTTCTACTTGCCCACTGGCCATATGATGTGTGACTGATTCCATTCAACCTAACCTTGACCGTCCTTTACCACACGCTACACAGCTACCAATAGGAAGGCAATTAGTCAAAAAACTTCATGTAGTCATCTGAACATTCTAGGGAGCGCCTGATTGCCTACGACAGAGTAAGGGTTATGAGGATAATGATGATGACATAGCTGGTCAGATACCAAGTTGGTATAGTAGAAATGTAAAGCCTGTAAAGTATCTGATCTTGCAGTCCCTAGACATACGTGAACGTGAACTTATGTGGTCAACGATGTACATCTACACCCAAAAGAACAAGTGATCCACTTTGCTGATAGCAAGATTTGGCAGGCGAATTATCATGCTACATTGGACGCCATAGGACAGAATACCCACAATGACTTCGGAAATGAGGTTGAATGCATGTTTTGTCAATGTGAGAATCTCTACTGAGCGGTGGTTGTAAAAGCTTAATTTAAAGAATAAAGGTGTATTTACTCATCCTCACAAAAGGATTGCTTCAAGTTTTTTATTTTTGTTCCCGTCATGGGCTTTCTAGGTTCTTTAAGATTTGGATCCTCTTTACTGACTGAAATCAACGCTAATTATCTGTTTAAAGAGGAATACTTTCAAGTATTTACTAGAAAAACGCAGTAAAATAAATAAAATTCCATTGCATACGCAACTAGAGAGAATTTTAAATAAGTGACAAAGCCCATGAGAGATGACAGATAAAACACATTGAGCAAGTTCCTGAGATAAAACCCATTTCTGAGTTTTTATAGTTGAAGTTTATTTAATAAGTCTATAAGATGGAGTCCATTTGAGAGTTCTTGCGAATGACGACTTTATAGAATGAAGCATATTTTCTATGGAATAAAGCATATTTGACAAGTTTGTTCAATGCATTCAACAAACTTTTATGAGGATCATACCCTTTTATAAGGCCTTGTTCTTCAACTTCAAGTTAAAACCAAGATCAGGTTAGCAAATAGGAAAATGCCCGCTACTTTCCACTATATTCGGCAGTTTGTAATGGTATAGGATCAAATTGGGTGATTCATCCATGAACACACCAATCTGAGTTAGAAACAGCCAGTACCACGTTAGATTACTTTCAATCAAGTTTTCCAACTACCAGCTCGTGATTATTAAAGTTTCAACCATTGACTTCCCTGAAAATAATGATATGGGGTATGAGGTATCTTCCAAAAAAGGATCCATCCAAGGACGAAATTTACGCTTCTCAGTTTTTTTATACAGAGAACATTTCTCTTCATAAACATTTTAGGTCTAACGGAACCGTGGGTGTTTAGTTGCATAACTTAGGGGCATCCTGGAGAGTTCCTCTTCATTGAGTTACAGCCTGCACGATTAAGTTCATTACTTGTATTAGCCATTCTTGTAAACCTGTCATTAGGTTGATAAGAAACTTGATTGGAGTCACTAAAAGCAACATCAAAGAACATGATTATACCTTCAGTTTAGGGAAGAAGGCTTATTAATAAGGCTATTTCTTCTCAGTGGCATTAGAAGCACATCTGTCACATAATAAATAACTTAACTTGAATGCACAGGATTTTTTTGAGCTTGTTCAAGTCTCACCTATACAGTTGTTGTAGTTCGTATGAAAAAAAATATCAAGCATCACAGACAATTTTCTGATTGCCCCTTTACTATGTCCCAAGTAAGAAGACAACAAGGACTTTGAAAACTTTCCCTAATCCAACCCAGCTCATTAGTGTGACCATCATATGCGGTACAGAAACCCTGGAGTGAGGGAAGAAGATTTCCCTCGCTCAGGTGAGCAACCGTGATATCTTGGAAGAATTTGTTCCTATACAATGATAGTGAGCAAGCAACAAAATTAAAACAGCAAAAGGAGCATGTATCCAAACATTTGAAGTCAATGTCGCCACAGTTTCGCAAAAGACTCAGAACGTTGAACTTGATAATAGGATGAATTATTTTTCAGGATATGACAAGAATAACCAGCTAATAACTGAACACCAAACTTAACAGATTTATGAATAAAATAGGGAGCACAAACTCAATTAGGAGTCTAACCTGTGAAGAGAATTTGCACTTAATTGCACATCCTCGTGCTCAATTACACCTTTGTGCCTCCTCCTGAACGTCTCAAAGAGTTCATCTCTTATAGAGAGAAGCTGTCAAATGACGACAATAGAGTAAAAAGGACGGCACAAAACTGTACAAAATTTGGAATATTAATAAATGGGTCCCTATGCCACAAAGCTACACATTCCAGAGAGATCAAGTACTTGAGCAAAATAAATATAATCGTCACATAAAAAGCAACTATACAATAATAAAATAGCTGTTATAATAAAAACAACCAATAAATCTGTAAATAAGAACGTCTTTCTCTCTCAAAATATTAAGTTCAACTTTGACAATGGGAGGCTTAACCTTAGGCAAGCAGGTCACATGCAACCATACGTCACCATTTCATGGACTTGCACTTGAACAATAAAATCAAAAAAAAAAACAAAAGATGGCCATGGATTATGGCCCACAACTATGTGAGCAAGGTCGTAAAAGGGGATTGAGAGTGGGATTTTTCAAGTTTTGGGGAACGCTAGTGCAGGATTGCGTCACATTTACAACAGGATTGATGCAGACATGGCACGGGTGGCGCTCCTTGGCCCTCTAGATGATTTAAAGGGTCCAGTTACCAGGTCACACTTTGTTTGTATTCGCAAATAAATGTCGAGTTTCTCTGAATTCCGCAAATATGTACCTTCATGAAGTTGACTGCACTATCAAAAGTATAGACAATTACGTAGCCTACTGCTCTATACAACAGAAAGCAATGTGAGTGAAGAATTAGGAATAGCTGAACAACATCCTGGAAGTTAAAGAACCTGAAAAAGAAAAGGGTTCCATAGGGTTTGACAACCTAACGAAATGGGAATGAAACTGATAAAATAACAAGCTGCAGCGTGTACCCAGATATTTGGTGTTTCAAGCAGCGGGGACCTACTGTATTAATGGAAGGAAACTACAGTTAAGCAGCCATTGATAAAGATGGATAATTTTATAGAAATTTTCCTAGCAAAAAGTTAATTTGCTGGACAGAAGTCAGCAGTATTTATCATCCACCAAAGCTAGTTAATAGATAGCATACCGAAACGCAGAAGAGGATGATGATAATCCTTTTTTTTACCAGTTTAAAAGATGGAACGTTCACTGCTAACGTGAAGCAGCCACAAGGCAGCTCACGTGAGAGGCCTGGTGCTTGCATTTCTATCAAGACCAGATATTCATTACAATCAACCTGAATCCTAACTTATCTTCAGGTCAACAGTGTACTTTCAGACATGCGCAATGCTCTTACCTTGAGCAAGCATGTGATGAATGAAATGCCAAACATGAAACATTTTTTCAATTTATACTAGTTGTTTCATTCAAATTTATTTTATTTATGCCATTGATGAATACTTTGATAAGAACATTAATTGTTTTAATTTGAGTATTATGCATTTGTATGCATCTAGTTGACTCATCTTCATATGCAACAACTACTCTATTTTTTAGTTTATTTAAAGAATAACTGAGCTGAGCATCTTTCCTGGTCGCTAGAGTGTTGGGTGGCTGAGTATCACCTTGGTTGCTTCAGGTGCAAAACCGATACAATAAGTTTAGCACACAAGTTTAAGATGTAATCCAAATTCAGAAGACAACTAAAAGTTTAAAAAGTGGAATACTGTAGCACCCCAATGACAGTCTAAGAAATGCTAAAACGTCAAGAGAAAAACGGAATAAATAACTTACCGGCTGTTCCACATGACTTTTCCAAAATGCATTTGTGGACTCCTTTGCTTCTCGGACCCAGTTGTCAATATCAGAACTTCCCATCAGTCTACTGTGGCGTAAAAGCCAGATTGTACATAAGGAGAGACCAACAGCACCACAGGTATACTGTAACCAGTACAAATTCATTCTACTTGGTTTCTGGCATTTGGAAACCTGTACAAGAAGAACACAGCATCCCTGAATGTAAGGATTTCAATGCAATATCCTCAACAAAATTTAGGGACAATTTAAAAACACAGGACTAAATTTGGTGCTTGGAGTGAGTTTATGCAATTGACTACTACAGACTGCCAGGAACTGACATCTTCATTAGAGGTCGGAAGAAATGAATTATTGTGCAGGTTATGTCAATGTTGGGATGAACATGGACAGATATCCTTACTAGTAAAACTGCATTTATGTTCTACGTTTTTGTAGCCGATATGTGTGGAATCTTAATTTAAAGAGATAAACCAATTACAATAATAAAGATAACGCTTAAATTAGCATTCTCCAATGATCCACAGCTGGTGGGCCTACAATATCATTTGTGAACCAAGTATCTTTTCAAAACCTTACCTGAACTACCTGAACTGGCAATTCAAATTAGGCCACTGTTGTGGCATATATTCCACAAATAGTCACTATTATCTGAATCTACCATGTTAGAATGCACAAGGTTCATTTATTTATTTTAATTAGAAAAATATATTACCAAAGCTTTAGCAATATATTACTCAAACCAGCAACCCAATTTTAAGTTTTAGTAAAATCACCCAAAATGCAAACACAAATTAACCACGACCCCATCCATACATCAGGATACCCACCAATTCCAACGAGTCACTACACCTATCTGCTCAGTACGTTAAATACTGGAAATATCACTATCCATGCAATATTTTATAAGAGCAGAATCAACTCCGAAAAGTTGATACCGGTCCAAAATCAGGATTGTTGGGTAGGATCAAGTGGTGGACAGGACACCATTGCCCAATTTAGGCAATTTACTCTTTTAACCCAAAAATTATTAATCCAATTTTTAGTTTCTATAGCTGCAGCCATCTTTAATGGCATAAAAAGCCATAACAATAAGTAATGATGAAGATAACTTTTCCCTACACTAAAAAAGAGAAACCAAACAAACTTACGAGTAATTCTTTATAAACAAAATATATTTTAACACTTAGTACACGCTGAAGTCTTTTTTTCTGTGACCTTTAATTCTATACGTGAATTGAAACCATTAAAAAGAGAGTAACGAGATGAGTTCATGAAAGAATCTTTACGGATGATCTTCTTCTTTAGTCATGTGAAAATCTGGGACTACCAAGGACATTTTCAGTTGAATAGGCAGGCGAAGAATCCAAAATGATTTTATAAAAGGAACACTGAGATAAGAAAAGACATGAAAAAATTAAAGCTGGCTAATGTACGAAAAATGAGGGCAAAAATCGATTAGTAGTAGGATGGCCTACTTTTCATGGAAGGTCAGAAGTTCCTTACTCCCAGACTGAAAGAAAAATCTCATCTGAAAGATGGCTGACCTTAGTTACAGAACATAAAAGAGCATCATTTAAGGCCATAGAAAGTATCTCAGAAAACATTTTTCCCGAAGGAAACGCATCTCTCCTCAACAAGAAGGTCAGGTAGAAAGGATGGGATAGTAACTTCCGAATTCCCTTGCATCCCGTAACATATATATTCCTCCTAAAGGTAGCATCATGATCAATCTACCACTGCTGGCGGCAGGCTGTTCTGGTCTACCATGAAGAAATTTTATTTGATTAACTCATCAAAACAAAAAGAAAATGTCCGGCATCAATCAGATTTTGTATCACTGAAATGGTGGTACATAGAATGTATTGATAATGAAAAGATTCGACAGAATTCTGTCCCAACTATAAAAATACGCATTCTAGGCTAAAATATCAGCAGAAATATACTTACGACAAAAGAGATATATGAATCAAGTCTGTTCAGATTTTGATATATCAAATTGATTGCATTGCTAATCTCAGTATCTGTCCATTGAGACCTTATGACGTGAATTTCAGGAATTTTCTCAAACAAAAGGGCACTTGAATCGCATCCATCCGCCAAGAAGGAAAGATCACTCTACAAATGTATCAGAGCAAGAAGAATCAGAAGAATATTAATATGATAACTGTCAATACAATCTGCAGATATTCAATCATTCCTACACTTGACAGGGAAACATATTCAAAATAGTTGATGGCAAACATGTAAGTCAAGAATTAAAAGAATCCAAAGATGACCTTATAGATTTCTTTAGAATGGCCAATTGATGCTTCAAGACCAGTAAACAGGCCATTTATTGCCATCAATAGTGATGGCAACAACTTCTCAAGATCAACTGCTACGCCTTCACCATACTTGTCGACTTCTGTATAAATCTGCATCCAAAACTATAACGATTCATCCAAACCGTTGACCATTAAGATACAGCATCGAGGTATAACTAAAGGAAACGAAATGTAGAATCCACTTTTATCAAAAACATTTTTCTGTATCTATACTTTATAAATATCCACGAGTAGGTGAAGTGGGGCTCTCACGGAGTGTATCTATGCTTCAACATATAAAACACGGTTTATTCCTATGGACATCCGTTTTCTCTTTCCAAACATTGCTTTGGACTGCATTAAACTCATAAATGTGTACCCAAATAGGAACTCAAATTACTGCCAAGTCGTGCTATAATATTACAAGAAGAGTACATTACATAAATCTAAAAATATTCAATGCACTTCACAAGTAGCATTGAATATTTTTATTAGTTTAATGATTTATAACATTTCATGTAAGTATCAAAAACGCTATATATTCTGCCACAGCACTAGGTTCCATCAATTTAATAGTAATTTTAGAAGAAGTATTATTTTTTCTCAAATATGCAATAGAAATTTTTAAATAAAGCAAGTAAAAATGAAAAAAGTTTAAACAAAATAAGAGGTGGGAAAAATTAAGGCTTTGTAAGATTAAAAACGTGGAAAACTAAGAGGTTGTAAAAAATAAAAAATAAAAAAATTGAGAATTTTAAAAGAACCAAAGGTTAAAACTCCATGAAAATCTTAAAATAAGAATTGATTCAACTTGAAAGGTCTACATCATGGTCATAAAAAATTGGAAAGCAAACCTCTGCAAGAAATCTGGCAAGACAACTTTGCAAACTAGTCAGAACAGATATTTTTTCAGAAATTGTCATAGCTGCAGAACGATAAAGATGCTGCATTGAAGACCCTTCAACCCTGCGTCTGCCTATCAGATGAATTGTTTCCTTGACGAATGCCTTTGGTCCTCGTTCAAAAACCATAAAGTACACTTTCTGACCATACGTTCCCTGAAAAGCCAGTTTGAGGACCTCTTACCAATAAGTTCAAGAACAACTTTTTGTTCACTTTCAAGAGAATTTCACTATGGTGTTACCTCTGCTCGAGATTCCCAGAATTGCAGACTCTTATGAATAATGTGTAAGCTTGACAAGACGTGGTTCAAAATGTCATCTAAAATACCAAGTACTCTAGATGCTTCAATCGTGGCCCTAGATAGATACAACTGACATTATCTGGATTTGATAATTATAAGCAACGATCATAAACTCAATATTGATGTACACATAGTCATCATGTGCCAGAATCAAGAAGCTATTTTTCCATTAGGTTATCTAAGGCTTCAAGTTCAGATATAGTTTCCTTTCATTCCATTGGTTTCTCGAAAGCATCAATTAATCACTCATTAGTCAACCGGACGAATAAATAAGTTAACCCATTAACGAGGACATCACAAATAGGTCATTTTTAATAATAAGAAGAAATGAATAAACAGAAAAAAGAAGTTCGGGGAATACTAAATACAGTAGCTCTCACAGGCACCATCTACGAGTCAGCATTTAAGTATTAAAATTCATGGACAAAATCTGACATGGGACCATGCTGCGCATACATGGTCATCAAAAAAGTTATTTGAATCTCTCAGAACCTTTCTCCCAAACAACTATTGACACAAAATCAGTTTTCCTTTATAATTCCCGGAAAAACAGACTAATTTTCATTTAAGCGAAATTAGGCATTAACATAAGAAAATAAATAGAATATTAAAAATCCTTATAGCTAATTTTTTTCCTAAGAAAATGAGATCATGATATCATACATGGTATCGGCTTCGAAAATCATAAGTAAAATGAAGTATGGCATGTGCATCCAGCATTCCACAACTGCTTTTCATTTTCCCAGACTCTTGTTTTTCACCCGAGTGATAAGATATTTTATATGTTTTAGTCAGTCTATTGCTGGTTGTTTTCATAGAGAATATCAAACAACAATGTTATGACTATCTCTTCCCCTATTTGTACAGATTATTTTAGAAGGTCAGGAGATTCTCTCTATAAGGATTTTTCTGAAGTTCTACGAGCTTAAACTGCAGCCAAGAAGATAATTATTTAACAGTAAACTTGAGAAATTATCTGAGGCAGAAGGTTCCTATGATAAAGGACTTCACACCACCTTGAGCATGGGCGATATTGGATAAGCATTAAGAAAACTTCACAAATTCTCGGGCCAATGATCGGATCCAGTCAAACATAGGTTGATAAAATGAAACTTTAAAGATCACGACGAGACGAATTTTAAGAAAACGTATATACTGCAGTTTCCTCATCACCATTGTATATTTTCCATTATTTTTTCCTGATTTTCAATAGTTTGCTTCCGGGTTATCAAACAACCCAGCAACGACACTGCGGGATCAGCTGAATAATTTCATTTAAAATAGCTCAATTTCCATCCCATCTTCGCCACGACAAACGTCACATCGGATTTCATGTCAAAGAGCATCAAGATACCAAGTCAATTGGAGGAGAAAACGAGAATAAACAAAGAAGAGGGACCAAGCTTACAGGGAAGTTTCGACGGAGTGAAAATGCAGCGGAAGGGGAAGGCCAGACTCCCGCAACTGTCGCCCACCCCGCCGCTGTTGCCTCCCGCGAGAAGAAAAAATCCCCGAAAAGAGATCCGAGATCACCTTAAGGAGCTTTGAATCCGAGGAAGGTAGCAATGCGAGAATGGTCCTCCACAGTCGCGCCGAGTAAGACACCACTAGGGCCCCCGTCTCTGCCATCGGTCTCCCGGGCGCGCCAGAAGCAGGAGGAGCCGAAGCCATGACCTCCTGGGAAAAGAGAGAACCCTGGAGTTAGCCTCTGGGAACTAGCCTCCCTTCGGCTCCGCCAGAAGGTTTAGGAGTTCTCCGATACGTGGAGTTGGCAAAGAGGCTCTTGAGTGCAGACGCGAAGACGAAGACGAAGACGAAGACGTACCACGTTGGGCCTGCTGCACGCCATCCAATATGGTCAGTTTGGTCCGGCCCAGTACTATCTCGCTCTCTCTCTCTCTCTCTCTACTTTTGCAACTCTCTACATATGGTGTGCGAAAGAATTTAATCATGAGTCTATTTTCCTATTATTTTGACCAAATTTTTGAACTTTAAATTTATTTTTAATGCATTATTCAGGTTCTTTGATAAACTCATGCAACGATTTTTGTCATTTTTATTCTTAATAAGTTGAGAAAGGGATTAAAAAATTATCACTCCAAAAAAGGCATTAATCTTGGTCCATAAACTTACTGTATAAGCTATATTCGGAAAGTAGATCACCAGATTGTGACATCAGAATGCACAAAATTTTACAAAACTAAGAAATTTCCTTTGATAAATTATTTATCTAATCATTATAATAAAATATTACTATGGATAATAAGAAAAATAGAACATGAAATCCTTCACAAACACTCCCTTTTCAAATATGCTTTAAATTGGCCTCTCTCTTTGTTAATTTTAAATATTATGCATAGAGTATGCCCTAAAATGTAGGGACCATAAAATTAAATCGAAAATTGATAACAACTACTTAAAAATTTAGGTTGTGTTAATTGTCTCCCAAGATCATGTTCGTATTATTTATAAGCTGCAAAAAGAAATCACCAGCTGAATCCAAGACTATTTCCCCATACCACTTTAGGTAAAACTTGGGTGTGTTTTTAAGTATTATATTTAATACCCACTATGGTGAAAATTAAATAATGTATATTTGATGAATGGCTTGGGGTATCAATGGGCTTAGTTTCCATTGATATTGACGAAATCTTCACCACAACTCACCCAAATATACATCAACATAAAGTTTGGGCATAGGAGAACTGGGTCTGAGGCCCAAGTAGCCTCTCCAAGCCATTGACGGCCATACTTCGTAAGAAAGAAACCCATGAGAAGAAGGTATCAGGCACTTCCTCTCTCTTTCATGCCTTTAACGAGGCACTCAGGAGGAAGATGGTCATTCAGCGACAGCTTCGTTGACTGATGTGGAGTCCGTCAACTGAGAAGAAGAGGGCCTTCCCGCCCACAGAAGCTGATGGTGGTTTCTTTCCTGTTCCTCCAATTTTGTATGTTCCATAGTGGGTGTACTTGGCCTCTTTCTCCCTCTACATTCTTAGCCGGTAGTGCCCAGTCAGCCGGCCGGAGGCTAGAGGAAAGAGGCCTCCTCTGGCGAGGGGGCTGACGTGGTGAATCTTTGACTGGAGTTCCTTGGGATCTTATAGTCTCCGGAAAGTATATTCCGAGGGAACCTTTGAGAGAGGTTCTTGAGAGATTGCCCATCAGGATGGAAGCCATTTTGGAGATTCTAACGAAGGGGATCAAAGGAGATGGGAGGAGTCCTGTGGATAGCACTTTGCTGTGGAAAGGAATGGTTGGAGATACTTGGAGGAGATCCCCTCCCCGTTGTGTTCAGTGAAGAGCGCACTACTAAACCCCTACGTCCTGGGAACCATCTTCCACCGTTGAGTTGAGAGAGAGAGAGAGAGACAGAGACAGAGACAGAGACAGACAGACAGACAGACAGACAGACAGACAGACAGACAGAAAGACAGATAGACAGACAGACAGACAGACAGACAGACAGACAGACAGCCGGGGAGGGAGGGAGGGAAAGATCACAATACGGGGCTTGCACCGCTAGCCAGAAAGAAGGAGACGGGGAACAAGGAAGAAGACAAGGTTTACCCAATCAAAGGATGAAGGTGAATAATGGGCTCATCAGTTTATCTCGTAGTTTATGACAAGAGAAAGAGACCAATATGGATTTTTACGTAACATCATGAATATTAAGACGAGTTCGGTTTCATTTCCTCACTCGGATTTAAACATTTCCTTAACAACAAAATAAGTTATTCTTACCATACATGGTTAAGAATATCGTCGAGTATATGGTAAAGAAAGAATGATATCACCAAATTATCTGGATTTAAAAACTTGACTTGATGAGGATTTTGAAATGTGCTGCAAGGGATTGATGGAATCAGATTGGAGTAATCCCATATTGGATAAGATTTTCGTTCGTTAATCCTCTTTGAGTAGTCCAATCTCGCCCAACACCACCCAATTCCTCCAAATTTCATGAATAAACCATTCCTCCAAATTTTACCATTAAACTACTAAAATAAGTGACATTTTTGGCTCATACCTCTTTTGGTAGAGCCCCTATGATCTCCCATTCATTTATCTCTATTCCTAACAGAAGCATTTGCCAGTCTGCAGCCTCAACTGACACTTGTTCCTCGAGCGGAAAGCTCAGACTGCCGCCGCCGGAGTTCACCATGGCATTCTGCCGCCAAAGATCTCATGGACTTGTTTACTTGACTATTGGTGAACTTTAGCGGAGCTTTAGGAGGCCGCCAAGGAGGAGCAATCTGAGGTACGGGAGGATTACGTGAATTGTTTCAGCTGCATCTTTGTTCGCTTCCAGACAGGTGAAGGAGGAAGACAATAATTTATGACCGGCGAAGGTGTTCGATTGCCTCTCCAATCAAATGCATATGCCAATATATCAATTATAAAAGTAAGCATAATTTTAATTCGTAGAATAGTCTAAGTCAGCCTAGAAAATTAAGCATTTGAAGTTGTTTCCTGAAATGGTGTAATTCTTCAAGGGATGCATTGAGTTAGTCAAGGGCCATCTATAAATAACTATTCGAGAGCCTCGTTCAAAAGAAATAAGGTCTAATCTTGTATTTGTCCCGTCCTTTTTCAACATCAAGCACAATCACTACGATCATTGAGAAAATTATTGCTTACCTATCAGGGGTTCTTTTTACTTCCCTTGCTCCAACAGGCACTGAGTTGCTTAGAAATCTGACACCATCATCACCATTTAATGTCTTGTACGCTGGATCCACGACAGAAGGATCCCCCCTAGACGCTTGTGATTTGGTTTTACTTTTTTCCGAGGTCCGTCATAGGTTAGGCAGTATATCTTCTTAGAAAAATGTCAATGGGACCCCATCTGATGAGCTTTGATTTGGTTGCGAGACTTACGTAAGTGATTTATTGCTGGGTTTATGTATTATCAAGTATTTACCTTATTTTTTAATATATAAAATTAGAAACTAGTGTAATATCAAAGAAAGAAGCATGATTCTGGGTGTAATCTGTAGTTAACATTCACATTTCATGATTTCATATCAATAAACGAACTTTTAAATATATTTTAATCCCAAAGCTTTCCAAAACAAGATAATATATGTTTAATTTATTCTCAAGTATTGACCTGATTTTAGAAAATATTGTAATAACAAAGAAGCAAGATCATGGGTGTAATAATCTTACGTAAATATTCACATTTCATGATTTAAGATCATTAAACCAAATTTTAAATATAATTTAATGCCAAAGGTTTGGAAAATAATGTAATATTCCCCTATAAATGTTGAGTTTCGTGAAGAAATTCTATATATGTATATATACATGTTTATTTACCGCAAGTCAGTTGACCTACATTTTTGTGCAATCCACGCCCTTGGACGCCAGTCATAACCTTGTTGAAGGTTAAGACAGGCTTTAGGGGCTGTTAGTGCAGGTCGCATCATCCCACAGGCGATGTGTCGATTCTGGGCAGCGTATACCTACCACACGATGGTTTCCATGCAGCCTTCAGCAGGTGGTTCGCCACCGCCGTCGGTCAATAGGAGAAGCACTTCGTCGCCGCACACAGAAACGTCTTCCCCTAGAATCTGTCAGACTTTTGTTCCTCCCGTCGACGGAAATTGTTTTCCGAATCCGGAGCGGAGGGCGAGCCGCCGCGTCTCTGCGGGACGATAGCCACTGGCGTGTGTGGGGAGGGGTCTCCATGGAGTCAACATGCACCAGAGCCCACCGGCGTGTCGTCCAGTGACTCGTAGAACGGTGGATATTGTGACGTGTTGCGTGATTGATGTGGTGCTCCCAACCTAGCTTCCCACTACAAACCCTAAAATTGCTACTTAAACTTCCACCCATCGAAAACACGTTGGACCCAACTTTGCTCCCTCCCTCTCTCTCTCTCTCTCTCCCTCCCTCCCTCCCTCCCGCTCTTTCTCATCCTTTCCCTCTCTTGTTCACTCACTCATCTGTCTTCCTCTCACACTCTCTATCTCTCTCCGTTTCCGTCTCTCACTTAATATCTTCCAGTGTGTCTCTGTGTCCGTCTCTCTCTCCCTCTCTCTCTCTCTCTCTCTCTCTCTCTACCCCTGTTCCTCCCTCTATTGCTTTCTCTTTCCGTCCGTCTTTTCATGACGACCCCGCAGCAAACGTCATCAAAGGGAATTTACAATTGGGAACCGCAAATGGGTAAAGAGGAGAATATTCAAATGGATTCCAGAGAGGGGACACCCTCCTCCAAAGCCTTCCCCGCAGGCTTAGTTGGAGTTCTTTTGGGGTCCGGCCATTGGAGTCTCACATCACCCCCACTCGACCCTCATGCCCATAAATACGGCCCAGCCTGGCTACCCCTCTTCTCAGGAGTAACCCCAGCTTCTCACACGCCTTCTTGTCTCCTCATCCCTCCTCCCGGGTGCTTCTGAGAACGGTGGTGTGATCCCCCACTCGCGTTCTCAGCTTACCATGGGGAGCCTCTTCCAGAGGATGAAGCCTTACATGGCCATGATGGCCCTTCAGTTCGGCTACGCTGGCATGAACATTATTACCAAGGTCTCACTCAACGGGGGGATGAGCCACTATGTCCTCGTTGTCTACCGCCACGCCTTTGCCACACTCTCCATCGCCCCCTTCGCCCTCATCCTCGAGAGGTCGACGCTGCCTCACCCGACCACACCTTCTATTTCCACCATATCCATTGAGAGATCTCTCAAGCTGATAGAAGATTGTTTCTTGTCCTCTGTTGTTTCAGGAAGGTGCGACCGAAGATGACTCTGTCGGTCTTCTTGCAGATTTTTGTTCTTGCCATGCTTGGGTTAGAACAATCCCACACTGAGAGATACAGATTCGAACGAATGGAGGAACTTAGCTAACGGGTGCTTGTTCTCTCCCTTCCATTTTCCAGCCCGGTGATCGACCAGAACTTCTACTACGCGGGGCTCAAGTTTACTTCTCCGACCTTCTCCTGCGCAATGAGTAACATCCTGCCGGCGATGACCTTCGTTCTGGCGGTCATCTGCAGGTTGGAGAAGAACTCCCTGCGTTCTGACGGTTCGTCAGCAATCAGAGACTCAATGGTTACTTACCCTGGTAATAATCTTCAGGATGGAGAAGGTGGACATGAAGAGGATGAGATGCCAGGCTAAGGTAGCGGGCACTGTGGTGACCGTCGCCGGAGCTATGCTGATGACTCTTTACAAGGGACCCATCGTAGACATGGTGAGGTCTCGGCCCTCCGACCACCAGACCGCCGCCTCTCCGACGGCAGCTGACGACTCCGACGACAAGAACTGGGTCAAGGGGTCTATCTTCCTCATCATAGCAACTATGGCCTGGGCAGCTCTCTTCGTCATCCAGGTAAAGAGATAGATGGAGGAATTATATTACTGGGCGATCTCTAATTATCATAATCGATGGAGGAAACCCTGACTATGAGATCTTCTTCGTCCTATCCCAGGCGTTTACACTGAAGAGGTACTCTGCTCAGCTGTCCCTCACAACGCTGATATGCTTTGTGGGGACTCTTCAAGCCATTGTCGTGACCTTCGTTATGGAGCACAAGCCTTCCGCATGGACCATTGGTTTTGACATGAACCTCCTCGCCGCTGCCTATGCTGTAAGTATCCCCCTCCCCCAACCCCCACACCCCCCGTCATCTCTCTCTCTCTCTCTGTTCCTTTCTTACGTTTCTTCATCCATGCAGGGGATTGTGACGTCGAGCCTCGCCTACTACGTCCAAGGCCTGGTCATCAACAAGAGAGGACCAGTCTTCGCCTCAGCCTTCAGCCCTCTGATGATGATCATAGTGGCTGTGATGGGTTCCTTCATCTTGGCCGAGAAGATCTACTTGGGAGGGTAATTAGCTTTTAATCCCTTCCATCACCGCTTTTAAACCATCATCCTACTCCTTTTCTCTACAAAGCCCCATAGTGGGTTCCTCCGGAAAACCCACCATGCATGATTTGAGTAACATATTTCCCCTTTATTTCCCACCAACCAATAGCTGTCCCTTCATAGCACAAATCCTCCATCTCACCTCACCATCAACTTGCTTCCCTCTTGTTTCTCGGTTGGGTGCAGAATTCTCGGGGCGATTCTTATCGTCGCAGGGCTTTACTCGGTACTTTGGGGGAAGTACAAGGAGAACCAAGAGAAGGAGGCCAGCCCCATTCCAATAGCTATAAAGGGAATGGAAGGCAATGGCCAAGGAATTGAAGGAGAAGAGATGGAGCTCAAGAAGGCGAAAACGACCGATAACAACAAGGAGACAAACTCCTCCCTCGGTGCTCTAATGAATGGTACTCCCATGAAGACCAAGGAGGGGACAGACGTATAATCAGTTGGACATGTATGTTCATGGGGAGAGACCGTGAGTTCGTCATGGCCAGTGACATTGGGGAGGGTCCTTTTTTGTTCCCCTATCACGTCTCTCTCTCCCTCCCTCTCTCTCTCTCTCTCTCTCTCTCTCTCTCTCTCTCTCTCTCTCTCTCTCTCTCTCTCTCTCTCTCTCTCTCTCTCTCTCTCTCTCGCTATCTCTCTTCCTTTTTGTGATGAGACTTTCCTCCTCATGTAAGCTGATGACATAAAAACTTTAAGGAGAATGAATGAAGAGCTTCTCGAATCTCTCCTTTTCCCTCACATGAATGTGGCCCCATCCCCTTCTCTTTCCTCTCTCTCTCTCTCTCTCTCTCTCTCTCTCTCTCTCTCTCTCCCCAAATTTGTGATATCTGTTCTTCAGAGCCATGTAAATGATTCTAGGAGTCTATCCCCGACTCGCAGGGAACAACAACAGCAATCATCTGATGCAGATCCCACTGCGACAGGGTGTAGTGGCTGTTGACATTCTATCGAATACTTAATGTCCCCAGGGTATCCTGGAGGGGTCCGAATCATTTTGTTTAGTTCCCTGTCCATTATGTACCGACATCTTCTCATCTCATTCTAACAGGAATAAAGCTATTCATATATCTCGTTAACCGCGAAACAAACTCTTTCAACTAGAAAGCTATAAGACTCTCAGATACCGCGCAAATGCAAATCTCTCAAGCCAACATTATGCCTTATTGCACAATCCCAAAATCCCACCATTATTCGACCTTCAAATATAAAATAATGCAGTATGGAACAATAGAGCATTGAGGTTTTATTCTTGAAAATGTTACTATATGACTTGAAGTCAAACTGTGATTAGTGGCGTTTTACAGAATTTTGAAAGCACATATTGATAAAGTAAGCACAAAAACCAGTAAGAAACCATTCTTAATCCTGCACCATATCTTAGGCGTTGATCGATGGTTTTTAAGCATGTGCTTTAAATTGAAGCCTGAACGACGACCCTCAAATACGAGGTCGTCATTCAGGATTTAATTTCAATATTTCCACTGACATCTTCATTGTCTATTTTCCCTTGTAATCTTTAACCAGAGCCAAGAAGTTAATGGTGATCCTTTCTTGTCATGATCATGATGAGTCGATCAAGATCATTAATGAAAATAAACCCTAATCATGAACTAAGTGGGTATGGAATCCGAGACCTCGTTGGCCTCCTCTAAGCGATTGGAGAATTAATCCTTGTGCATGGAGAATCAGTGCCCTCTGATATGTTATTTTTCTGAGATCATATCTCGGCTACATCATCGGATCTCTCTTTGCTCACGGTGGCCACTGAAGAGGTTTCCAAACCTAATAAGCTGGCACTCTTATTCACCACTAGCGCAAGCTCATATCTCATCCTCCCCATGTCATGAAAGGAGAATCGTTTCTCTTTTATCAAAAGAGAGATGAGAACGTCGGTGCACTTATTCTGAACTAGAATGCAATGGATTCTTTCAGAGAAGTTAATCAGACACATACGTTCCTTACTCCAAGCATCCTACGTTGTGTCAGGAAGTACCTCTAGCCTCCCAATCATAATTAGTTTCAATCCCACACAATCACGGCAAGGATGAAAAAAAACGTGTAACTGGTAGGTTCCCCAACATCTAGAGTAGAATGCCCATTTTTCTATGAAGCATAAAGGGCCGTTAAAGGAAGGGGTTGCTACAGAAAAAGAGATGCGGCTTGGGGTTGTAGACCAGGAGACAGTGGAGAAGGCCGAGTGTGCTGGTGGGTCCCCGGAGGCGAGGGGAATGAGGTTCGACAAGGGCAAGAGGGACTCAGTAGTGCCATGGGCATGCCTGGGGAAAGGGAAAGCGAGCTTACAATGAGGGGTTGGATGGACACAGGGAGTTGACCCTAAGTTGGATGCTGGCCCTGCTGAGTTGTTGGGAGAGGATCTCGCTTCATGGAAATCGAATGGATTGGCACTGGGTGGATGATCATTAAGATTTCTAGCCGGATCTCGATAAATCATCAAGTCGGGCGCAGTCTGTCTTCGTATGTAGGTTGGTTTTATGGACTTCTCTGGGACAGATTGATCAAAACCATGTTGAACTTCGGAGATTCCCCGTCTCATTCGGTTATATCGAAGCACATACTAAACATCAGTAGGAGGACATGTCCTCGTTTTCAGTACCAGGGAATGAGTTAGCCTTTTCGTTCCCCGTCCACAGTTCTCCTGTAATTTAAATCCAAAGTTATCTAGTCTAATGAATTTCTCTTATATATTGGATTGCAATTTAAACCATAAATAATTATAAGAAACATTCATTTATACAATATCTATTCAAATAAATCCGTTTGTTATGATGAGTCAATGGAATTAGGTTATTTCAAAAAAAAAATTACTTCCAACGTACAGTGGAAGATTACAAGATCTACCTTTTCTTTTAAAATATCTTACAGGAAGCTTTTATGTATCTAGAAAAATTGAATTAATATAATTTTTGCAGATGGTGTCGAGAAAAATTGCATCAATCGCCATGAATACTAATTAAGTCGCCCCCGATAGATGAAGTGAACAGTAGGTTTAGATGTGCATTACCATCTATATACGTATGCATGTACACGTACAGTGATAAGTTCATCAGGGTACAAGGTATCAGGGCTTCAAAAAGTTTTTTTTTTTCCTTAAATCGTTTTAAAGAGGATTTATCCTAACAGACAGCTTGCCCGGGGAAAACACACCATTCATTCATTGGTTAATCGGTCGTATTCAAGTCAGCATTCCTCATCCTAATCATCAAGCATCGAAGCAAGGAAATCAGTTTTTCTACCTGCCTCCATACGCTGTGGTATGACTCTCTCTCTCTCTCTCTCTCTCTCTCTCTCTCTCCCACCCCCCGCGCCCCCCCTTCTATACATATCTGGATACATGTATATCTCCGTCCCATCCATATATAATGCACAATATCTGTCTGTAACTGGTCAGTATTTCATAATTTCTCTTCCTGCCGTCCCCTATAGTGAGTGTAAAACAGTTTGAGACGTGACTGCATACATCACACATCCAGCTCTCTCTCTCTCTCTCTCTCGGACAATGGAACTTCGATTGTACATACACAAACGTTATTCCGCCAGATCGACCCCACAAACCATCTTCATCGATCCTTCCTTGACCTCAAGGCCACTACCCAATGGAGGAGGGCCGGGAAGAGGGGGGTGAGTATCTCTCTTTTATTTACCCAAATGATCGAAGGTATGCGGATCTTTATCGCCGACTTTCTGGATTGCTTCCTTCAAAGCATCCATGGCGTCACCACTGGAAAGTGATCGAGACGGCGGGCACAGCGGATTGAGGAACTCTGGCCTGCCATTTTTGGTGGGGCACAGCACGTCGTCTTCTCGGTGTCTTCCGGCGAATGGTGCCCCTCGAAAAGGAAGCTACCAGCAGGGCCCAGCGCCTCGCTCCCGTTTTGTCGCGGCTGCCGGGAGATGGGAAAGTAGACATCAGTGCTCGCCGGACGTCACCAAAGGTATCCGAGCGTGACGACACGGCGGAGGCCACCGCATAGAATGTTGGGTGCACAGCTACTCATCTCCCTTCAATTTGCAATTAGCTTCCTCCAATCAACACCAGTGTTTGGGGAACACAATCCGGATCACTTACCCACTACCCAAGTTGAATATTGAATAAAATATATTGTCATATGTCTCTTAATGACTTTAATTGGATATGGACACCAAAAGTATGGAGTTACCAAACAACGAAGAACTAATTCTTATGTTTAGGCATATCAATGCACTGTAAAACTTCTGGAGTTATGAAATAACGAAGAATGTGTTCTAATGCTGTACACGTATCCATGCCCGGGTAAATTCACTGTATTTACTTCGTGCTGTATTTAGTGTAGACATTACGTTGTGAAGATGGAGGCTTGAAGTGGCTGATGCAGCTTTCCCTCTGTGGTTAATTGTTTTCAAAACTGCATTAACTCCTCTTCATGAAAGAAAAAAGGAGACTAATCTACATTGAATCAAGCCTCAACTTTAATGTGAATTTAAATGTTTTGTATATACTAACGGTATATTAGTAATATGCTTTAGTCATAGTCAAATGTTATAATTCGTTTGTGAAAATTTTCGGATACAGTAATATATTTTTCGTATATTAGTAAATTATTTTGATGATATTATAATTTTAAATCATCAGAATATCATTCTACAAATAATTCAGCATTCTCGTTTTTTTATGGTGTTAAAACTTATAAAAGTGAAAATTAACAATAAGAGTAAAAACCAAAACTTTTTACAATAGTGTACAACTATGTTGATCTTAATGTATCATAGTGGTGATTCGTCAGACATATTGCTGAAATATATTTAATAGTTTTCAATCAAAGTAGTGACTATGCCTAACTTTTTCAAAAAATAGGCAATATTTTCACAAAAGATGTACATTAGGGTATTGATTTGCAAATCTTGTTCTACATACAAAATAAGGCAATGAATCACAAATATTATGATATATTAAGATCCAGAAATAAATTTATGATGTATATTAATAATCTAGCAAAGAACATATAGGAACATGGATTAAATCAATGGTATTGAATGACTAGAAAATTTGATCCATTAGAAGGATATGTTTTAAGAAAATCAAGATGATAGTTTCTTATGTTAAATTATTTAAAAAATAAGAAGATAGATAGGTTCAAGAATAACATAAAACTCAGTGATCACTGGATCTAGCAAATCACGCCTCATCTCTTTGAGCAGTGAATCATTTGCTTGCTTGTTCCTCGTTGGAGTTTATTTCATCTCCATTCCATGTTGCAGCCATTGCATTCAATTTTCTGATTGGTTCCTTTTCACCTTGAACAGTTGGTAATGAAAGGGCATGGTCTTTTACATTCAAAACAGACGTCCTTGTACCTAAAATTAACAGAAAATTTATAACTATTTTTACATTCATCACTTTTTATCTTCATTAAGACACTAAAATTATTAGAAATAAAAACTACCTTCAGTGTCACTACTAGAATCGGCCAAATAATTATGTTCTTTCAAGGCAATGCTTTTCTTTCCTTGTTCCTTCTCTTCCTTCTCCTTGATTAATCTAATTTCAAGTCTTACCAAAGATCCATTAGTTCATCTAATGTAGTTTTCATAACATCCTTAGCATCCCCAATAGTTATCCTTTCGGTTTCCATGTAGATATTAGTGATATAATGACTTTTCTATTTAATTCAAAGTTTTTTAAGGTTTTATCCAAACCTTAAGACAATTTATAATTTTTCTAAATGTAGTGAACAAATTCCTGATCATGAATTTATAAATCAATTTTAATATCTTTCAACTATGAGGTCTTCTCATTGATGATTTCCATTTTTCTCAAATATCTTTGACTACTTCACAGCCAAAAATTATAAGAAATTCATTTGTGTCCATATCACAGTAAAGTCTGTTAATAACCCTATCTTTCTATCTTCCTTATATGGCCCATTTTCTCGTACACTCCAAGCATCCCTATCATAAAATTTAATGAATATCATCTTCTTGCTTTCCATTATGTATAATAAGATCCATTCCAAAGTGGTCAATTATTCAATGGACCCTCGAAAATCTAATTTTCGAAGGTCCTAGATATAGTCTCTATTCTAAATTTGTGAAATCTCAAAGTAGGGATGGCTCATAAAAAGTTTTGTTCCCTTGGATGACGAAGATAGGAGTAAACAGGACTGATGAATCTATTCTTATCAATTATCATTGTAAATTAATTATTGAGCCCCTCATTTATGTTTATGTAGATCATATTGTAATTTTTAACTATACTGTAACTTTAGTCGGAGATGATCTTGATTTGGACAAAACAAATGACTTTTTAGTAGTTTGACCACATAGGCCTACATCCACTCTCCTAGATTTCACAAGTCTACATCAGCCTGCAAGAAATTAAGTTTCTATAGGCCATAACCACATGTGATAAGCACACAACAAGTGCTATAATGTAACAAATCAAATGTTAATGACACCTACAACATTACACCTTGTCACCATACACTATGGCATGTGTTGGGCCTCAATAATTCTTTCCAAGCTGAACCTTTGAGACAACAATTTTGGAGAACTCAATAATATGTTGATTATTTAGAAAGAAATTTAGGTAAAATCACTACTAATCCTAAATCATGAAATTGATGATATAGGATATGAATTTATGATTGAAGTTTGATTCATTATAGATAATAAGAGGAATATTTATTTTGTCTAAATTTGTTGAAATGAGAATTGACATTTTTTTATTAAGATATTCTTTGAGGAAATTAAACGACATGCACTTAATAGATCGTGAAAATATTAATTTTGGATTTAATATGATGTTTCAAAGATTATCCATCTGTTATCTTTTCAGGTTCATCCCGTTATACACTTAAGTTGGATCCCACTGAACGCAGCCCAAAATGGGGCAAGGGAATCAAGGTCCACCCAAAGAGAAATCAATTTGGCCCTAAGTGAGAAACAAGCCACTTAAGGTTACCATAGCAGTAATGGCTCAATACCGAATAGGCCTTTTAGTGAGTATTTAAAAAGGGTAGCACAGCCCATTTTGCCCAACTTAGGACAATAGGATACAAATCAACATTTCAGATGATGGTGATTGCTTCAAAATCTCTCTATTCTCCACCCCTTCCTTCCAACGTCTCAAAAACTCAAGAATAAGGCCAAGATCAAATCAAGAGAGTCGTGTAGATGAAGAAAAATTTTAAGTGTTCCTCTACTAACTCTTCATCCCCCAATCATTTCATGAAGGTGGTGCTAACTTTATCTTTAGTTAATCCTCTATTGATATTATGATTTGAGTTAAACCATGGACTCATTGAGGGACTTGTGGTGTGCCTACAATGAGGTAGGCTTAGGACTATCAAGTTCTAGAGTTATAGGTTAGGTGATAACAACCTCACCGAGTCTAGTGATATAAGGAGCTCATCATCTCCTTAATTTAGGTGTATTCTAGAAGGTAGAATAGTAAACGAGAGATGGACTTGGAAACAGAAATAGGTTAAGGGGTTTGGCCAAATCACCATTAAATATTGCATCCCCAAGTGTTCTAACTTTATCTCATACCTAACTATTAGATATATTTATGAAAGCAAAAATCAACTTATACTGCCCCCCTCCTCTTGATTCATCCAACTACCTATCTAGGGACCAACAAGTCTCACATTACTTAATCATTCTCTTGGGCTTAATTAGGATATGCTCAAGTAGGCCACGTCTGTGCGCTTTCTTGGATTACTTTTGAAAAATAACCACAGAAGAACTACACACACATATGTTTTTCTTCAGCTTTTCAATGATAAGTGCATGCCCATATTTTCTTTATAACTTCAATATTTTCAGTAAAAGGTCATCTTGTTCATATATAAACATGTCAATTGATAAAGTGATAAGATTCATGATATATCAGATATTATGATTTTTTAATAAGATGATTATCAATAACTGATTTATACTCAGATTTTTGGAAATAATTTCATAACTTTGCTCTATGTGAATTTACTAAATTGTCCTTCCACATCACCAAAATAGTTTAACCTTTTCAACTCGACAAGAACTTCAAAATCAAATAATGGAAAAGAATTTGATGTAGGTGCACTAAAAATATGAAACATGGGGTACAAAGATAGAGAGGCCCAAAAATAAGATTAAGCCCAAATAAAACATGATAAAAGCATGCGAATTTTCAATTTTAGTAATCTCTTACTATTAAGTAATGTTTAATTTGTTTTCATACAGATCCATATTTTTAGGAGTTACAACTGATCTTTGCTCCATTTAAGGCTAACATGTTCTAGCCCTAGAGAAGAACATTATAACATTTCGTCTACTTTGTGAGATTTTAGATAGCTCGTATATCCAAGCAACCCTTGTGGACTTTAGGATGTTTTTTTTAATCTTTCTACATTTATGGATTATTCAAATCAATCCTTGTGGATTCAAATATTAGGGAAATTAGTGCCTTGTGGATTCATGACTCATTTTTCGTTCTTGTCCATTTTAAATATCGTGCCTTGTGGATTCAAGGCCTAATTTTCTATTATTTCACAATTTCCTGTGCATCAAAATCTTGGTATTAACAATCATATTTCAATGGTCTGTCAAACTCTCTATCAATATTCCTCCTTATAATAAATAGGTAGAGTAAGTAAGCATGGTTGTGGTCACATGATACTAAGTGACTAAAAATGTGTGAACTAATTTTCAAAATTTGCAAGATGCATATTATTTTTTTTTGTATCTAGAGAACGTTTGCTTTATTTGACAAAGGTTGGGATTGTTGGCTTATAAGATTTTTGATATTAACAAGTAATCACATAAAGATAAAAATATAAATTGCTCATAAAGATATTATTTAAATCATTATATCTAGTCCTTTTTGTTGTTAAAATATATTTTTCAAGCATTATATTAAGAAAACAAGCATCAATAAACTTCTGAACATGTTTTCTTGGTAATTGAATATAAACAAGCAAACATTATTTCTTTTTAAAAAAATTAAATTCCTTTGGGTGACAAAATGGACTCCTTTTGAAAAATTGTTTGATGTTTCTCAAAAGAAATGCAATGCTTGTATTCAATAAAGTTTTCAATGCAACTGATTTTTCTCTAGTTCTTCAATCTCTGTATGGCTGATGCCAAATATTATTAACGATCAAAAATCATGACTAAACCTTACACGAACATCTCCCATCAATTCAGGTTCAAATTGAAGGACTCATAGTTGTTTAAGAGAAGATATGAACTTGTGGTCTCTTTCAGTTTAAATCATGCAAAAATTTCCCAAGCCCTCACACATGCATGATCCTTTCTAAAAGCTAGCCAGCCTCCAAAGCATAAAATAGTATATTCATAATTTCAGCATAAAGGAAAAACGTCCCTAATCAATACCACCATCGTGATTTAATTATACAAACATCTTTCACTTAAGCATTATAGTTTCCCAATAAACATTGTCATCAACCTGCACATTAGCAATCGATTGGATGAGTAGCCTTCACCCAAGATTCCTCCAATAACTCTACATATGGAGCTTTGAGATCAACTAAAGTCTACTTAGTGATTCACACAACTGAGTGGGGTGAATGGCTTATGAAGAAGTCAATCAGTTATCATGCAAGCACACATTGACACAATACATGAATAATAATTCACTCAACGCTAGACTTGCCTTCACAAGCCAACCTCGGAGTTTTACTTGATTCAACAGCAAACTACCTTAAAGAAGTTCCACCAAGCATTCTCACCAATGGAAGCATGTGGAGCCTTCCCACGAGTTAAAAATAAATAAACATGAAACTTTCCCGTACCCTGAAACAAGAGGTTTCATAAGCATTCCACTTAATCAGAAGTGATCACTGATGTGACAGATAAAGAAGCAACCGCACCTGCTTTCCAAAGATGGAACATGGATGAGCTATGTTATAAAATAAAGAACAAATTGGGCAACATAAGACATCTGGAAGTCTGAAGATTTAATCAATGTTCGGACAACCATAGTAATTAAAATAAGGTTCATGGTCCTCGTACCATCACACAATGATGTATTCTGTTGTACAGGAGAGCTGCTCGGAAGAACCCCGCTTCTCAAAGCCTGTCAATGGGAGTGAAGGGGACAGACTTGGCCATGGAAAGCCAGTATGCAACATAGATGGAGATACAGAATGCCACCACTGAGAGGATCAAGGAGAAGGCACTGGTAGCATCCCAAGCGCCTCTTGAGGTCGCATAGATACTAGAAGCGGATACAAACTCCATGGGCATCCAGTCGCAGCTCACCGAGTAGTGATCAGACTTACCCCATGCCTTCCCCTCGGATGGGTACCAGAAGGCGACGGCCATCTTCGTTGACTGGCCAATTGTGAACTGCACATCCTGGATTCCAAAAATAGACAATGCCTCAGCGAGTTTCTTTATGGGAAGCCCATTTGTGGATTTCTTGTCTAAGAAGGAGGTGCACAGAAGTACCTGTTGGAGCCTGTCCACTGTTCTCAGAGGCCTTGAGAATTCAAAATAGTAGGTGCCTTTTTGGCCATCTGAGGAGTACGGGCTGTCTTTCTCAACGAAACCTGGCAGTGCAGGAGGACTTGAGGAAGATTGGAAAATAGCTATAAAGTATACATATCCAAATTTCTAACACCACCTAAGCTCCTATCACAAAAGGAATAAGAAGGGTAGATAGATGGGCATCATTAGGGCTACACACAGAAGAGCTCCCACAAAATTACAAATGCCAAAGGAAACCATCTTCCTTCATGGAGATGGCGACGAACTAAATTAAATATCATGTAAGAAACTTGGCCTAATGCCCATCTGTGGTTTACAGATCGTTCAACATGCAAAATTACACATATCAAAATCCCTCGCGATAGACAGTGTTTCAATTCCAATTAGCCCAGGATATCAAAATCATTACCTCAAATTTGTTCACATCAAGTTCAATAATCGGATTGGGAAACTTGACACAGTAGTGGATGGTTAGTACGTCATCTATCTTTCTAATGTCATCCATGATTAGAATCCAATGACTTCTTTCTCTTCTGAATTTTCCAATCTACATGCTAAGCCAGCTGATGTGGACAACGAAAATGTACGAGAATAGAAAAAAGAAAATTCCTGCTATAAACCCTGGAGTTTTTGGCCTTGTTTGATAATTACCTAAAACAAAAAAAGATTGACAAAGACTTATCTAGGGAGATACTGAGCAAGAGAATACCCTCAGGTGTTTGACCAAGTGCCTGATGCTTTGAGCTGGTCTCAGAACCAATCCCATCAAGCCAGCAAAAATACACTGAACATGGGCGACATGTACCTGCTGCTTGAAGTAGAGAGTGGAGAAGAGTCTACTCTTTCCAGATCCATCTATCAGCTCTTAATGCCTAATATGAACCAGGAAGGATTTCCTCCCTACGAGATCCAGTTATGCGTGCCCTCTTATGATTTTTCTCTCCCTCTTTTACTATTGTTATAAGATACACAGGTGCATGTAATAGAGGCATATCTTCGTTTGTGCGGATGGTTTCTAGCGGTTCCAATTAAGGAGAGTCAAGTGGGGTGCGTGTGAATGTGGGAGAGGACCAGTCAAAAGAGACCTCATCTCCCTTCTCAGGAGTTCCAGCCCTTCATCAAGCATCAACAAACACATGAAAAACAGAACAAACGTAAGACGTGGGTGTACCTGAATGTGATGTTAAGGAGCTGTGCCACCAAGCCCCTTGCCAATCATTCTGTGCACTAGAATCATTTCCTAAGAAAAAAGCCACATTGAGTTAATAAGTACCATCGAAGGTAATACCCCAACAATGGGAGACCAAAAACTCTACGTACATTACTTTGCAATGAAAAAAATGAATTGGAAATAACAAGGGCATTAGAACGTAACTGAAAATCAAAGGGATCCTTGACATGGTATAGCGATCGAATGCCATTAGATGCCATTAGAGAACCACTATGTAAAGCAGACACCTCATAAAAATGATTCATGTTGATCAAATGAAGAAAATAAATAAACTTTCAAAGGAAGAAGGCATGCAATATTAGTCATTATATAGAAGAAACCGAAGAAAACTTCAACACAAACACAGGCTCACACTAAACGTATCATTCCATTTTTTCTTACATTTACGAAACGAAAGACTGTCAAATTAATCCTAGGATTAAGAGAGGAGTGAGTATCTCATTTCCCAGAAAATATGCAAATATTAATACCAGTCAGAACTTCATTCTCTTCAAATTATCATCATCTAACTAAGAACCCTAGACTTCTGCTTTGGCAAGAACACAACCAAAGCAATGAGTTCGTGGAACTGGAGACACTATAACCCAACTTGTACAGTTGTCAATGGAATCAACGGACTGAACGATGTGGAATCATTGAGTTGTTTCTCTCCGTGCTTCTAAGAGGCCTCACAGCATCTACTTGGTAGGTCCTACAAGTAGTCATTTCCTTGCCTCCTTTTCTTTGTTTCTCTTTGCGAAAGTGGATAGTACAACATAAGAACTACTAATGGAAAAGAATAAAAGGGTATCATATGATATTAACAAATGTCTAAATTGTTCTCTCAATGAAGGAGAAACCCTGCTATGGTCACCAAAAAGCGTGCAAAAGGATAATGCATGCAACCCCAAAATATTCAAAGATATCACGTTTCCTTAGCTCCTTGAATGTGTGAATGCTATGTGAAATACTTAGGCCTACTAATTCAACCCGATGATCACCAGTAGCCTCAATAGGATCATTCTTTCTACTTGCCAACCTGATAATGTGTTCCTAGGAATAGTAATCACGTTTAAGATATCCATTTTTCAATCCTCGGCTCTTCTGCCTCAATCTGATTGTTATTGTTAAATGTTCATGAGAATAGAGATACTTTTCAGTCATACGTACGAAGTGCATACAGTGTATTCCTCCTAGATGAGTGGAATCCCGAGTCCTGTCAATGAAGGTTAATCTTGCTTCCCATAATCCCATAATCTCCCAGAGATAATCCACTGGATACGTCAATCAGTCTATCATTCAAGGAACTGTATCCTACCTCCTTTTTCCAAGCGATGATATTCTTCTTGTTCTACCAATTTTTTTTGTTTATCATGCCTCTTCAAGAAAATATTCGGATATGTTTCGGTCAAATATGGAAAATCAGCACTCACAATCTCACTGAATTCTTACGAAAATAAGCTACGACGTAAAAAAGAAGGCAATTTCATCAACCACAGCCACCATTATTAAACATTCAACATTGCACTGTGGACGTTGGCTTTGAAGTCTGAAATCAAAAAACCCAAAACATCTCGCTCTACCTAATTGCATGATTTTTATAACCTCTAGAAATATGGCTAAAGACCAGTGATATTTCGCAGTTAACTATGTGGTCCCCTTCCAAAGGAAACATTTTCCCAACCAACGTTAATGCTTGAGACACAAGCAAGCAGAAGATTACCAGCTCTGCTGTATATGATATAAGACAAGAAAATGGCCCATCAGCAAGATACAGCAAATGTCATATTGTGTAACCATGTTTGAATCTGAAATTTCGGAAACCCAGTCCTTATCAATTAACTCAATTGACCGTTATAAATCATATTGATTTCAGAATTAGTTTTAGAGATATAAGTGGTCTACTTTTAATCTAGACCAGCAGACACCATAATAAAGTAGTCAACTAATAACTGGCACTACAAGAAATTAAGAATAACCATAAAAGTACCAGATATCAGGAAACTGTCTGAGACATTCCAGTTGGCATGATCAATTTGGCTATTTCTCAAACTAAAGTAAGAGTCATTGGCATGTTTAGATGTTTGACTGTAATTCGGATCAAATGGGATGACAAATCTCTCATTATTTAACCCAAGGTAAAAAATAAAAACAATAGAAGATGCAATGCAGATGCTGTTTTGACCTTAATGATACAGAAAACAGCCCACCCCACACCACCATCCAAACAAAGAAATAGTTAAAAATCTTATCAAAGAGTGACAGATTGGAATTTCCCTTAGATCCTATTGCAAATTCAATGTCAACTAAACTAGACCTACCCAATCTGGGCAGATAACATATTCGAAACAAGAAATTAAGTTAGCAATATTTTCAAGATGGGATGCGCTACAGATGAACATATGGCCGAATAACGAATAGAAAATATAAGATAATTAAATATCATCCGTTCAATTTGGGTTGAGGACCGGGAATAAAGAAATAATCATCGTGTTCTCCAACTATACAAAGAGGTCGTAGTTATCAAATTAAAAATCTTATTGTTTTACCTAAACAAGTTCAAAATGACACAAACGGTTTAGGCAACAGTTATTTGAATCAAGGCAATAATTATTCATTTCGATGAGAAGCAACTGGCCATTTGAGACCATAGATTACCTAGTGGCCCCTTTCCATCAAGGAATTGGCAGTGAGGATTCCAGGCATAGAGATCAACCAAATTGCCAAACCTACACAATTAATAAAAAATGATACAAGGAAAAGTTAGATTAATAAATTTGTTGCTGACATGTAAAGCAAAAACAAATAGGTCACCTATCATCTCCAGTTGCCTCTTGGTTGTCAATTGGATTGCTGCCATACAACCGCCCAGGAATAGCATTTCCAATTGAAAAGTGCATAATGTCCACCTCATGGCCTTGACAGCTTCTGCTGTTGCATTCAGTTCCAAACTTTCGGCATCCTCCCATCTAAGAAAACGACATTGTGCAGGAAAACCTTTGAGTTACCATAGAGTGAACAAAGTTGAAACTACGAACATGAAGGCCAAGGTATTCACTGGCTTACACTACTGTATGTCGCATTTTCGCCAATTTGGAACATAAGTGCAACAGAAGGACATTTATAACCGTCACTGCTTTTCCAGATAAGACCAAAAATTGAAGAGCAGTATGAGTTTATGATAAAGGAAGCAAAATTATAAAGCACCATTTGATGACTTAGAGTTGACAAGTATGAACAATATTTTCAAAAGGCTGGAAAGGTCAACATATGCACACCAGGAAAAAGACCCCATTTTTGTACAGGTGATATCGGACGATTAAAAAAGTGCAGACAAGCTCTTCAAGATGCAAACAAGTAATAATCAATCATATCAATGTTTTCCAAAATATTTTTGAAGTAAATAAAAAGAAAAATAAGTGAACTTCGCATGGTAAACGATTTAAATACAAAAAAAATATTTTATAATAAATAATAAATTGATAAAAAACAGAGGTAAATCATTGATGTTCCATAAAAAATCATTTTTCCAAAATCATTTACGTAATATCATTTTTTCTTTCCTTATCTTATAAAGAAAAATTCAAATATTCATTAAAACATTAAATAAAAACAATCCTGAACAGATAGTCATCAAGACAAAACCAAAAGAACTTACCCTTTTGTGTATACATAATCGCCTTCAACTCTTAGCAAGAAATATGCATTGTTTCCGTCATGCAAAGCCTGTGAAAAAGTTAATTGAGAAAATATCACAATTTAAATGTTTTAAACACAAAATTTTGGAAAATTTTAGAACACATTACACATTAATCTTATCCTGAGCCTGGTAATAATATCGAGAGAATTATTGGTTTCCATTCGGAGCACGGTATTGCCAAATAATTTTGTCTTTATGTGACATTGAACACAATGGATATTGATGCTGGGAATTCGGTAGTTCAGTATTTGCTACATTGGGATATCTAAGGGAATGGGATGAACTTAGGATGGCACGACAGCCTTCCTGATCTAGATTTCTGATGCATTTAGATGCGTATTGTTGTTAATAGCATAATACAGAATGGCTAATGCTCAAAAGAATCTTCTTGGAACATCACACAACTGTCAACAGCTTGACGACCTAACATATCCTCTGTAGGTCTTGGAGACGGAATTTCACAAGAGAAAATAATTAGCTTCAGATCATATGCACCTAAGTTTCCTCGATTGAAGGGAATCCTAAGTTAAGCTCATTCCATATAGAAGAAAATAACTGCCATACCTTGACGGCCATCTTACCGCCAGAAAATTCCTTATCCCGATCAAAGTCGAGAGCTGGGAGCAGGGAAAATTCGAACCCGTCAGCTTCAGCCCACTCGTCCCCGCGACCGTCGACCGTGACGACGCCGGGCCGAAACTCTGCCACCACACGAGCATCTTCGCTCGAGCTGCATCCATCCCCTAACGGACCCTCCCTGTCGTGGCCCTCGTGCGCTTCTGAGATCGGCACCATTGATGATACCAGGAGAAGGAGCGCGAGCGAAGGGAGAAGGCTGCGAGACATGGCTAGAGTGGGAGAGGACCCGAAGGGAACGAGGAATGAAGCGGGAGACGGGGAGCTGATGGAGGATTCGGCCTTGAGAAGAGGAAGTAGTCATTGCTGAAGACGACGACCCGAGGAAGAGGAAGGTGCCTTCGGACTGATGAGAGAGAGCGGAATCTTTTGGCCCACTACGAAATGACCATATTACTCCCATTCTCATCTGGAACTTCACTGGATAGTTTCCTAATTAGTTGAAAGATCAGGCGTATTTACTTAATCCTAGTTTTAAATTTCTTCACTGTGACGTCACGATTCTGCCAAGGAAGCTGGGCCCCACTAGTATCCCAAACCACCGCTTGTCGGTTATCGGTTGTCACATTTAACATGCCCCTCCTCGTGATGCTAGTTATACGGCACCATACCATGAGGCCATAGCCTGTTGTTCGACTAGCACCGCAAGGAAAGCGCAACAGTAACGATCCTACCTTGCTCCCGTGAGCATCCGACCGGCTTAGTTGGGCCCAATTTCATGCGGATTCGGCCCAAAACTTAACTACTTAAACCTGATCGTGCGAATCAACACCGGTCAGTAAACCGGTCCATGTGGGCTAATAACAGAAGTTTTATGTGGCATAAATAAGAAAACGTGAGAAAGTTGGAGTTAAACGCAAAACTGAGCGCGGGCAGCAGCACCTTGAGAGTATCTTCCTTTTGATTAGGAAAAGTTTGTATGGTGTATGTGAGAAAATGTGAGAAAGTTGGAGGGGTTAAACGTAAAAGGAAGAGCAGTCAGCAGCACCTTGAGTCTAATCTTCCTTGAGATTAGGAAAAGTTTGTATAGAGTAGATGAGAAACTGTGAGTAAGTTGAGGGGCTAAACGCAAAAAGAAGCGCGATAAGCAGCAGCACCTTGGGAGTCTTCCTTTTGGTTAGGAAAAGTTTGTGGTGTAAATAAGCCAATGTGAATAAGTTTTAGGATTTCAACGTAAAAGGGAGCGCGGTCAGCGGCACCTTGAGAGTCAACTTCCCTTCGGGGTAGACCTCGTCAACGTCGTCGGGCTCGAGCGCCGGCAGCATGGGGAGTGTGGTTCCGGCGACGTCGGCCCACTCGTCGGCACGCCCGTCGACGGCGACCACGCCGGGGACGTAGTCGGCGGCGAGCCGGACGCCCCTAGCGAGGACGCAGTCCTCGTCGTCGACCTCCTCGAAGTCGTAGTCCCCGTGGTGGCTGTGATGGTGGTCCTCGTTGTGGAGGTGGTGATGGTGGTCGTAACGGGGGTGCGCTCTGGCGGGCGGCGCCGCCGGCGAGAGGAGGAAGAGGAGGAGGAAGAGGAGGGGAAGCCGCGGCGGCGCCGACGGTTGCGGAGCTCGGGGACTGGCCATGGGGAAGGGAGGAGGAGAGTATGAACGTAAGGTTGGTTGCTAAATATCGGCTACTTTTACGGAAGGAACAGAGGTGGATAGTTCGCATGTGTCGAGAAGCGTGTTAAGAGCGGAGGATGTGAAAGTGATGCACCATGGAGAAACAGACGTTAACAGAACTGGCTGATTTGCCCTCGATAGGCAAGGAAGTGCACTCTCGCATGGGGAAGGCACGTGGCACGTGTGGGGTGTCAGAACGACGGATTTGCACGACGTGAGAAGCTGTCATTTCACGTGCGCGGTGGCCGCTCTCTCTCTCTCTCTCTCTCTCTGTTTCCTTGTCTTATTCATCCTCTTCCACAGGGCACGAGAGCGGTCTAGAGTTATTTTTCTCAAATATTTCCGAGATAACTCTCTTTGTGTAATCTTGTAACATATTTTGTGAAAACTGGGCCCCTCTAAACGTAAATGGTTTTCAGAGATGTGTCGATTATTTTTTGTTATCCTAAATATTCATAAAATGTGCTTCAACAAGATCAAAACTTTGTGACAATCCTTTCATAAGTTAACTTGGGCTTGGAGTATGTAAAATGCAGGCCATATCCTAGCTTAGTCCTAGGACATATATGATTTTGATTCATATGTATATATGATGAGGCAAAATTATCAATAAATAGATAGTCTTGAAAACTAATGGAATATCTAAGCAGGTTAAACACATTAATTGTTGATATTCATTGATTAGCACCAAAGGGAAAATACAGACCAGGTTGCAGAATTACTGACACTCATATTGTGAATGCCAAAGTAATCATTCTTGAATGGCAAACAACAAGGTTACTACCTCACTATATAAACCGGTAATCCATTTATGATCAAGACAATTTAAGTTTCAAGTCTTGCATGAAAAATGAAGAAAACTTTGAATTTGAGTTAGTACCCATAAGCCAAGTATTATTAGTTTTGTACCAAGATTGGCATAAAACAAATAAAGTCCACCCTTATATTTAAGGGGTACATAGTTGGGACATAGATGTCTTCTAAAGACTTGTAATGATTATTTATATAAGATAAAAAAAAAAAGAAGCATTCATTAATCATTGAAAGGAGTTTTGTATAATTGAGATGCATAACTATAAAATCTTAAGTTTTGAGTCTTTGCACTATTTGACAAAGAGACAGGGTAAAATAGTCATTATATTACTAAAATTATGTTCAGTATAAAACATTGATAGAATATTTTATTTTTGAATTGAGAGCCTAGATAATTCTAATGATGAAAAATGTGAATAAAGATAATATGGTAATCCTAAATCCTTAAATTATGTTAATCACTTGTCACAAAAGATGAAGACAATCACCAATCCAAGAAATTGTGTTCAAGAGTAAAATGGTCATTCTATAACTTAAATTAGTTAAATCTACTTTATACATAATTTTCATTGATATAAGGATGCATATACCAATTTAAAAGGTACTTGAAAGATGAATACCAAGGAACAAATGATCAACATAATTGATGATTTCAATTTTTTATATATTTGAAAAGAGTAACAAACCTTACATAAAGCATGGGTTTATGTGGTGATAGATCTATTTTTTAATTACTGTAAGTGACTCTTCTACAGCCCAAAGCTCAAACGTATGATAAGCGATCTTCAACTTTCATGAAAGAAGGAAAAAAGTAGAAGCTAAGAACCAATATCCACAAACTCCAACCAAAGAGTTTACACAAGGTAATTAGTAAATTAAGAACCACAAAAAGAAGATAAACTTGTTTCTAGTCAAACATTCAAACTCTTCCTCAAAAGTAATTAGTACTTTAAAAAAATATATCATTTAAATTTTTTTAGTATGCTTCTCTTTATTTTGTACTAAGTGGGTCAAAAAGCCTAAGTTGAGTTGACATAGTTTCAGTTGAGCTATACATTGAAGTATTTTGAGATGAGATTTCTATATGTAAGGTTTAAGCCCACACTTGGATCAAGAAGGGATTGATTTGATAGATCAACTTTTAGTCCTTAATTTTGCTAGATTCTTTAAAGAAAATTAACCTTTTTTACTCTGAAGACTTAGTTTGACTTTTTCTTAGTTGACACATAGATTGACACTTTCTCTTTCCTTTGCTTTCACTTGGTCAACACATACTTTTTCTTAGTGGATAAATAAGTTGAAACTTTTTTTTTGCCACAATTTAGGATGGGTTTACACATCTTTTATATGTTGAAATTTTCCCTCTCCTTAAGTTTTGTTTCGAAACATTTTTCTCTTATTCTAATTTACCTTTCTTATTGTATATATTCCATGACAAATCTTTTCATTTTATAGTGACAATAAAATGTAGGGAACGACTAATAGACCAGTGATTTAAATTTCATTTGAGCATGTGTATAGTAGTAGCATATTTATGATCATTTTTTATCTTTTTATGATTACCTATCTACATCAAAATATTTAGAAAAATAGAAGTGCCTTTTTCCTTTTATTGATCTTCACTTTTCTATATTGAAGATGATACAATTTATACGTTATAATCATATAGATTTTTTCCTCAACTGCAATCTTTCATCTAATCTTATAGATTTTTCTTATAGGATAATAATGTTTTATATTCCTCAACTGCCATGTTTCAAATCATGTGATCTATAGTTTCAAGATTAAAAATTTACCTCTTTTCCTTTTTTAGCATCATCAATTCTATTTAGGGTTTCAAAGTCAATATTATCAAGATTATCAACCAATAGGAAAAATCACAAGAAAACATTCTCAAATTTTATTTAAATGAAAAAATATTGAAAATCAATGCAACCCTTGTAGAAGTCGAAAGTAACAATAATTAGGACACTAAGGGGTTTAACCCTTATATGGGGTAACCTTCCTCTTGATTTAATACCTAATGCATAGTTGTTCTAAATAGTCATCTAATGCAACTACACTATCTATGACTATCTAATTGGGACTACTATTATCTGGAGATGGAAGGAAGTAGCCTCGAAAATAGGAAAAAAACTCTTCTAATCATATAATCTGGAGTATAACAATATCCTAATAAGCCCATTCAGCCATAACTACAAAATCAAGAATAGAAGCTAAGCTCACATTGCATGCATCATTATGACAACTATGCAAATGGATTAAGAGGATACCTGCCCGGTAATAAAGCTAACCATCAAAAGTCTTGGCTGGGAATGCACCAACAAGATCAATCTTGAGATGATTGTTATCTGCTGACATCTAAAGGGATAATTTTTCAGTTATGTTTCTCGAACAACTTTTCCAAGTCACCTTCCTTTTGATCAGCGACCCATGTAACATGTCCTGAAATTTGAATAAAAAGTACCAAGAGGAATTCAGCATTATGAAGCACAATTTTTCAATTAAGAATTATGAATTTGACTAAGAAAAATGTTTTAGTTCCAAATCCATTATTGGTCATAGTATGGCGGGATTCATCACAATCGCACAATTCACTAGAATTATCGAAATGATATACAAACAAAAGAAATAGTAGGATCTTCTAATTTAAATAAATTAAAACTATATTAACTGCAAAAGTTTAGAGTTTTAGGTCATTTCATTGGGTGTAAAATTATGACAATGTGATAGGCAATATCCTTTTTCCAACCCAACAATTTGTGACAATGACCCAATAGATCACAAAGCACAAAACAAGGAAAAAATAAATAAATAATGGGGATGCACTTAGCTCCCATTAGTGGCACGTACCAAGGTAAGAAAATGTCGTTTAATGTGGCTTGCCTTTTTTTTGAGACTACCACATTAAATGCTCGCATTTCATGCAGGAACCTTTGGAGTACCTATGGTTGTTTATTCAATTTAGCTAGTGCCTATGGATAGAATAATAAAAAAGATTAGAAGTGACTATGGAGTTGAATTTCGTAATTTTAAATTTTATGAATTATGTACTGAATCAGGAATATCACATAACTTCTCAACTCCAACAACTCCTCTACAAAAATGAAAATTCTGAGAGGAAAAATAAGATATCATTTAACATGTCTAGAATGATGTTGATGGATAGCAAGCTTCTTAAATATTTTTATGCTGAAGCAATTAGTGCAATAAGTTATTTGATTAATATAATTTTGATTAAACGAAAATTAAATAAAATACCTTTTGAACTACTTACGAATAGGAAGCCAATTTTAAACTATTTCAAATCATTTGAATGCAAGTGCTTCATTTTAAACAATGGAAGACAAGAAATATGACAGTTTGATCAAATTTATGTATAATAATCAAATATTTATAGACGAAAGCCAAATTTAAATAAGAAATATGTATTTAAGAATATGAAAATTCAAAGATTAAAAAAATATATAACAAGATTAAAAAACCATTCATGTGAAATTTATAGAAGAACCTATATCACAAAAGATCATTCCAAACCAGGTTGAAATAAATGAGATGCTAAATGTAATTGAAAATGATGATTAATAGAATGAAGAAATGTCAAACTTAGATCATAATCTGAAAAGTGAAAATCTACCTAAGATTTCAAAATATGCTGACTCATCCAAAAGAAAATGTCCAAATTTATTTAAGTAATAGGACCAGATCAAGACTAAAAAAAATTTATCCCCATGACATTACTTTTCAAATTAAACCTAAAAATGTTGATGATGTACTCATAGATCTAGATTGAATAAATATAAAAAATCGAAATAAGGATTTTTGGTAAGTTCCAAGAGATGATCATCAAAATGTGGTGGGAGTAAAGTGGGTCTTTAGAATAATTAAATGAAGTAGTAATTATAATAAATAAAGTATTATTAATTACCCAAGGTTATTTTCAAGAAGAAACAATTGAGTATGAAGAAAACCTATTTGATTAGAACAAAAGCATTAGGAGTGTGAAATCCCAAAGTCTCTATCTTCAATTGCATACACATTTACATCTAAGTATCCACAATGTATTCTATTCAAGTTCCAATCACTCTGTTATTCCCATATCTCCTCTAAGATGGTTGATACATGTTGCTCCTCCATTCTGAAAAATCTTTCTAGAACCTTAACATATCATACACTGTCTAAGAAGGAGAAAAGTAAAAATATTATCATAGATTACTCCCCAAATAATTATGGACCTTCTTCTCCAGCACAAACATAGCCACCTTCTCCCATTCTAACATCCTTGACATCTATTATTCCCAAAGAATCAAAGGATTCTTACAATCCAAACAAATCACTCAAAGCCCTTCATCAACTTCTCGCTGATATTCTAGAACAAATCAATCAAGAAAGTATCAAAAACTTATCTAGTTCCCATCTATGATCGAAATCAAGCCCTCTTCTATTGCAAACAACCATTGAACCTGTCATTTAATCTACAAACTTTGATGACATGTTACCATCTAAAGTGTGTAACGCTAACCTTGAGTTTTTCTCTACTTCAAACATGCAGGTCTCTTACATATAGTCTTTAATTTCACTTTATCATTTTCTCCACATGAGACTAGACTTAAGTTTTATTGATTCATTTCTTATATTAGTACAAATGTATTTCCTTCTCTTATATTGTGTCATGCATTTACAAATCATTCTGATCTTCCTCTCTTTTCATAAATGCTAGGATCAAAATAATTAACACTAGATACTTTCTTCTTAATGTTCATTTTTTTTAGATTACATAGATCCCTTAACGTTTTGAAGAAAGACATTAACAAAGAGGTTATGATTGATTCATCTCTTGAGAAGACTCTAAATCTTCCTCTGACTTTTGAAAAGTCACCAACACCTTTTTCTACACCACCATAAGATCTCCATATTTCAAAAAAACCTTCCATTGTCAGCCCACCTACAACTAGTGCTGAAAAACTCTTTGAAAAAGTTGTTAAATATCCTCCTTGTATTGTCACAAATGACATAACATTATCCACTAATCCTATTGATTCATCTTCTGAACTAGAATATAATTTCATTGTTCATTGTAGAAGCTCATTGGTCAACCAAATCATTGTACAATGAAATAGAAGTCTCCAACTAAACCCACTGATAGTCAGTGTATGTTCACCAAATCATCTTCATCAAAGTGTCTTATATTTCCTTCTCCACATACTCAAGAACCTAATAGATATGCTCTCACTTCTATTGAGCCATCTCTACCCAAGACGATTCAAATCTATCATAGTAAAACCTACTAGCTCTAAAATTTCACAGACCAATGCTGCTTTTTTTAAGAAGAAACTTATAGCTACCATCATAAAAGTTTGTAAATCCAAACTAGCCAATAGCATAGAGATCCTTTCATCCAAAATACATTCCCCTCCTTTCTGGTCTATGTCAAGATTTCCCTCTACATAAGTTGAAACCAAATTCCAAACATCAAATTTAAAGACAAAAAATCAAGTTCAAGTAAAGATATAACTATGTAAGGCTTTAAAGTTAAATCTCCATCAACTATCTTTAAAAGTATAAAATGTTAGAGAACTTTCAATTATGGGCTAGTTGTTCTCTTGCTGCTGCGGCATCAATACAATTCTGGCATGGCAATTCTCTCTCTTCTTTTGCGTGCGGCCCGTGATGAATTTTAAGAGCAAGAAGCGGAACAAAAATGTCAAAGAAGAGACTGATGTATGGTTCAATTTGGTTTCATTTTGTATTAGTTGATTGAGTGATAAAAGACATTTAATAATAGGAAATATGTGGCACTTAGATATTTTAGAGTATTAAATATAAAATATTGACCTAGGACTTGATCTCTAGAGTTTGCACAACCAAAGTTGTGAATTTGAATGAAGGTGATAGAGGTATTTAAGCTGCTAGAGTCATAAATCTAAATAGGTGAGATGACATTCTGTGTACTATTTGTGAATCATAAAAAATTCAAGACTTTCTTTTATTGAGAATAAGGTATAAAAAATTTAATAAATAAATATGCTAGCTCTCTCGTATGATCCAAATAACTTATTTACCTAGAATGGTATTTTACCTAGAATAACTTGAGAATTTTTATGGTTAATAATCCAAAATCAGATAAAGATATAAGTTGGTATGAATATTCTTTTCAAATAATTTTAAGATTTTTAAAAAAAAACTTCATTTAAATAAACATATACAATTTTCTATGAGGACAGAGGAGCTTAGGAATAATTAGGTGGGTCTTCATTTAAAGCTTAGGCTTTTTGTGTTGTACATGTTGAGGGCAATAAAATCAAAGGATCTTAGGAATATTCAGGTTGGTCTTTACAGATGTGATGTTAGTCAATAGGTTATTTTTACACCCAAATTTAGAGGGAAAGTCCAAACTTATCACCTGACATTGCTCATCTGTAATATTAGATAATCATGTTAACAAGTAGAGAAATAATATATTAACTCACATAACTACAGTTCTTTTTTTCTTTCAAATTCAGAGAAAAAGTAAGAGTCGTTGACTTAGCCCATTTTAGGTATTAGATGTAAATATTACTTTTGGTTGTTTATAGAAATACATCAATAATTATTACGCAAGTAGGTTTCACGGCTCGGCGGGTCGTCCTTGCCTACGTCGGGCCCCCGTCCACCTTTCTGCAACAACTGTCCCCGAGGGTGATTCGCCCGGATGGCCACGGACGCCTATCACCCGCTCCACTATCAGCAGTAGAACAGTGAGTAGCAGCTCGCCGGCGTCCAGTCTGCAGCCGACGGCGGCGGGCCACCCTTTAAAGTCGGCCGCGACAGATACCATCTCGTCGGCGTCATTTCAAAGCCCTCCCAGGTACTGTCCATGTCACCGGGGACGACTGTTGAGCGGCGAAGCCAATCTCCGGTGAGCAAATTGGCACACTCAGTCATGCGCAAGGATCTCTGAGAGATATCTTCTGCTACAGCTAGCTCCAGCCTGCTGCTCTAATGGAGGATTGCCCTAATACTGAGTAAACCTGGATTTACAGGCGAAACGCAGAAGAGAGAAATGGCGGCGTACAACTTCCTGATCTTCTGCAAGATCAGTACTGTTCCCCGGCTGGACCTCCTAGGGTGAGAACGACGCCCTGCAAATCGGGGTTGTGTCTAGCGACGGCAGCGGCGGCGTCGGCGGTCTTCTCCGGCGGGGGGCGGTGGAGATGGCAGCCGGAGTCTGGGGATGAGGAGACGGCCGGTGGCGGGGTCGGCCGAGCTTGGATGGAGATGGACGGGGACTGTTTCACAGCACGAAAGGAAAAGCTGAGATCAACGAAAATCCCCGTTTTAGGTCAAGAGGCAGAAGAAGCTTACAGGAGCAAAGAGAACTCCTCGGAGAACCAGTCCGTTGACTTTTGCCGTCATGAGGTAGCCGGAGTCGAACGCCCCGTCGACAGACCCTCGGACCTCCGCTCCGATCTTCACCACATGCAGAAACACAGAAGAACTGTTCATGACGTTTATTTTTTGTCGTCTTCTCCGGCACCGGCGGTGTCTCCGGCGAAGGCAAGGGCCGCTTACCGTTAGGGAGTGCTCGGACGAAGTGAAGAGCTCATAAGTAGACTTCTGCTTGAAGGTAGAGAGAGCTGAGGCCATGTTCCGGCGGCTGTTCTGCTCCTGATCCGACTGCGATGGAGACGAGTGCTGCGAGAGGGAGAGGGAATGCTCTTCCTGCTCCGACTCCTCCTCCCATGTCTTCCTCCTTTTAGGGTAAGGGCTCTCTGAGATAGAGATAGAGAGACAATGAGTGAAAGAGAGAGAGAGAGAGAACCAGAGCTCGGAAGAGAGAGGAGTAAACCCTTGTGCGCAGCTTCGGGGGCTTCATGGTCACTGCCCTTCTTGCTCGGATCTCTATCGCCGGCGTCTGAGGTTCTCTTCTGCAGACCCATTTCCCAGCATACCCAATCATCATCCTTTCCTCGGGGGAATCTCCCTCTATCCTGGCTCCATCGGCAGCCGAAGATCTTGCAAGCGGGTGCCCCAAGCTGTAGAATCACCAACTCACTGAGCGGTCGTTCGTCCTCCCCGCAGCTGCAAGCAAGACGGTGTTCAGCAAAACCCTAACTGACCAGAAGAGAGATGAGAGATGGCGGATGATGATCCTATTACCCCCCATAAACAGCGACATCTGAACCTGCAACAACAGCGGTGTGAGAGAACCTCCCCTGCGGCCGCCGCCCGCCCACGTCGAGCTGAACCCAAGAGCAGCTCCCCAAGTCAAGAACCCAAACGTCACTATAGTATCTCTTATCGCCGACGCCTCCGATGACGTAAATCTACAGCAATATTCGGTAAGTGCACCAGTGATTGAGGAATTTTCTCCACTGTCGCTCTCAGGATCGCTTACCTTGTTCCCGAGGTTCACCGCCGCATGCCCCGCTCGAGCTCCAGGAGAAGGTCCAATAATCACTGGCTGCAGACCAGAGAAATGGAGATTAGCGTTTGCAGAGGCTCGAGGAAGAAGACGAAGTGAGACGGGCGTACCCTGTACCAAGTGAGAGTGTCTACGTCCAAGATATCGACCTCCCCATAGTAGCGGTCGCCGCAATCGCCGCCGTAGACCAGAAGACGGTTCCCAACGGTGGCGGCGATGTGGCTGTCTCTCGGCGGCGGTGGATCCCCCCTCACCATCGGAGAAGACCATTTCATGGCCTTGAGGTCCAGAATGTGGACGTCGTTGAGGTAGTTCCCCTCACCATCGCCGCTGCCGCCGAAGACTAAGAGCTTGTCTTCTCCGACGATGGTGGCAGTGTGGCTCTCCCGTGGGCAAGGAGGAACTCCATCGCAGATGGGCCTGCTCCATTCTCCGGTGAGAAGGTCCAGAATGTGGAGTTCGTTCGTCTTCCTCGACCCGTTTGTTCCCCCAAAGACGATCATCCGGTGGCGGAGCACGGCGGCGCTGTGGCTGTCCCGGCTCTCCGGGCGCCGTCCGGTGGTTGCCATGGAGCTCCAGGCCATCGTCTTCAGGTCGAAGGTTAGGACCTCGCCGAAGTGCAACCCTCCACTGCAACCCTGCGAATCGATGGAGAGTGAAATCCCGGAAATTGCAGAAAAAATTGCAGGAAACAACCGCCATGGAAGAAATTCTCTGCAACTCCTCCAACACACCCCGAAAACGTAGACGATGCCGCCCGAGGAGCAGGCCGAGTGCCCCCATCTCTCAGAAGGAGTGAACCCCGCTAGCCTCGGATGGACCCACGTCGGCTTCGTCTTTCCCTCTATTCCCCCCAGAGAACCCATTCTCTTCCCAGAAAGACGAAGAACGACACGGAGATGGAGAGAGAGAGAGAGACAGAGAGAGAGAAATCTTGATTTCGCCCTCAACCGTCGAGGATAGAAGGACACATATCAGGGCGCGAGAGAGACATAGACAGACCGGCGTAGAGAGAGAGAGAACAAGGGAGAGCCAGAGAGAGATTAGAGATCGCTGTTGGAGGGACAAGAAAGGATGGACTGACTCTTGTCGAGGACACTGTCGACAATCGGCGGGAGGGATTCATCTGCTTGAGAGGAGGAGAGAGATCTCGTCAGCGTCACTGTAGACACAAGAGGGAACAGCAACGACCTGACGTCGTCTCCGAAGAATGTCCATAGACTTCGCCTAGGTCATGTCAGCTTATGGCAGAGACGACCAGTCCTCTCCATGGCGACGATGGTATGTCCACGAGGCACCCTCTCTCTCTCTCTCTCTCTCGATCCTGTATCTCATCCGATGGCGACGCGCAGTAGCAACACCGCCCACTAGGAGGAAGATGCACACTAGAGAGTGGCGCTCCTACTCGGTGAGAGGTCTTTTAACAATACCGCAATGGTGTGGAAACCTATTCTCACAGAACCTGTCAATTCGAGTATGTTACATCGGGATTGATGGATCCCAAAATAGAGATCAACGTCAACGATGCCCCTACGCGGAGCACGTTAAGCCACTTTGTTAGGCTCACCACTTCCTCGATCTTCGCAAATTTTCGGAATTGAAATCTATCTTCTCTCGATATCCGTGATCGGCTAAACGCACGGTCTCGATATATTGCCTAAAGGGATCACCGATAAAGTCCATGGATCTGATGGCTGAGTCCTCACGGTCAGCGGCATATGATCCTAGTATCGAGGCATTCTCACACTAATCGAATGATGCAGGTACACGTCAGAAGGGCCGCTCGATGAGCCTTTCGAAGGGCCTCACGGTCAATCCCCCATTCTTTGAAAGCCCGCTGACGTGTGATCGTTGACGGTGACGATTCTTTGTCGACCGCGTCGCAGGCGAAAGACGCGCGTCACTTCGTACCAGAACAGATTCGTACGCTGACTCATTAATCGGTGACAGACGGCTGAGATATTCGCACGTGTCGGACGCAGAGCCCAGGATAAAAATCTAACGGTCATGTTCTTCTGCAGATGGTTAAATCGGTCGGACCGGACGCATGGCTTTCTGACGTCATTTCAGAAGCCACCCCAAGCAAGACCTTAGTAAACTTACGTCTGGTCTTTAAGGACCCGATAAGAATCCGCTGAGGCATTGAACGTGATTTGAGTGGTACATTAATGCTGGATGGATGCGACGGCCCTGATTATCTCATACGGCATCAGAATGAAGAAGAAAGCAGCAACCATGTACGCCTATATTTTAAGATAAAGAAAAGGCATAATATTTTTTAATTTTAAAAAATAATACCAATAATAGAAACTGATGATGGTTAGTTAATAATTTTTAATCAACATGAAAATATAAGTTGCATTAATGTATTTTGGCAAGAATGTAAATCCCATCTCATAATCATATTAAGAACTAGTAATCCTCTATCTAGCTTCTTGGGTTTAAGGAGGAGTTACTTTGAATTGCATTAATGGAGTTCATATCTGTCTATAACATGTTGATTTACCAAGAATTTTTTTTAATGGAGACTGCATACTATTTATGGTGGGACAATCTAATATAAATAGCAAAAAATAGAAGACTATGTAGAGTTAGTGCTAGAATAATCATGATTTCTATAATTTGTCAAAATAAAGTCAATTAGGGAATTATTGCCTAGAATGGCAATAAACTTTATTGGAGAATCATGGATGAAATTTTGTACAATTTTCTTTCACTTCTTCTAACATGCCATAAATTGTATTTGTTACATTAATAATATCGTAATATTAGAATTTTAATTTTTATAATATTTTTTGAAAACTCGTGTAGTTTTTTTGCTGATATGGATAATGTTATTTATTTTGTTCTATTTTTTTGAAATATTATTTTCTCGTAATGGGCTTTTCAAAAATCCTTTAAATAAAACCCCACAAAATGCTCAGATGATGCCAAGGATTTGGACCTTCCAAATTTATCAAAAATAATAAGTTTTAAACGGTTTTAGGGAAAATTATCATGCTATTAATGACCATGCTCGCCACTTTCGAGATCAAGGGGAAAAAAAATCTAAACAGGTGGAGAGGCCTAGGGACGCCATTTGGCATTCCCACGTGGCAGCATGCGGTCCGATTAAATGGACGAAACTAGCCCTTCAGCACGCAGGACGGGGTATCAAGGGAATTTCCACCTTCAGATCCGCCGTCGAAGGGTTACTCGACGGGCTTCTGTCGCCGCTGGTGGCGGTTCAAATCGAGCTGCCCGCTATCACTCTGCTCCTCCAAGCTTGGGCCAGCGGTCGTCGTCTTCACTCGGGGCTGGGGGGTGTCGTTAGGTTTTTCCTGGATCGCCCCGTGGGTTGGATCCGCGATGGCGGTGGTCGATCTCCTGCCATTGCTCGTGATCGTCCTCGCTGCGGGCTCGGCCGCGGCTGACTCTATCCACGGCTGCGGTGGGTTCGTACAGGTGAGCGATCCCGGGCGTTCGGATTTTTGCTGGTGAACAGTGCCGTAAATTTGAGGTGGAGGACGGCAGTCCGTTGAAAAGGTCTGAATTTTGTTCCGCATTGGTGGCGTTTAATTTCGTTTTGACCAGGCGAACCAGGCTCTGATCAAAAGGAGGAAGACTTCGGAGGCGAAACTGGACTACTCGCACGTGACGGTATGGTTCAGTCTGGGAAACGTTTTCTGCTTCTCTCTGTCCGCAGAGAATGGAAAACACTGCCTTTATTCTTCGCCTAAAATAACTGATTGGATACATGAAAGTAATTTCTCGTAGCCCAACCAGCCGAATGATTGTTTAATGATATCAGTTCATTTTTTTTTCATCTGTTGTCTTTAATTTTAAAATTAGGATCAGAAGATCGTCATGAACTAGAGAATCATGGAACATGATATAAAGGCATCATAATTGTCACTATCATTTGAATGTTTTCAGTTAATCGTTTGAGGAAAACATCTCAGAACTAATCATTATCAGAAAGCCAGTCAATCCCTATGAAAGACAACTTTTTTTCTTGATGCAACACGAAGATACTGGGATTTTTGTTCTTAGTGAGATATCAGCTTACCTTAATGCTTTGTCTCATTGCATTTTTTACTTTACTGTACTTGATAATTATTAATTGGGGGATAATTTTTCATTACATGCTAGCTTTGCTGACCATACTTGCCTCAAAGAAAACATGTTTGCGGTATGACTATTATTTTTAAAAAATATGTGCACCGCTGGCAGACAACTATTTGTGCGATATATTTTGCACATGAGATCGTGGCATCAGATTCCATCGTTTGTGGGTAACATTGGCCATTTGACGAGAAAACTGTCATGGAGTCTGTCATGGCCTTTTTTTTGTTGCATAAATGTTCATTTATATTCCAACTATACTCTTTCAAAGAGTCAAAAAAGTTATTTTTCAACTAGAATGCTAGGGTGGCGATGCGAGCTCCAAATATTTAGCTTGCTCTCCTTTTACTCCCCCAAAGTCAGATCAAATGCCTCCAATGTTAAGATGCAAGTTGACAATAGTCTGTTTAATAATCACATGCATTATTATATTCTTCCTACCTTGTATCCCATAGGATGTCAAGAACAGAAACAGTCAATGAATATTGGTGCAGTGAGACTGCCAAAAGCTGTGGCTGTTGCCAATTGCACTGGTGTCTTGGCAGTCTGATTTCAGTCACTCATAGGACCTATGTAATTTCATTTGTTTTTTCTCACTCGCTATGTCACAACGCCTTATGTGTACTTACATCTAGTTTTCTTTTCTTATGAATTATTTTCCTCCTTGCTTACTTTTTCTACCTCCTGCAGTTAGCCTCTGCTTTTTATAGTTAACTACGATTCAGTTTGGCAAATGGCGTTATAGTAGAGCTATAATGCCATTTACTGTTCTTGGCTCAATTGAGAGCTATAGTACTTTGGCCTAAAATATTTGATAAAATGCCTTACTGCATGATAGGTTGAGCTTCGCACTGTTGATGGATTACTGAAAGACAACACTCAGTGTGCTCCAAATGGCTACTACTTCATCCCAGTGTATGATAAGGTACTGTTTTCTTGAATATACTATCTTTTCCTGGATGACAATTCCTTTCATCCATAAACTGACTTTACAGTGCAAATCACAATGTGGTACTTTTATTTGTGCATGATTCTAGAAATACTATGTTTATCAATGTTTTAATTTTTCATTGATGTTATTCTTCAATATGTTGCTTTCCTTGGTTAACACAAATACGATTGCAAAGCCTCTATTGTTTTGTCCTAATTTCACAGTCAATGTGTAGCTGCTAAAAGTATCCATCCATATGCCTTGCAAACCTCATAGCTGATAAAAGCATTTTGTACTTTCATATAATTACAATTTGCTTCCTTTCAAGAGTATTTTCGTTACTATGAATCTGTTGTAATCACAATTTAACTGGTTTATGGTTAATCTTTGCTAAAGAAGAATGCCTTTCTCCTTTTCTGAAAGAAGAACGTTGTCATCGGTCAATATCCGCCTCACCCCACCCACCATCCAAAAAAGCATAGAAAAAGAATAATGGCTTGGTTATGTGGTAGAATTCAGGATCTGCTGCATTCGCACGAGGGATTTCTCTTTCAACATGGTTTCCTAATGTCTTATTGGGCCATCATGAGGCAGATTTTGGTGTAGGGTAACTTGGGTCTGCTTCATTCTACTTGTCAGATAGTTTTGACAGATTTGCAGATTAGCAGTAGGCTCATTGCCTACATCTATTACTAGTTTAGTTGATTCTAGTTTGAGTTGTATAGTATGAGGCAAATGGTATGCCGAGTTACTTAATCCAAAATTCCATACTTCACTTGGCTTCTGTATTGTATTTTACCTGATAATTAAGTAACATTGTTTTTGTATCGTTTTAACAAGAAACTGGATGCTAAGTTTGATTGGAACTTTTATTGGATTAGTTTGATCAATATCATCAAATACTGTTTCTGCTATGATTCCCACCAGTATTTGAACACTTACATTAACATCATACTTAAGTATATGTGGTCGTGGTTCATATGGATGTCAAAAATATGTAATCATATTATGAGTTATTTGTTTGGGTCTTAAGACAGGAGTGAAAACTAATAACAAAAGTTAGTTTAGACTTTAGGCCGGAATCTAGTTCTCAACATGTGGATGCAACATGGTAGGTAAAGTTTATTGCGATCCATCAGATAACAAAATCTTTCGATTCCGATCTGAATTGGTTACAATTCTAATTCACTTCCAATAATCACTTTCATGATAGATGATTTGATTTCATGGTTCTCTGACTCTTGAAATTAAAGGAAGAAAAAAAATCGGCCGAACTTTGCTGTCAGTAGCATCCAGTATCCCGCTATATTGTAATTACAGGAGGAACATGACGAAAGAGCTGCGCTTGCTGCTTGCTGACAGATGATAGAGAAGAAGAGGTTCAATGAAAAGGAAAATTGCAGATGGATGAAAACTAATGGCCTGTGATCACTAGAGAAATATGTGGGATCAAGGACTTTCATTCCCCCAACATATCTAAATTTCATGCTATGTTTGTGCTAGTCCTCATATCTAGAATTTCATTTCGCTTTCTGTGGTACGTCATACTTGTGTGGCTGTCTCATTCGTTATAAAAGAAAATAGCTAGTGATAAATTTGAACAAAATTTTGGACGTATCTCATATATTTGGATGTATTGGTCAATATCATACGACTAAATATGAATGTTTTCATGAATATGTTTACTCATTGTCTGACGCATATAATAAGGTGACAGTGACGTCAGACTAGGACAAACGGAGCCATAATAAATTATTTTAACTACTCTGAAGTTTTCATTTTTCATGTTGAGCTCATCATATCCACGTATTGGTTTACCTATTTTCTCTTGAAACATTTCCTATAAGCTTCTCAGCTTCTGTTGAGGAACAATATGATTTTCATGAGATATCCAAAGGGAAATGGAGACCAAAACGCAGTTGGATGGAGATATCAAAGAAATATTTTCATGTTGAATGTGTTCACGTCAAATAGGAGAACAGATTGGGGAGTCTGTGCCATCTAACTATGATATCTAAATTTGGTCGATGAAGATGGTGACGGACTTGTTGATTCTTCGTTCTCCGTGAAAATTCGTTTTCTGTAATTTTTCTATTTTTCCAGCTTTTTTTGGTAAAACTCTTTTCCTGAATGCCTACCTTTTCTTTTACTCTTCTGTTTAAACAACCTGATAACGTTTGCAGGGTTCATTTATTATCAAAGTTCGGGGACCAGATGGTTGGTCATGGGAACCAGAGAAGGTGATTTTTTTCTACTAATGTAGATCCTTTCTTATCCTCGGTATAGAGCATCCCTCAGTTCTTAATATGTTACTTGAGCATAAAGTCTGAAGGACAGTTTCTGATCAAACATTAAATAGGTTGCTGTTGCGATTGATCAAAACGGATGCAATGCAAATGCAGACATTAATTTCCAGTTCACCGGGTCTGTATCTTCTAGCTCTATTCATGTTTATGAAAAATTTGAAACAGTTATCCTCTCAAATGAACAGTTCTCATAGATGCCTGGTTCATAAGAAACTGCAATTCTGCCCTGTAGGTTCATGATATCTGGAAAAGTTAATGGAGCGGTCGGTGGTGAAAGCTGTGCTGCAAAAGATGGAGGGCCGTATGATGTAAAAGTTGATCTGCTGTCATCCTCAGGTGACCTTGTTTCGTCAGTCCTAACATCAGAAACTGGGAACTACGCTTTTACCAATATAATTCCAGGTTTGAGATGGCTCCTTTCTATTGTTAATTTGTCTTCGTTTGAGATCTTCCCTTAGACTAAAAATATTTAATTGGTCTTTGTTAGTTCCTTTATTTCTGCATAGTTACCTTTTGACTTAAAAATGTTGGTTTATGGTACACAAAATACGACTCAAAGCATTTCTGATTTAATCGTTCTTTCATGACAAATGCTTGACTACTCAACTTCGAATTTCAAGTTGTGATACGTATTGTACTGCTATTAAGAATTTGTTATATAATAGTTGAATGCACTTAATACTCGGGTGATATTACTCCAATGCTAAGTTTACTTGGATCTGTAATTATTACATTGAGCTCTGAAAGATGGAAATGATCAGTTGTTAAGATGAACATTGAGGAGGCCTGTGGTAGAGAGAAGGTATCATGCCATGAAGCTTACGTCCAATATCTTGAACAATTATATTTCCTCTTGACATATAATTGAGAGGCAGCAACTATCAAGGGGAAAGAGAGTTTATGTAACTTAGTGCAAACTGGAATTTCTTTGAACTTATGAAATCTGCCGTGATTTCAGATGATTTTTGCGAGTTTTGTATATGGAAGGAGGTTAATAGGTTAACATTGAAAGGAAAACACTCTAGCTTTGTTAGTCTGTCTCTGGAAGTCTTAAAGGCAACCACAATGGTGCTGATAATCTTGTGAAAATCTTGCAGGATGAAGTTCTATCTCCAATGTCTTGTACTGAATGTAAATTTTTCTTTTAAAAAATCAATGGATTTTGTGCCAATGTTTTACAGCAAACTGGAGCTAGTGAGATCGGACAGAGAAAGTAGTGAGGGGATTATCCTTGCACGGGATGAATTCAAATGAGGTTGAAGATTAAGTAATTAAGACTAAACGTAGTCCTTGGGAAGAATTAGTCAAAAGGATGGAAGTAGAGGTGGAATTCAAGGCCTAGGACAAAGAAGTTGGGAAGATATTCACAGAGGGTTCTGTTGATAAGTTTATGTGCACAAGGGTATTAAAAACTTAACATTTGTTAAGTCATTCCTCAAAAAGTAATGGGAGGAGTAGAACCATATGTTGTTTAAAAGAAGAGAAATGATGGGACTTCATTGAAAACTAAGATGGATAGAACTACACTATACGAAGTGAAGGCTAGGAAGGGGCGGTGAGATTTGCATGAGAGTTGCTATTTGTTCAGAACTATGTGACGGAGGTTATAGGTTGGAGTATCACGTGATCAAACATATGGGGAAGTCAAAGTTGTTAAATATGATATAAGCCAAAGTAAGATATATAATTTGCCTACATGAGACTCAAATTCGATACTTGTGGACTCTGCTTTTATTAACTAGAAAAGAGGAAGCTGGACATGCCTAGGTGGCTATGTGAACACAGCAGAGGCCAGATTATTTAGTGAAACTAAAACATCCTCGGAGCATTGGATTTCAGAAAAGGGCTTTAGTATTTCTGTGAAGAAGTAAATCTTGGACCGCCTTGGACTTTGATTTGATGCATGGACTTCTTGGGAAAATATTGAGAAAAACTCTTCAATAAACTACTGAACATGAAGAATTATGTTCAGCACAATGGCATGTGTTGGTGTTACTAATTCTCAGGTTGCCTTGGGAAAGGAAAGGCTATCTAAATTGGAGCTGAGATTGAGCTGTTAGAAAAATGGATTCATGACTATCAACTCTCCAACATCAACCATCGTGAGTTGAAAGTTCATCTGAAGCAGCTTACTAGATAATGGTGTTGAACCCCAGCTGGAAAGTTTTTCAGTATCTGAATATTTAGAATAAGAGATAAAGCTCCGAAATTTAAGAGCTGTCAGGGCCATTTTCAAATTATAACCTTGACATGAGGATCAAGAGTAGAGAAGAATATTTGGATTTGGAAGGGTTTGGATTTCGTCTTATGGCTTCAGAGAAACATTCAAGCAGTGGTTTCCAGAGTTCATTAGAAACAATAGGGCATGAGGCTTCTTACACCACTGAGAGTCGCTGTGGTTTGTGAGAGTAACAGGAAAGTGGAGAGGGTGGGATTTGGTGGCATTCTTAAGATACCTAAAGGAATTCAGCTATATTTTAGCTAGGGCAAAGTGCCCTACAGTTAATCATCATATTGTTGGATGCTTCTGCTTGTCAGTAATTATCTTATCCATGTTCATTGTGTCATTCAGCACTACACTTCTATGTTTGTTTCCTTTTCCTTTGCCATTCAATTAGGAAATCCTTTACAGTAGATGGAGATGGCCATGTCGCTTCCAAGTCCTGCTTCTTTCATATTTTCAGTTAAAGTGGCCGCACTACTTCCATATTAAACATCTGTGGATGGTTGCATTTTTTCTGTGGATGCATCTGGCAAGAAAATGCCTCTTGGTATACTGTGTTGCTTATGTGAGAGTTTAATGAGACATTTTTTCCAACAAATTTGTTCCTTTCCCGGAGGGGAACAGTTAAACACTCTTGAACCTGCTCTGTAGATGTCGACATGGTTGTAAATTCGAACTTTCACTCATGAAATCTGGTGCTGGAAGAGTTTCACTTTGGATCATCCTTCTAAATTTGAAGTTCATGATGGTGTAAAAACCCCTTCTCAAATTTTCCCATTTATAAGATAAACAGGCCTTCAGATATTGTGCTGTTTTCCCAGTTATTTATTACCATTTAACCGTAGCCTGCCATATTGGGTTTCCTTAAATTTCTTTTTTATAACCAAATTACTAGTATTAGTAACGTTTTCTTCTTGATTGCTCGCCTGAGTGTAGATGTTTCTAAAATGATTTACGTTCACAGACTTAGATTGGATGCAGGGAGTGCCCTTATTTTTTTTCTAATTACGTGTAGGACAATACAAACTACAGGCTTCACATCCAAGCTTGGAAATTGAACTTAGAGGTCCTTCTGAGGTTTGACACACTCAGTAGCCTTTTATTTTGCGAAATTCATTGAGACACTACCAACAGAAATTTATTCTTTGCAGGTCAACTTAGGTTTTGGAAATGCTTTGGTTGATGATATTTTCTTTGTCTCAGGATATGACATTCGTGGTTCTGTAATGTCTCAGGTGATCTGTCTTACATATGTATATTATAATTTGTTATGATCAAATTTGTCTTTTGTCTTACCGGATTTTTCATGGATCATTTGACAGACTTTATTTATTATGATGCGTTGACTTAATGAAGATGTATGGATGTTGAATCTAATTAAATGTAAAAAATGTTAGGAACATTTTATCAACATACAGAGGTTTTTTTTCATAGAATTGTGGATAATACCTCGGTTGGATTAGCTAAAAGGAATTGACGTTCAACAGAGAATTGCTTTTGAAAGGGACTAGGATGGTGTATTGTTATGTTCCGTGGCTTTAAGAATGATATGCTCTATATATGATAAAAATATTAGCTCTTAAAAGCTTCCATACAAGGAAGCTTGACCTCTTAGGCTCTGGATTTCGTGATATGAGAATCAACAGTCTGTCTCAGCTTTCCTTTGTTTACGTTGGAAATTGCATTGTTATACATTTGAAACCTGCTCATCGTATTCCAGTGACATGGTCTTGTCAACATTTTGAAGTTAAGGAAATCTGACTCTTTTAACTCTGGACCTCATATATTTCTGTGGAGCCTGTACCCAGTTCGTTGGTGGGAATTGTCTTGATGCTTCTCGAAATCCATTGTCGTGCCAAAAATCATCTAGTAGTTGGTTTTTCTACTTGAGGATTTCGAACAAATCTTCCAGCATTTAGATGATTTTTCCTTCAGTTTTTCAATAAAGACATCTTCGTTTCATAGACAGACAAAAAATAAATAATAAAGAAAGCGTTGACTTGGACCTGGTGTTTGCATAGCTATGACATTTGTATAGATCTTGAGGGCCTTTGTTTCTCAAATAAATGTACACCGCTGAAATCTGTTGAAATAATTACTGAAATTTATACGCTTTTCCAAATTAAGGTGTATTTATTGTTCTGCATTGAAAGTAATGGTAATCTAAGTCTTTTGTATGACGTTGATATTTTCTACTTGAATTTTGTATGTGTTATTTTGATTTTCTGTTATTGTCAGGCATAAAATGTGTTTGGATTGTTGCAGGGCAACCCCATTTTGGGGGTCCATATATATTTATACTCGGATGATGTTTCTGGAGTACATTGTCCCCAGGGTTCTGGTAAATCCCCAATAGAGAAAAATGCCCTTTGCCACGCCATATCTGATGCGGATGGGAAGTTCATATTCAAGTCAATGCCTTGTGGTAGAGTTCTCGCTTTAAACTTCCATATAGTCGACTCTTTTTTATTTTCTATATTTTCTTACTATATACTTATAGTGGAGTTGTGTATTTTTAAAACGGGAAAATGAACTTAAAGTGGCAGTTATATTTTGTGTTTTCCAAATAATGATGACAGTTCATACTGTCAAAATTTCCACAGTTCATGATGACTCTACACCTAAACCAGGATGCTCATGTTATGTGTTTGCAGTGGTCTCTCTATTATGTCCATCTATTAAGACACCAGGATGCTCATACTCTTTTGACCTACAAAGGGATTAATACTCAAATAGCTGCATTATTGTCATATATATATATTTATTTATATTCAATTTCTTTGAGACTAGGGAGAGTACCTACGTCGAATGTGAACATAACGTTGTCTAACATTATTGGAAATGAAACTATTGTAGTCTTAAGGCGTTTCATGGTTGTGCCAGATTGGTGGGTCTCGTAGCTTGTGTTGTTTACACCACGTATGCTGCAATGGACCAAATTTTGATTGTCACAAAAACCTTTGGGTCCATCTAGGATCTTTTTCTCCCATCTCATGATCTCGTGCCAATATCATGTGCAATTGGAAAGGAGCACTGTCCCATGAATAAAGTATGTCAATGTAACGTATTCTGCAATGTGCCGCAGTTGGTAGTTTGAACCAGAAGAGATCCCATTTTCTACAACATGTGGTGAAATGGACTTTTATCTTTTCCCAGCCTCTTGCTCACAGGCTGACGTCCTCATTAATGTTCCTGTAATGATTGCATGGCATCTCCTATCAAAAGGCGAAGGATAAAGTACCCAAATCAACAGTCTCCAAGTTCGAGGACATGAACTTTTGGAGCACCCATTTTTATGGAGTATTGATGGTTTTCTGATGGATGGGGGGGGTGTTCTACATAAATTTGTGATTCATTCTTTCATTAGGATTTCATCTGAGGACTGGATTGATGCTTTTTGATGACATATAGCTTTGACACACTACCCTTGATATGAAATAAGCCAGTTCTGGTCTTATTTGGCTTCCTAAGTTTTTTGAAGGGGGAAAGCTTGACCTCTTGAACAACGAATTGGCTGGTGGCCAGGATATATCAATTAGATTGGGTCAATTCCTTTTATGGCTAGATCTTTTGTGGCCTTCCCCTTTGCTGCTAGAGGAAGAGATGAATTAGAAGAGAATAGATGAAAAAGAAGAAGGGAAAGTAGTCTGCAGTGAGAAGAGGGAAAGAAGGGAAAAGGATAGGATAGCGTCTGTGTAAAAAATGAGCACTGAGCACTGCGAGAGCGGCAACTGGAAAAGGGTAAAAAATGGAAATAACTGAGGCAATGTATATCCACAGCTGTGCTACACAGCATTGGCGTCTGTGCATATCGTCTTCTTGAGAATGGGAGGACTGAGTCAAGAGAGAAACAAAAAAAAAAAATGAGGGGAGCTAGGAAAGGTTTGGGGTATTTTGAAGAGAACGCATTTGAATGAAGCTTCTAGATGTGCCTTTTTGAAATCTGTTGGTACTCTAAAAGTTGCAAAACCAATACGTTCATGTTTTTTTCCCCTATAGTTGTCATTGTTTAGCCTCATTTAATATGAAGTCGGATTAGACTTGTCTCTTGGCTGATGCAATTAAAGGAAAAAAATTGAAGGACATTTTTTAAAACACAAGAGTATATTGCTTAATAGGTTTTTTAGAATCTATCCACTATTTGATTATAACGCAGTGGACGTTGGTGCCATAAGTGCTTGGAAAGAATTGAATTGTTGATGGGTTTCTGGGATATGCTTTTTTGAATGTAATATTTTGAATGCTCATCTTGAGGGTGAAACCTGTGATGTGGCTCGTGACCTTCCACGAGTGTTGTTTCGGTTGTAGCATGGCTTATTATTGTTGATGGACTTGAGAGTAGACTTTTAATGTTTTCTATCTTCCTTAAATGTACCTCTCTTCTGTTTAACTGATAACCAGCATCATTAAATGGTTCTTCTCTGGCAGATAACTGATCAACCTATTCTCAAGTGATAACGAATTATCTTTGTGACACAGGCCGTTATGAGCTGTTACCCTTTTACAAGGGTGAGAACACAGTTTTTGATGTTTCTCCGCCTTCACTTAGTGTTTCTGTTGAGCACCGTCATATCTCTATTTCACAAAAATTTCAGGTATGGTGATTAATGATTTCATTGATGACGTTGGTATAGTCATTTTTTTGACCTTTATATTGCTAGCCAATCTCACTGGAAAATTGAAATTTTTTGACCTTTATATTGCTAGCCAATCTCACTGGAAAATTTTCAAAATATTTTGTTTTGTGAAAAATATCGTCTTATGTTGTTGGCTGTTTAATTTGGTTTAAAAACTAGATTTAGGTGATGGCGTTACTGTGAAATTAATTATTTTCCTGTTCTCAAATTTAGTTAACTGAGAATATAGAGTACTTGTTATTTCCTTTGGACGCTATCGTTCCAGAAAAATGCTATTTGAATCATGATAATCGTCTTAGGCCATTGTGTGGTTTATAAGAAAAATAAATCGTAATTTTCTCCTGTAGTCTCCCTTCAATGTGTAAGCTATGTCCATTTCCGACATATGGAATGGGTCATGTATGAAATAAATATGGGTCGTAATATGTTACCCAAATCTAACAGGAATCTCTGATATTAATAATATAAATTGGATCATGTATGCTGTTTTTGCATCCTCTGGCACAATGAACTGTCATATTTTGTTGTTCTCGTGGGTAACATTTTATGATTCATAACGGGCACACCATTTGACAGCTTCCATTGTTTATTTCCATTGTTGGGCACGAAATCTTTTGCTTTTTGATATTTTTTTTCGCATTGAAGAAAGAGATTGCTTGGGGTTTTGGCAGATGACGTATGTGGGAATGGTGAAACCATGAGGAATCTTCACTCCCAAGTCTCCTTAGTAGTCGCTAATCATGTTTTATTTAGGATTCCAGTTCTGTCAAACCTTCACTTCTTTAGTAGACCATCTCCCCGTTCAACAGCGGGGTTCCCTTGAGTAGGTGCTTTTGATAGCTTTGATGGTTTACAATATGAATTGCTACATCATGTAACGTCACTTTTTAAATTAGCTTTGTACCATTGAGTAGAACCCTATCTCCCTCGTCAACAAGATCTCTTTGTACATATTTCTTGTTTTTTATCAAATTTTAGAGTTACGCTCCTTCAATCCTGTGATTTACTGTTACCTTCTAATAATATGCATCCATTATATCGATGATTGGTGTGCCATGATAAGGGTCTTTCAAAATCATTGATAAGATGTAGGCTGAGTTTCATGGACATGATCAAGTGAGACTTTAGTAGCTTACTTCTTACTCCTTTGAAATGGAAAATGAACGGTGGATAATGATTCTCCGACTTGTGCTGTAGCTATTTCGATCGAGAGAAACCATAGAAGATTTTCTGGTATACAAAGTATCACCTTTGTTGAGAGTAGAGGAGTCAGACTGTAACGATTTAGTTTCCCGGTATACAAACCATGGAATCTTTGACATTTTCAAGCTTTTCGCCATATTTTTTCTTTAGTGTGATTTGTTAGCATTCATCTTCCTAGGATAATCATGGAAACTTATACTTTCCAGTTCTTGTTAAAGAGCTGTAGACTTTTTACCTTTCTATTTTTTTCATGTATAGCTTCATAAATGGTCATACATTGTGTAGAAAGAAACTGCCAGTATATTTTGATGATCGAGGGTGTCTTCAGAATAATTATTTCTCGAGGTTTAGTCATTTTTTCATGATGAATATATAAGTATTTACATCTAAAATATTACTGTGACGTTGTAGGGTCTGAAATGAATGACTTGGCTGGCTGTCTTCTTTGAAATCTGACAAAGGGCGTATACTTTAGGTCCTTGATAGTAGTGCCTTTACTGTTGCTTGTAGAGTGATATTTTATCCGTAATGGACCCTAATTGCCATTTAATTTATGCTATGGGCCTTCTGAAGCCATTCTGTAGATACAAGAATTGTATGAAATTCTTGTTCCTGTAACCTTACAGGTACACATAGGAATAACTGTAATTGTGGGCAAATGTTTATTGACAATCAAACTACTCTCTTTAGTATCCCACTCGATTGATGAACTCTTTTTAATTGATCAAGATGTGCTACACGTTTCCTGGTCGTTTTTGCTCACAGCTTCTTCCTTTGCTATTGCATTACTAGGTGACTGGGTTTTCTGTTGGGGGCCGTGTCATAGATGACAAGGGCGTTGGAGTTGATGAAGTAAAAATAATAGTGGATGACCAATTGAAGGCTATAACTGATACGCAAGGCTTTTACAAGCTTGACCAGGTAAAATTTATGCCTACTTAGTTACTTTATGCCCATACACGGGTCCTATTTTCATTTATAACAATAGCCTTATCTCTCTGTTAGGATAAATCTCATTGAATTTACTTTAGATATTGGGACGTATACATCTGAGTTTGAATTAATCAGATCATTGAGATAATTGCAAGCTCAGCAAGCTGTTTGTTTGCGGACCACTGCTGATATCCGCTTAGTGAACTCATATTTGTAGTTCTGATGCATCCACATGTTTTCGACTTGTATGAAAGATTCTAGTGGCATATATTTCTCCACAGTTCGTTCCTTATGAAATCTGATGCGTAGTCTGATATAACTACATTGAAGTATTCAAAATTTACCACGCCATATAACCAAGTTCGTGTCTGGTTATGAATGCTCTTCTGACACAAGGTTACCATTGACAGAAAAAAATCTTACTCATGATTAAGTGCTATTTTTTTCCAGATAATAAACAATTGTTCTTACTTTGGGGAATAATCTTTTGATCTGACAATAAGCAGCAATTATTATGCTTTATCCTTATAACAAGACCATCAAGGTGGCCTTGGGCTTATAATACAGTTATTGCCTCCATTAAATTTATAATCAGTTGAGTAAATAATAGACTTTCTTAAATGAAGTTGGATTACTTGACATCTTTGCAGCCCAATTGATGGGCCTGTGGTGAAAATTCAACATATATTTTGGATCATGGTCCCAATACAATAAGATTTGGCTCTGGTGTCTGAATTTATCATCGTTGGAATTTGAATTTTCTCTTATACTGCAAAGTTCATCTCTTTCTCTCTATTCTATGGGGGAGAACATTTCCAGTTCAGATGCTGTTGGTGATGTTTCATATGTATGTGTGGATCCTATAAGTTGATTTGACATTTATTGATTCATACATAATTTGTCTTCTCACGTTTTTCCCTTATGATCAACGAGTCGTTGTTGCTCAAGTAAATACCCAGTGTTCTCTTCTACATTGAATTGTGTGAGGTTGCCTCCTTGTCTGTCAGAATGTCCTTAACAGGACGGGTCAAGAAGAGTTTTCCCACTTTTGAGAAATATAGTTTTACTCGATGAACTCACCAAGGGTTCCAGAAGAGAAGGTCGTTGTGGTTCATTTCAATTATTGTAACTGTTACTGAAAAGGATACTAATGTTTCGACTACATCTTTCCTAAAAATTTCATGAGTTGTCATCCAAGGCAAGGTTATGTCTCCTTGTATGATGAGCAAACGATAAAGTAGTGATAATTTTTCTAAAAGAGGTTAAACTGCAAATCAGAATTCTATCCTGGACTAGGATGTTTCTACAAATTTATGTTATTACATGTACTGTGGTTTAGCAAATCAGATTTCTAACTACGTTATTATGTTTCTACAAATCAGATTCCTAACTACGTTTACTTGAGGAACATAAGAAATTCTAAGGATTTCTTTTGTAGTAGTGTTGTTTGTTTATAATTATATTGTTTTGTTTGGTACAGTACTTGCTTAGCAGTATTAATACTGCTGCTAATGACCAGAAAACTGACACTAATTGCTTCGTGTACAGGTGACCTCTAAGCAGTACAAAATAGTAGCAGAAAAGGAGCACTATAAGTTCAGTAGTTTAAATAATTTCCTGGTACGGTATTTCTACCTTTGTCTGTGTTAAACAATTTGGTGACAAACAATTCTTGACTTTGTTTTTGTTTGGAATGACATACTTAATTCAGGTTCTTCCTAACATGACCTCAGTCGAAGATATCAAGGCTATTGCTTATGATCTTTGTGGTGTTGTTCAATTTATTGATCCAAAATACAAGGCAAAGGTACTATATTATGTGATGATCAGTGGATTACATCTGTCATCATGTCTATGACTTTTTTCCTCATAATTTATTCATCATCAGATGGGTATAATTTTTCATTGCATCATTAGTGAGTTGCTGCTCATTTCTATGCTCAGGTTTCATTGACTCATGGGATCGGCAGTGTGAAGCCTCAGGTGAAGGAGACTGATGAAAAGGGAAAATTTTGTTTTGAGGTACTCTCTGTGGAAATAGGTGTTTATATATATTGTGGTGCTCACCCCCTTGACGCGCTATCATTTTCCTTGAAGCTTTCATTTGTTTTCTCCAATTTCAGTTGCAGGATAGACCACTTGCATAGTTTCTTATGGGTAGAAAGCTCAATACTTTTAAATCTCGGTGAATTATGCCTTTTGGCAAAGTCTTATTTGTTAACTTTTATGCATAAGTCAGATCCTGCAGTGTCGTTCATATTTACACCTTGCCAAATAAAAAACAATGACTATGTTGCCTAATGACAAAAAATGAAGTGCCGTAGTTTCCATGGCATGCAGACAGTATTGATGCCCAAGGAATCTAGACATCATAGACAAGCATTCTGTTCAGATGCTTGCCTGTTCGGTCAGAGACAGCAATCACCTGATTAAATTTTCCAACTTGTATCATTGGAATCCCTGAAGGTGATCCACTTAGTCGATGGAATGAGTCACATGATCATGTCACACAATCAAACAGTGTGCACTGTTTGGACAACCGCGCAGCCTATCGAACTGATGGAGGTTTGTTCACAGAGAGCTACTGAATGGCACACAATTGTGGTATAGTATACACGATATAAAATTACTTTACAATTATATACGCTAACATTTTTCTGTTAGATGTTTTTGCCTTTACTCGCAGTCCTGTTTCTATTAATTATTTAATAAAAAGGTATTATGTTTTTTACCATTATAGTATATTTTATGTTTAAATTAACTAAAAAACATTTCTTTACAATAAATCAGATATTTTATAGAGAATTCAAGCATTTATGGAGATTATTTCATTTAATCATTTTTCTAAGATACTAAGATTGTCAGAGACATTTATACATAGTATCAAATTTCCCAATTTTCTGAGAATTGGCGACTGCTTTAAAATAATTTTATATTGTTTAAAATTATGTCTTGGATTGAGATGATCGCTAACACCTTGCCTAGTCATGCAAGATGGCGATCTGCTATCACGGTCACCTTGAAAACCTTTTTAACCACTCAATTCCTGAATGTTGTGTCATCAGTAGCTGCAAATACCATTCTTCTCTCAAAAAAGTCAATGAATCTTGTGTTTTATTCATGGTTTCTCTTTCTTCAAACATATAGTTGACATCTGATCACATATCAAGTTAGTCCTGATGAGTACCAGGCCTTGGCATTAGCTACCACTATCTTCATTGATTTGGGTCTTATACTCCGTTCGTTTACTGTTTTGCTCTTCCTCAGTATCAAGGCTGATATTTTTGGGTAGTCATATAGTTATCTCTATGGGAATGATAACTCAGTTAGAGTGCAAATGTAAGCGTTCCTTTCATGGCAGATGTAGTAATCATTTTTTGTTGCCGATCATCAAGTCTGAAAGTAGCGAGGTTTTTTTCTTAACTTTTGTTAGTCATAATTGCTTGCTTCTTTTTTTGTCATAGGTTCCACCTGGTGAATACCGCATATCTGCCTTGGCAATGAAATCTCAGAGCTCTTCTCAGATTCTTTTCTCTCCATCGTATATTGATGTAATGGTTGATAAACCATTGTTTAATCTGGAATTTCTTCAGGTAAATGCCATCTGTTACCGATTTTCTCTTCATGTTTCAGAGGTATTTGAAATGCCTGATATCAAAATTACTCTGGAGGTTAAGAGCGGACCTTGACTAGAAAGAAATTCCTTTGCTAATACATGCTTTACTTCTGAAATCAGGCACAGGTCAATATTTATGGTAATGTCGTTTGCAAGGATAAATGTAGCCCTTCGATCTCTATTACATTGTCAAGATCAGATGATATGGGTTTGGACGAAAAGAGGACAATTTTCTTGAGTCAAGAGAGCTGTGATTTCATTTTTCCGAAAGTATTCCCTGGCAAGTATCAAATTCAGGTACTGATTAAATCTGTACCTTCTGTGTTCCGGATCCTTCTCCTTTTGAAAGTGCGACCAGCTGTTGCCAGATTAATTCAACAAGGTCACAAAAGTGTCAGATTTAATTTCTATTTTTTAAACTTTGGACTTGTCTCGATTTTTAAACTTTAAACTAGGCAAAAAATTCCATTACCTAGTGAGAAGCTCTAAGGGCCTAGTCACATACATTCAGAAAGGAGAGAAATAAAAATCATCTTTGTCCCGTTATGATTCTGTTCTTATATGTTTTTTTGGATGTTGTATCCCTAGGTCAAGCATGAATCATCAGCTACCGCTGAGGACAACTGGTGTTGGGAGCAGAATTTTTTTGACTTAGACATTGGTGTTGAAGATAAGAAGGGTATCGTTTTTGTACAAAAAGGTTATTGGATAACTATTAGTTCTACTCATGATGTTGGCGCTTATATCCGTCAGCCTGATGGTTCATCAAGGAATCTCCAAATAAAGGTATCTGTATCTCATTTACTGATATTTACTTTTATGCGTACTGAGGATTGAACTGTTTATACTTGTAGCGTTTTTTCTCATTCTCTGAATTTGGAGTAGTAATGAGTCGATAGCTGAGATTGGTGATGTACATTTTTATGTTTCTATATTCTAAACCATGTACAACACTTGAGCACTTCTTCAGTCATCCATAATCCATCAAATTCTTTATTTGGTTTGCAGAGAGGATCCCAGAAGATATGTCTTCAAAACCCTGGTCTGCATGAACTTCACTTTGTTAACTCATGCATTTTCTTTGGGAATTCATCACTCAAGTTTGATACCTTGAACCAATTGGTATGTTTATCTCTTCTTTTTTTGTTCATTTGCATGAGAAATGTTCATTCTGGTGACTTTCCTCTATGTTTTCCCTCAATATAATTTTGGTATCTGTGAAATCTTCTTGCAGCCTATAAATTTGACCGGAGCAAAGTACCTTCTCAGAGGAGAAATTCACGTCACGAGCGTGGATCATGATGTGTTTGAACTATCAAAAGACATGCTTGTTGATGTTTTGAACAAGGACCATGAAGTAATTGATAGAATTCAAGCTAACTACCTCCCTCCTGCAAGTGATGAAATTGATAAATATGCCTTTGAATACTCTATCTGGGCTAATCTGGGGGAGGAGCTTATCTTTGCTCCTCGGCACGCTAGGTATACACTATCAATGTGCTTAAAACGTGCATGTGACCGAAGCTCTTACCTTTTTCACAGTCGTTTAATGATCAAGAAAATCCTTTGATGTAGCTTTAGATCTTTCCTTTAGATAATTGTTGAGCATATGTTACTTTCTGGCCAGTAGAATCCATGTCAATTTGTTTGGGATGGTGAGTTTGTGTTTTTTACAAGTTTATGTCTCAACTTTTATGAGCACCTTGTGAGGTGTTTGGATGAATCATCTGTGGTTTCTGTTCGACTCTTTCCTCTCATTTGTGAAGCCAGAAATCCATATTTGAATTTTTATATTTGCATGAGAAATGTTTTGGATGCTTATGCACAACGATTTAATTTTTGGAAATGTGATCTCACATGTGATCTCGTGTTGCTAGCATGTTGGATGCAACCTTTACGAATGTGAGCTATGAGATTTCTGTAAAAAATACCTAATCTACTTGTTTGTTCTATTCTTTTCAGGAATGATGAAGGAAAGATGCTTCTGTTTTATCCTCGAGAACGTCATGTGAGAAGTCTTGATCTATTGATTTACCTGACCTGGGTTTCAAAATATTTTATTGACTGAACCTGTATTATTGTTTCACTTTGATTAATAGGTTTCAGTAGTTTATGATCAATGCCAAGCTACAGTAGAACCAATTGCTGGTCGAACAGGATTGTACATTGAGGGATCAGTATCCCCAGCCCTTTCCGGTGTTAACATCAAAATTATAGCGGCAGCCAATAGCAGACATGCTCCACTGCTGAAAGGTGAATCAGCTCTGGAGACAAAAACAGGAGAAGATGGATCTTTTGTTGCTGGTCCTCTGTATGACGACACCACTTACGAAATTGAAGCCTCAAAGGTTTGCAAAGTTTTGATTACATCCTCACATATGCATGCGGTTTCTGTCTGAAACATAATTTGCAAACAACCACTGTCTGGTTGATTCATTAATTCCTGATTTGATATATTGTATGGAGACAAGTTTTACCTATACTTTGTGAAGCCAGATTCATTTCAGAGGTCGATTTTCTCACATTTCTTTTGATTTTTCTTCCTTCAAGAAAATGTGTCAATGTTGAGGATTTATTGAGTTCTATGTAAAATTATTTCAAAGATGTCGCTTCAAACTGTGGTTCCTGTTGCTGCAATAAGTTATTTATTCTGCTAGCAATACTTTATTTTAAAAAAGTAATTTGGTTTTGGTTAGAAGTTTCCTGTTCACATCTTTATTCCACATAAACACTTTTGTGTGCCTTATGCTCCCACAATTATTACCTATACGTTAATGGGTACCTTTGAGTATAATAGTTTCTTGTACGAACATAGCATGAAGTCTCCCAAATCCAGGAATCTTGTAACCATTGATATCAAGTCTGGGTGGCACCTTAGACTATTTTCCTATGCATTTTGTCCATTTTGACCATTGTACCATTGATATCAGCAAACCTGAACAGGTTCGTGACCTAACCTAATTTCCAGATCTCACTCCATTCGTAGATCATTCATTCCATGAAATTTGTGTTCATTGCTAACCATCCGTCGTTTTTGTATTTTCTGTCGAATCTATCTGGTGTAGTGCAAGGTTAGAGTCCCTCACCAAACTTCCATTACATCGTTATTCATGTAAAAATTGTACTTATCAGATCTACTATGGTTGATGGTTTTGATGCAGTCCCAGGCTAGCCTTTTCGGTTTATACAAGTTGGACTATGATGGACAGATCCTCTTCAAACTACCGATAGTTTAGCTTATTCTCAATGTTTCACGCTGAATATCATGTTTCTCTTCGGATAAAAACTTAGTTAAAGCAGTGCAATGGAAACATTGAGTTTCATGACAGGATATTTCATAAATGTAGAAAAGAGAAATACTACCGATGAAAGTAACATTCTTTGTGAATAGAGATGAAATTCATGATTTAGGATACACAATTATCATGTGGATACACAAGTCTTACTGGGTACCACTTTAGCAGCTTTTAAAAAACCTTTAATAAACTATTGGGGAATCTTGGAACATTAAGATCAGCGGACAGTTGAACTAGCTCTTACTTTTGTTGAATATATGCATGCTGATTATCATGCTTTACAAAGCTGACCTAAGCCTTTATTTGGTTTTGCCAAAAGATCTTCCTCATATCTTGCTTTGCGTTGCTTTTTGTGGTCATTTGATCGCGTTTCAGTATATGTTTATGCTTATCTCATTGATACCCTTATTTTTAGTCTCAAACGTTGATTTTTATCTAATGTTGCCCATTTTCTGGGTGAGAACGTTGTGAGATCTCAAATCAAGTGCTATGCATACAAAATTATTCCGAGTTAAGCTTCCAGCTTATATGTGCCATAGTTGTAGCAGTTTACATAAATTGTTATTTGTAGACATGGCACTTTTCACATTGTTTTGTTGTTGTATTAAATTCTCTGAGGTAAACTATTTTTTTATATCATTAAATAATTGTATTCATTAGTTCATATCACAGATGTTTTTGGTAGAGGTGAAATAACTCAACTTCTGATTCCTTCATGAAGGAATTGTCTTATAAATTTTACTGTGCTCATCCAATGTCCTTCCTGATGCAGCCCGGCTATCATATCAAACCTTTGGGAGAAAATTTATTTTCTTGTCAAAAGCTTGGTCAGATTTTGGTTCACATGTCTGACAGAGAAGAAACTCAAGAGCTGTTCCCCTCAGTGCTCTTATCTTTGAGCGGTGAAGATGGTTACAGAAACAATTCAGTAACTGGTGTTGGTGGACAGTTCATCTTTGATAGCTTGTTTCCTGGGAGTTTCTATTTACGTCCTCTCTTGAAGGTGCGCTTTCCTTCCTTTTAGTTTTGAAATCTTTTCACTTCACAGTACTTCCTATTCTCTGAAACTTCATTTCATGTGCCATTTGATCCAGGATCCCGCATTAGAAAGTTGTTAGGAGCAATTTCTATGTCACGCCAAACTCTTCAATGTTCTGTCTCACACACTTGAGTCTCCCTTAATGTTGTAGTTCAGTTCTCGAACCATTACACAATTGTCTGACAGAGTGACAGGCTTGTCCACATTTAGCTTACATCTACTGCAACTTTTTTTTATTAATATTTCTCTATCAGACATTGACCCATATTTCCATTTCAATCCTACTAATCAAATTCGATCTTAGACCCACCAGTCAGACGCCGGAACCTTTTATTCTTTATACTTTCTTCCTATCCTAAATAACTCAAAAGAAGGGGTGAGATAAATTGGTCACAGAGAATTCTTTCTCTAAATTAATTGCTTTCTTCTCATATCAATAACAAGAATTAAAAAAAAGGAGTAACGAGTCATCCAGGGATAAACGATTAATTTCTTTCAGTAAACCTGCTAAAGCCCCATACCAGAGTACTTAGTAAAGGTGCCACAGCGAGATATGTTTTTAGATCTTGCATTGAAAAGCCTCCTTCTTTATTGTAATACATGTATGATTAGATACTGAAACTAAATTAAAGATCGCTCATATTTTGATGCAACATTGATAATTAAAATGTCTACGTGCAAAGTGTTTAATCAGGATTTATTAAAATATGGAAGCACCTTTCTGTATGCTGAAAGATGCACAAGGGCATCATAAATTTCCAGTGTTTACGATAGTACATTCTCTTCATTCGATTTACTTTGTATGATGCCGCTTATTTTGGTTATCTATTCCTTTATTGACTGAGGCTACTCCTTTTCAGGAATATTCTTTCTCTCCTTCAGCCCTTGCGATAGAAATTGGTTCTGGGGAATCTAAAAGTGCCACTTTCTATGCCACCCGTGTTGCTTACAGGTTTGAATTTTTCTTTCCTTCCTTTTTTAATCAATCTTATGTTCCATTGTTTATGTTTTCTTAAACTTAGCATCTGTGTAAAAAAACATTTTACTATAAACATTGAGAAACAAAATTAACGTTTTATACGACACAATCAATTGAAAGGTCATCTTTTGTTTCCTAAATGACGTGATTAAGTACTGTTCAAGATTTTCCATTATGAACTGGCTTCTGTTGCACTACTCTTCTTCCTGTTGCAAGAGGCAATACCATACAAGCCTGGGCAAGCTTGTTCTATCAAGAGTAGTATCCCATGTAGTCACTTTGACTCCTGAAATACACTGCGAGTCTTCTAGGTTTAAAAGGATATTGGATTTGGACGATGCCAATGCACCAACAAGAAAATGATGATGTGAGGCAACATCTCATGATAATATGGATCACAAGAAAAACAGTTCAGAGACCGATTCCACTGTGAATCTTGATTTTGGTATTATATCCGCATGGAACCTTCGACTTGGTTCTCACATGCTAGTCATACATACTGTAGCCCATAATACCGGCGCACAGTACTATGCCAGCGACACTTGGGGGATAAAAGAAAAAGTGCTATTGAATCCATTTGGGTTGCCAATTTATTGAATGATCTTATTTGGTCACTCTACAGTGATTTTCATTGTATTAATGAATATCTAGAGCTTCGTTGTGAGACAGCATTCTGAGAAAGCTGAATCATCTGTTTTTATCAGAAAGCTTTCTTGAGACTTACGAATCATCAAATGTTATTTTAATGACTTGTATGATTATTATCCCACGAGCAGGACGTGGTGATTTTGATCTTATAATTTACTGATCATCTTTCCTTTAATGGATAAGATTACTGCGAATAATTTTTCAGCTATTCCATTCTGAATTACTTTCTGCTGCAGTGCTTTGGGCAAGGTGTCTCTATTGTCTGGTCAGCCAAAGGACGGCATCCATATAGAAGCAAGATCAGAATCAAAAGGACATTATGAAGCAACAACATCTGATAATTTTGGTAATTATCGTCTGAGAGGACTCCTACCTGACACTACCTATGTTGTTCGAGTTGTAGCAGGAGATGGCTCTGGAAACATAATTGAGCGGGCTTCCCCAAAATCTCTAACTATTCAAGTGAGTGGTATATGCCATCTCTCCACAGACAATATTCTAATACATGATACTGAAACGCAATTAATCTTTTATGTAAAAATTTAATTTTATTGTTGCGATGGGCAAATGAGTCATTAGAAGTTTTTTGTCTCATTAGTTAAAAAATTTGACTGAAGAAGGAATGATTGCCACTGGGTTTTAAGGTTTATGTAGCCCGTTGATCTGTTTTTTGATCGACCAAGGTACAGATAGTTATGCAGATAGAGTTGTTTCCGTTCCAAGTTCATCAGATCCGTCATTTACCTCCGGTTTGTTCCTTAAGTCTGGCTAAATTATCTCAGAATGTTGTGTTCCGTTTTATTGCTTCATCATTTTCTTACTTTATGAGGCATTATTTTTGTTACCATCAACTTGTTCACGTTTGGAAACGGAGTAAAAACTTGATTTGTAAGTAAAAGATGATCCCATAGCCGATTATTTTCTTCAAGGGAAAAAATGCAGCTATTTGGGAAGGGCATGCCTTGATTACCCTGCAGTGGCCATCATCATTTTTGCAAACTGTGATGACTGCGCTTGCCGCCCGCTGGTGATATTTTGAGAGGTGAAGGGAGACTGCAGAAAGAGAGTCTGATGGGGAGGACATGGAAGTTAGAGGACACAGAAGAGCAAGAGTCTTCTCTGCAATATTCAATGCTTACAGCTATATTAATTTGAAGAATTACGCTAGTTTTGTCTCTTTTTTAAGAAAGAATGCAGCGAATCGTGATCTGGACTCAATAATTGATTTTCCTTGGGTCAGGATAAATTCATGTTACTAACATTGTGAGCTTTTTTTTGCATAAGATGTTGGGAAACCTCGTAGGATCTGACGTTCTAGAGAAAATTGTAGTTCCTGCTGTGAATTTGAATGGTGGGCTACTGTAATTTTAGACGATGCATAGTTTACCATGATTATTCATCCACATTGCTCCAGTGTAATTGGCATTACACTGATTCAAATGCTTATATTGACGACTACTTTCCCTTCCAAATTCTCGCTTCTACTTTACTTTGTTCCTGATGAATATTTCCCCAGTGTTCATGGTGAAGTTCATAGCTCAGATGTTCATAGGATATCTTTTGGTTTTCCCTCTTCTTTCAGGTGGGAAGTGAGGATATCGTAGGGTTGGATTTCGTAGTATTTGAATATCCAGACATAACGATTTTGAGCGGCCATGTGGAGGGAGACGACCTTGAAGGCTTGCAGCCGCATTTATCAGTAGAAGTCAGATCAGCTGATGACCCCACCAAGATCGAATCGGTGCTCCCACTGCCGCTGTCAAACTACTTCCAAATAAAGGACTTGCCGAAGCGCAGGCACCTCTTGCAGCTTGTGTCGCACTTCCCATCTGCTACCCACAGATTCCATTCTGAGGTTCTTGAAGTTGACCTGGAAAGGAGACCGCAGGTTCATGTGGGTCCTCTTATCTACAAGGTTGCAGAATACCACCAGAAACAGGTATCTTTCTGTTTATATTCGCAGATTTCATCTTTGCAGCCAGTTTTGTCCCTCAATCCTCCACTCCGCTCTCTTAAATTCTACTAAGACTTTGGGCAGAACTGTTATACAATGTTTCATTGGATTTGGCAGATTTCCTGTTAATCTCCGCCATTAATTTGGACCAAATAAATGAAAATATGTTTTTATTTATTGCAGGAACTTACACCGGCTCCAGTGTTTCCTCTGATTGTTGGAGTGTCTGTCATCGCCTTGTTCATCAGCATCCCAAGGTACGTCTAAAGAGAGATTTGATGAAATCGTCTCTACTTAGATGTGTCAATGCGCCAGTCTTGCTGGGTTTCAAAGTGAAAGCCCATACAGAAAGCCCTTTTTTTTCACATTTGTCCATCTCACGTTCATCCAAGTCATCCCCTGCTCTCTCTCTCTCTCTCTCTCTCTCTCTACCTGTCTTGGGTAACTTCACTTGGTGGGGAAAAGATGTGCAGGCTTGGGTTGACCTTGGGAAGGCCCAGTTCCAGGGTAGGGTTTTCTTTGGCTGATCTTCTTGTGCTGAATTCTTGCAGGTTGAAGGACCTCTATCAGTACACAGTAGGGTTGACGCAGCTGGGGTCCACTGCTGCGGCTAGCAAGAAGGATCCTTCTCGTAGACCAGTTTTGAAGAAAAGGGCATCTTGACGGATTTCATTGCGAACAAAAAACTCAAAGTCTCCACTTTTTTCAACCTCTCTCAGTAATGAACCCAGAGGGCGCAATCATTTTGTTCCAATCCCACTCATTCATGGCTATTTTAGGTCGCATCAACTCTAGCCCTGTAAATTTTGATTCCCAAATAATCACGTATCCCAGAAACACCACCATATTGCCACCTCTCTCTCTCTCTCTCTCTCGTGATATTTGATGAGTTTCTTTCGTTGGCAAGGCATTGTTGAGCAAAAATGCTGGTAGATGAGGTACGAAGAGTAATTGTATGTGATTCTTCTCTCCTTGCCATGTGGATTTCAAATTTGCTTGATACGAAGAGCAACCTTCAGGTGTATTTCTGAGGTATGACATTCGCTAAAAAGTTGAATTAGAAAAATGTATAGGATTTCACAAGTCATGTGATGGAAGAAGGGGGGAAAATAATGGTGATTGTGATTGTGAGGTAATCCACAGGTCAAACCCACTTGTTTTCCACTTGGTTTGGTAAACTAAGTGCATACTTAGCGATAGAATACTGCCATGGAAGAAGATTAGGTAAGAGTTTGAATTCACAAACTCAAACTTTGGATAAGAAGTCAACTCATGAATCTACAGAATCGGAGTTTTCAAGCCTTGAATCCACAAGATCGAAAAGGGGGCATTTGAGTCAACAAGGGTGCTTGAATTTTCAAGTAGAAGGAGAGGAAGACATCACTGGAGATAAACTCGAAATACTTGAATTAAATGTCTTGGGGATGGCCTTTATATATGTTTAGGAAGGAGGTGATCAGCTCCCAAATAGACTCTAAAATGCATTATTGATGACCCAAAACAAACTCTAAAATGAAAAGCAGACTTTGAAAATAATCAGAAAGAAAATTCCAAGGTACCTGCTGGCCCTTGTACCATCACGTATACAGAAAAATTCAGAAATAGTTGATAAAAGGTAAACACTCGTGTAGGTAAGTGTTGATGTCTGTCATACTACAATATTACTAACAGGATGACCCACTCAGCCATATTGAGATAGTCCAAATAAATTACATTATGAATAAGTGTCTACTAACTAAGTTTTGCTTTGGAGATCATTTACAAGGGGATTTAGGGAAGATCATTAAATGTTTGCTCTGGGCAACTTACTGCATTGCATATTAGTTATCTTTTAACTTTTTGGTAGGTTCTGGGAAGAGTTTCTACCTCCTCTGTATTGCTGTTCTTGATTACCAGCCTGATGCATGATTTGGGTCAAGAACATCAACCCTGATTGAATCCAGGCGGGAATATTTTTTTCCCCATATTTTCTCCCCATTATTCTGGATCTGAAACTGCCAAGCAGACATAAGAAAGAAGTGGATAAGATTTAGACATAACTTTATTTAACAGATGCAGGGGACAAGAAACCTAGAAGATGTCTACGCAAAGACATCCCCTGGGCTGATGAAGAGGGAGGAACAGCACTGGTGAACATCAATTACATCATCACATGAGTCCAAGAATTGAAGCATGGAAGAAAGAAGAGATGGCAAAGGTGTGGAAAATGCAGATAGAAAGCTTTTACAGGCTGTTCATACTCCTGGCAGAGTCTATGCAGAAACCTAAAATAAAATAAAATAAAATAAAATAAAATAAAATAAAATAAATCTAATGAGCAGCCCTTGGTAGGAGGCACATGTACAGTTGAATCTGATTTCTTTGTCAGGTGTGTTAAATCGACCATTTGCAGAGAGACATGAGAGGAATATATCTCCTTTCTGAAGGAATCTTGTGAGTGAGTGCTGTGTGGGTTGCGGTTTTCTTGGGCACCATTGAATGACCTTGAAGAATTAGTCCAGCACACGATAAGCAGCCCGGAAGGCTGGAATCTCATGGTTTCCTCGAGCCTCGGGCTGAATATGGCAAGAACTTGTGCTCAGATGTCATTTATGACCTTCATTCCACGAGTGCCATAGTCACCAAATCGCCTTTTATGGCATCATGAGCACCTGACAGGCGCACCTTCTGCCAGTTGAAGATAGAAGTGCGACAGCAATTATTGTACTGCAAATAAGATGACATAAAAAACCAGAGTCACACATTGCTCAATGTGCTGATAAAAATACTTGATCTTATCGGACTATTCATTTCCCAAGATCAGCACATGTGAGAGCTAAAATCATCTAATTCAAGAGTAATGTCCATCTTTTCTCATGGATGGTCACATCTTTATTCATCAGCAGTTTCATGAAAACGAATTATATGTCGACACTAACTATGTAAAATTTATCTATATTACTTTATACAAAAGAAAAGGGAAAGTTCATACATTTCTCACTATGCTGACAAAAAATATATACTTTTAACTGTATAGGATTATACCATTCCCAAGATCACTAGAAGATAAATGCAAGTGAAAGTTCATAGATTTTGATTCCAAGAGGAAAAATCAACTAATGGAAGGAAGAAGATTTATTTGCCATTGGTTTCCATTAAAAGTAAAACAAAAAGTTATTGGACATTCGGATTATATAAGTGACCTGTATTCATTTATACCTCTCCAGGAATTTATCAGTAAAATAATTTTGAATTACGTCCATTAGGAGTTTTAAAAAAAATTGAGTGATGATCTCTATCTGAGGTCCAAGGCCCAGTTATTTTATCAAGCCCAATAAATGGTTGGTAGCCTTAAAAAAATTGAAAGCCACAAACAAGGTTTTCCACTATTGACCAAAAAAATATGAATAATGGGGTATTAAATACTGATTATAAGAGAAAATGATTTGTGAATAAATGAGTAATTGATCATTGATTATAAGGAGAAATGACACTTACCAACCATGAAACAGACTCTAATGAAAGCAAAAATAAAAGGGCCTAAATCTTTTCCAACGCTAACTACAGTAACTATGAATAAATGAGAAAATAATCATTGATCATAAGGAGAAATGATGCCTACCAACCATGTGACCGAGGATCAAAAATAAAAGAGCTTCCTCTGTTCTTCAGTCGGATTGGCCAGCCACTGACAGAACATCCATGCAGCTCCCACAACAGAAGAGACAGATAGGAGAGCCAGGAATCCAAAATGCGACACATCATTGGCAATTATGGCGACACCCAGCATCACCAGCTCCGCAAGGCTTGCCATTGAAACCTCCGTGGCGCCTATGAGATTTGCTTTGTTGGCGGGTATACCAGTTTGAAGAATTTGGGTCCCCACGACCTCATATGACTTAACTCCCAACCTTGACAATACCTGAATAACGAAAAATAATAAGTTTTTAGAATTTTCCAGAAGAAGGTCCACGAAAAAACAGCATGCCAAAGCTAATTTTTTGACACATGTTGTAAAATGTTCAGTACTTACAATCAAAAATAGGAATATCATGAGTGGTGTTCGATTAGTCAGTGAGCCACAGCAGAACACAAAAGCAGCCGTGGAAAGAAGCGAAGCCTGAAAGATCAACCCAGCTGCTCCCGCCTGGAACAGCAGTTAGAATGTTAGAACCAACTACTTCAAGTCCAGATAGAGATCAGAAGGCTGAAAAAATGAATACATAATCCTGATAGGCTGGAAATATTCAAAATGACCTTCAAAATACCCAGCCTCTTGACAAGACTTGCAGAGGTGAAAGTTGCTGCAATGCCCATGAAAGCACATAATCCACTGAAACCGCCGATAACATATGGGCTTATTCCTGGCATAATGAAATAAATGCATCAGAGATGCCACCAACGATGTACGGAAACAGAAGCTAGCAGCCATGAATGGGAAAAATCACAGGCTTTTCTATTTATAGGACGGAAAAGGAAGATGCTGATATCCATTTAACCTTTTCAAAGACAAGTTTTTTCAGATTAATACAGATTTAAGTTTTAAGATAGACATAGGCTTTTGGAATTTCATCAGAACTTGATATCATCAAATGGCATTCTTCCAATGTTTCAGCGATTACTTAATAAGATGAAATTTCTAGATACAAGGATAATTTGAGATCATGTGTGCAAGGCAGTCACATCGCACAGTGAAAGGTCATGTGATAACCTTTGCAGTTGGAAATAACACATGACTGAGAGGGCAGTGGGAACATACCACGGTGGGTCAAGAATGCAGTCATTAGGGCACCTGGCTCAAGAGCAATGTTGAAATAGAGCAACACATATGCCATACTTGCGGGAAGAACAGGCTGAAGTTTGTACTCCATCCATCCATTTCTAATCGCATCCATACCATTCCTCACTGCATCAGTTCAACGGTATCAGAAACGGCCTCCAAGAAAGAAAATGTGAAAGCGATTCTGAGTGGACCAGCATTACTACCTATACAGCCCAAGTTGGGAAGAGGGTCACTTCGAGCTTTATCACCTGGCAGTGGGAACTTACAGCGATCAAGAACCCCACTAGAAAGTCTGTTAGTTAGATGACACAGAGACACCTGCAGAGTTGGGAAGATTCTTCAGATATGAAGTATACTGTTGATAGGTAACAAGGTCAAGCTTAAAAAAAGGCTAACCAGGATAGGAAGTGCACAAATCATGATCCCAGCTGCTAGCTTTAAGCACGTGACTGGATCATATTTAGTTAAGAGAAACCCAAAAAGTGAAGCCCCTGCTATCTGCCAGAACCCAAAAATGGCCACTTTCAGTCCACTGGAAATATAAATGGCCACTTTAGGCCAATAACTAGACTTAAATAAAATATTCTAAATAAATAGAAATTCGTCAATATAAATTAATATACATATATCACTCAAGATCAAAAAAACAGACATTGAATCAAAGGAAAGATGGAAAATCAGGGAGGTTATCACCTCACAGATAAGATCAACCCGACTAAGCATTGCATTTGCTTCTGCTAGTGCAATTGGCCGGTTCGAGCCTGCTAACTTCACGTCGGAGAAGCAGCTCACATTAGAAAGGAACATGGCGTTTCGCAGAAAGAACAGGATGCTGCATCATCATGAGAGAAAAAGAAGACATCACACTACCTGCACGACCCAGTCGCGGTCCATCATAACCCCCATAGTCAGTCCCGCCATATTCTCAATAGCCTCAGCAAGTATCAACACAATAAACCATGGTTGGACAAGCATGGCTGAAGCAGAAGAATGGCGAGCAGAATTGTAGGCATAGATGATCATCATTGCTGATGTTAGCTGTGCAGATGTCTGAGAAAGAACGACATCAACAATCACAAATCTGCTCACTAGACAATGCCCGCATCCATAAGTTATAAGTTAAAGTGCAAAATTATGACATTAACAATGGCAATACATAAGACTAGACGAATGAGAACGCACCTGAATGAGACTTAAGACGTTATAAGCGGGAATTCTAGGAAAACAGTCCACAAGATTGCCGACCAGGGGACCAGCAGAAAACATCACAAGCTGCGAATCACGAATGAATGTAAGATTTCTTGTTTATATTTCCCATTTTCCATATGGACCAATCTAATCCTGTTACCTTAGTGAAGAAACCCACAACAGCGACAGGTAAAAGGCTTGGATGGAGCAGGGCAACAGCAGCAGGCCAGGTGAAATTCCATAGCTGTGCCACCATATTCCCAGCCAAAGAACTAGCATACAGAGCTGAAAATGTATTCATCTCCATTAGAATCTCGAAATTAGATATTCTGATATTCTCACAAGTTTAATCGTAAAAGTACAACTGAAGTACATAAAAGAATGTTGAGGCAATAGTCATTTGCAGAAGAGGTTTTCAGGCATGCACAATAGTAACATATCTGATGCATACTGTATGCATCTGTAGATAATCAGAAAGAAGAGCCCACCATATAAACCAGCAGGATGAGCAGGGGTGGCTGCGAGAGCATCTTGCTGCTCCTCTGTGAGGACCTGGAAGATGCCAGGAAAATATAAGAACCGCGCAAGCTAGACGTAGATAATAGTTTAATACCATCTTCCAGTGCCACAAACAATTTTTAAACGCAAAATCAGAATTTTAATGGCATACCGGTAATGTTGTCAGAAGATTACTCAGATAATCTTCTTTGCCCAGGAAGTTCAAAGGCTCAGGTTCAAGAATGACTGATCTATGATGGACAAGTGGAATGGTGCAAATGGGACTGTTCGGTGAAAGGGCGACTGAAGCTTCATCTTCTGCCTGAACGTGATCCAGATCAACCTCAGTATGTGCGACATAACACCTTGAAGTCAAGCTGTCAAATCTGAAGAAGACAGACGAAGAACATATAAGCACAAAACCTTCTCTCCAAAAGTGTCATTAATCTGAACCCAGTTCCATCCACAAGCTCTAGAAAGGTTTGAACGCCTAAGAAGGAACTAATAGAGAATATCCCTCACATGCTCAACACGATGAAGTTCTAGAAATTAAGGCAAGGGATCAAAGCAGGATGAAATACTCAAATATGGAGAAAAGATCAATGATAAATAAAACGGGTTAATAAAATTTGGACAGAGGTTAAAAATAACGTCTTGAATTCAAATGATAAATGGAATGACATCTGTGATCATCAAGATATTAGTATTAGAGAAGTTCTATATTTTTTTAATCCAAAGGATACAGAGTTTAGCCAACCTCCACAAAAAATCTCCGAAACATTAAACCCCGCATAACAATTGAAAGAGAAATACAAACTATAGGAAGCGTCTTTCATCGAGATTAAATAACTGACACGATTATGAAAATTTTCATATAGTGATCTAGTGTCAAGAAAATGGGTCAACTGCAAAAATCTGGATAAAAAATGGCTTTTTAATTGAAAATTTCGCACAAACTTGGAAATGAAATGAGAAAATAATAAACAACAAGATCGTGGATTGGTCGCTTATAGACATCATCGAAGCCTTCCAAGCACGAAAGACTGTTAAGCTGTCAAACTAAACGAAATTATTGCCAGCAGATGATGGAAATTGGATGCCCAAACCCTCTATCAGTTCCTAGCCGTTTGCAAGACAGGCAGAACGATTCTCTGCGAATCCTACCTCTTAATGGAGCAGAGCTCCTTGACGCACCCCACACAAGCAGCATTAAAGAAACTCCAATTCAAATACCACCTACCAAGAATACACTCATAACTCCCGAGGAAATGAAGACTCGAGCTCTAAGGTCACAAGCACCATCAGAACACGCAAAATGAAGGCAAATAATAAGGCAGCAAGAAGCTCGCCTGTGGACGGGCGACAACGAAGCCTTCAGCCGCCCGGCAGGGACGAGGTGGCCGCCGCAGCCAAGTTGGAAAGCCGCAGGTGCTCTCCGGAAGGAACGAGAGAAGGAAATGGACAACCCATATGGTAGCGGAGGCCGGCCAACGGTAACCAATCCCATGGGTACTTGAGGAATATGGGATTGAAGAGGAAGCCCTCTGCTCCCCGCTCACTCATGCAGCCTCATAAGCAGAGAGGTACCCTGCAAGATATCACAGCTTTACCAAGGATTTCGGAGACCAGCTGCCGTGTTCACTCCTTATCCCTGTGACATGGGTGGCCGCGGTGGAGGTGCTGAGCACCGGAGGAGAATGCGCTCCTCCTCTGCTGCTACTGGTACTCTTCTTTGGCCCTTCTTATCCAAACACTGGGGTGCTCAGAGAGGAAGAAGAACAAGAAGGGATGAAGCTGCCTGAAGACAACCTTTTTGTTATAAAATCCCTATATTTATTTACTATAACATAATCGCCCTATTTATTGTAAAATTATTTCATAACCATTTCACAGACGTGATCTTCAAATTATGGACGAATGGAAAAATAAGTGGGACGGGAACTACAGAATGAGTGGGGCCCACCATCTCAAAGAATGGCTATGAAGGTCCATTGAATTTATTGGGCACTATTTAAATGGCACATGAGCAATTTAATAAGTTACAAGGGCAGTTTTTGTATACTTTTACATGAAGGGTATATAAAAAATATTTATAGTTAATAATATGAAAAGTAGATTATCTCTCTAATAGTGCTCTATCTGTAAAAGGGAGAATCTTCGACCATCCATCCATCTGGGTCGCGCGGGGCCCACGTGGAGGATCCGAATGTGGGCTTGCGGAGCTCTCGGTGTCGGAATCTCGGCCATTTGCTGCCCTTGTGACGAATGACGGCGGCACCTCCGAATGGAGAGAGAAAGTATATAAATAAGTATTTTTATATTATAATAAATAATAAATAATAGGAGTTTATTTATGCCCACTCCTCGTGTAATATGGGCCCTAATTAAGGTTGTTAATGGACCGTTCTGGCTTTGACCTGATAAAAACCCACTAAACAAGCTATGGGTTGACTCTCAGCTTGTAAGAGAGAGAATGTAATTTAGGGTATTTATTTAATATCAAGCTAAGTTTCCCAGCATAATGATTGATAAGCCAAAGTTCACCACATAATATGGACACTTTTCTCATTGACTCATCATCACGCATTGTTTTTTGACCTCATCTCAAATGGTCAACTACCCTTGTCCCAAACCACAATGTTATGAGCAACAAATGGGCATCCTTTGATGACTTTATGATATAATTGGGTGTGGTTGACTAATGTCGATATGGTCAACGAGGGGGAGCGCAATGATTCACACTAAATGGGGAAACTGGGCATCTAAGGGGTCAATACCCATCATGCCCACCGCACAGAAGATACAAGGGATAATATGAGGATAATACCCATCAAAACTTTAGTACAGTATCGGTCAATATCGAGCTAAGTTTCCCAAGATAGAATCCTTTTAAAGGGTCCACCTTGCTCATTGTTCTTTGACCTTATCTCGCGTGGTCAACCCCCCTTTCCCCAGATCCACAATATTACTAGCAAAAGAGGAGCGTTCTTTGATTACTTTACGATAGAACTCTGTGCGGTTGACCAAAGTAGGAAACAGTGTCGGGTCAACGAGGGGGGAGCGCAATGATTCACACTAAATGGGGAAATCTAGGCAGAAGTTGATAAGGGGTCAATCCCCAACACGCCCACCACACAAAAGATCCAGGGGCTGATCTGTAATATTCCTCTGCGTAATCCGATCCCTTCGTCTTCTCCGATACTCTATCCTCTCCTGCTCCCTCCCACACCCACCCACCCACCCACCCAACTCCAACTCCAGCGCTGTCCCCTCTCGCGGCCTCTGCTTCTCCCTCCCCCGGAGCCTTCTGGGTCTCGCCGCCGGCGATTTCCCAGTCTCCGAAACTCGCCGCCGTCTGGTTTGAAAGATTGGCCCTTCAGAGAAGGCGATCAGCCTCTCCCCTAAGACTCCGGCAAAAATCCCCTTCCTCTTCGTCTTCGTCTTCGTCTTCCTCTTCTCCGGATCAGCTCATGCCGTTCGTTGAGCAATCTTCCATGCTCTTATGTCCGTTATCCTCCAAGCTGTCCTCTGATCTCCGTGCGATCTTCCCATTCTGCCTCAAACCAACATAGGAGAGGCCATTGAAATTGGGCTTCTCCTCCGCCATTGAAATGGCCTCGTCCACTCCCACCCATTATATGAACCCTTCCGGAGCCCACCAGGTCCACCACCAGAACTTCCCCAACCAGCTCCAGAAACACCTCCGGCACCCGAACCAGAGCCACCGGAGGATCTCCCAGAGATTCCCCGCCTCCTCCCCCTCCTCCTCCGTTCTCTCCTCCTCCTCATCTGCCATTAATGCCGCTTCCCCGGCAGCTGCCAGCGGCAGCACTCTTACGGCCTCTGTCACCTCCCTCTGCTCCGTCGCCGCCGCTTCCTCCACCTCCTCCCCTTCCTCCTCCCAAGGCGGCGGCGCCACCAAGGCGGAGCTGGGCCCCGAGTTCCGGGGAGCGAGGTCCACGAGGGTCGTCTCCAAGAGGCACGTAAACCGCCCCAGAGCCTCCACCGGCGGCGGCGGCCACCAGCGGCCCCCTTCCACCGCCGTGCTCGACTGTCTCACTCATCTGGGCAGCAGCGCCACCGGCGAATCCCTCACCAACCTCCTCCTCAACTACGATCTCATCCTCTCCGGCTCCGACGACTACGTCCATCTCATCCGGCAGCTGGGGGAAAGGGGCGACAAAGGATGCCTCAAGGTGGTTGAATGCTTCCACTTCGCCATGCCCAGGATGAGAGATCACACGGAGAAGGGGAAGCTCCTCACTGCCCTGATCAGTGTCCTGGGGAAGATGGGTCGCCCCGACCTGGCCAAGGAGGCCTTCGACGCAGGCCTTGCAGGCGGCTATGGCCACACCGTCTACGCCTACTCCGCCCTCATCTCCGCCTACGCACGCAGCGGGCTCTCCTCAGAGGCCCTGAAGCTCTTCGAAACCATGAAAGCCGTCGGCTTGAGGCCCAACAGCGTGACCTACAACACAGTGATCGACGCCTGTGGGAAGGGCGGAGAAGACCTCCAGAGGATGACCCAGATCTTCAGGGAGATGCTGAGCAATGGGGTGCGCCCAGACAAGGTGACCTTCAACTCCCTGCTCGCTGGTTGCAGCCGCGCAGGGCACTGGGAAGATGCTAGGGAGATGTTCGACGAAATGCTCCTGAGAGGGGTCTCCAGAGATGTCTTCACCTACAACACCTTCATTGATGCTGTCTGCAAGTGCGGGAACATGGAGATGGCCGTGTGGCTGCTTACAGAGATGCGGGTTAGCAATGTCCTCCCCAATGTGGTCACTTACAGTACTCTGATGGATGGGTACTCGAAGCTGGACAGGTTTGAGGAGGCGCTGAGGCTATACGACGAGCTCAAGTCTGTGGGCATTACCCCTGACAGGGTCTGCTTCAACACCCTCCTCTCCATCTTCGTCAAGATGGGGAGGTATGAAGATGTGGTGAGGACCTCCGAGGAGATGGATAGGCTCGGAATTGACAGAGATATCGTCACCTACAATGCTCTGATAGCCGGGTACGGGAAGCAGGGCAGGTTCGAGACTGTTTCCTATCTGGTTCAGAAGATGAAGGAGGAGAAGATCCAGCCCAATGTGCTCACCTATTCCACCCTGATAGACGTCTACTCCAAGGCGGGCATGTACCAGAGCGCCATGGACATGTACATGGAGTTCAGGGGGACGGGCTTGAAGTCGGATGTGGTCCTGTACAGCTCCCTGATCGACACGCTGTGTAAGAATGGGCTGGTGGAGTCGGCGGCCTGGTTGCTCAATGAGATGATAATGGTGGGGATCAGGCCCAATGTGGTCACCTTCAACTCCATCATCGACGCCTTTGGGAGGTCAGCCCTGGTGGAGGAGGCCGGTGGCAGGGGTGAGAAGGAGGCTAAGGAGGGCGATGGCAAAATTCTGCAGGTTTTTGGGCGGCTGGCAAGAGGCAGTGCTCCTGTCACAGAAGCGGCGAGGAGGAGCTCCCAGGAGTTGGTTTGCATTTTCGATCTTTTCCGCAGAATGCATTGCCTGGGCATAAAGCCAAATGTGGTAACCTTCTCGGCCATCTTGAATGCCTGCAGGTGAAATCAAGAGTCCTCTATCATCTTGCCTCCATTTTTAGCATTTTAGGTCCTGGTTTGTGGATCTCCGGCTGACCCTGTTCACTGTGTCTGTGGTGGCAGCCGGTGCGACTCTTTTGAGGATGCCTCCACCTTGTTGGTTCAGCTCCAGTCATTTGACAACCACGTCTATGGGGTTGCTCATGGGCTTCTGATGGGCTCAAGGGATGTGTGGGTCCAGGCCCGGTCTCTCTTTGATGAATTGAAGAGGATGGACTCGTCGACGGCAGCTGGCTTCTACAATGCTCTGACCGATATGCTGTGGCACTTTGGCCAGGTGAGCTAATTTTATGAAGCCTTTGTTGGGGTTGACTCTGTATAGATCTTGGCACTTAAATAAATAAATAAATGACTAATCACTGTATCTTGCTGTCATAGTCCCTAACCAGAAATAATATATATAATCATTTTCTACTGATGTGGACTAGCATGGTGCTAGAATAATATCACATTTGAAATATTAAGTAAACTCCTATGACTGCATAGATTGATTTTAAGCTGGATAGCCCAATAAATGATTTTTTTTTAGATAGGGAAAAAAGAATTTTTGAAGGATCTAATATGTTCCACCCATTATCAGGAGATTGGTCGCAGGTCCTTGAAGCTCTTTTGGAGCATGAAATTAATTTCTCGTTCAATTTCTTGTCGGAATAGTCCCATATTAAGATGAAATCCTATGGATTGGCCTTGTTCACATATTGTCCATTGGTTTTGAATCAGATAAATAAAATCTCACATTATAAATGATAAATGAAATCCTATGATCTATAAAGCTTGATTTTAAGTGGGGTAACCCAATACTGTAATGCATCTAACAAAAGAAACCTGAAGATCTTATATACCCATTACTAATCACGTTGGTTGCAGCTCCTCAAAAGCACTTATTGTGCATGAAATTGCTTTGAGACAGAGACATGACCTGGCTCATATCATTACTCAGTCTACTCCCTGGTTCATATATCTTCAATGAAACCACCTCTTCAATATCTCTAATGCTGCTACTTCTTTGTGAACAGAGACGGGGAACACAGCTTGTTGTATTTGAGGGGAGGCAGCGGAAAGTCTGGGAGAACACGTGGAGTGACTCCTGCTTGGATCTTCACCTGATGTCTTCTGGGGCAGCTCAAGCTATGGTTCATGCTTGGCTGCTCAACATACGCTCCATTGTCTCCGAGGATCGTGAACTACCTGACTTGCTGAGGTATGTTCCTATGTGGGGAAAAATCCTAACTCTCAATTAGTTCTTCGGAAGCAACAATAATAACAATGTTCGGTTTCAACAGTATCTTGACTGGATGGGGGAAGCACAGTAAGGTGGCGGGCACGAGCTCGGTCCGGCGTGCTGTGGAGATCCTCCTTGCTTCAATGGGTTCCCCTTTCCATGCAGAGAAGTTCAACATGGGGAGGTTTGTGTCCCAGGGAGCAAAGGTCTCTGCCTGGTTGAAGGAATCTGGGACTTTGAATGCGCTCACTCTTCGTGACGATAGAGCTCAGCCTAATGGTACATTCAGCCCATTGTTATCTAACTTTAAAGCATTGTCCTTGTAGATCTCTCTGTATCTTCCCCTTGTTACTCACAACCATTGCTCGATATGCTTTGCAAGCTTGCCCCCTCCGGATTTATGCTCATCTCGCTAGCTTTATACAAGATATGGGTTAAGGAGGTGGTGGCCTTTGTGTACCTTGAACTCAGTATTTCGTTGGAAAGTGAAACAAAAGCTTGGGTCATCTGATGAATCAATGCTTGTGTTTCTTGGGCTTGCATCTCTTCTGTCTGTAATTTGTTTTTTTTTTTTTTTTTCTGAAGTCAAATATATCTTTCATAAAGTAATGGTGGGTGATATGTCACTAGATATGAGAATCAAAGGATCTGAGGAGGAGGATCCCGGCATACTTCTCTAGTCCTTGAAGAAGAAAATTAGTGCCCAATACCTTCATTCTCATCTGAAAGATTGCTGGTAATAGTATGATGTCCCATTCTATGTTCTAGGGCAAGGGATTGATGTCTTGCAATAAATGGCAATATACAGTATGGCTATGTACTCATTTGAGACATATTTGGTTTTTAGTGGGACATTATCCAACTCAAAAATCTTCTGAGTATGCACGAATATGTCAAAAATCTTAAGTAATATCCAATCTGTTTCTCCTCAGTTTGAATGAACTTTGGAACTTCCATCGCATATGGCAAGTCTTTAGGAGGTTCTTGGTTCTTTAGGAAACTTATCCTTGCGTTCTTGATTTTTCAAACCAAAATATGCGCCATCTCCATCAAAATGTCTTGGTGGGGTAGAGAAATAAACTTACCTATGATTTAAAACACCGGTGGTGAAAAGAAATTGCACAGAAAAAAATAAAAAATCAATCATAATAGTTTAATAAAGTGAACTGCCTACGATTTAAAATCAGTGTTGAGAAATAAGAAAAATTGCACAAATTAATAATCAATCACAATAGAATACACCCTAGATACAGTGGGTTGAACTTATCTATTCCACACCAACTCCACCCCTACTAGACGCCCGAGATACAGTGAACAAGGAAGAGTTGATACCTTGTTTTCAGCATTCGAGTAAGATTTTTAACTTGCAGAGATTTAGGGACATCCATTTTCTTCCTTGAACTCACTTTGTCAAATCTTGCATTTTTAGGATAACTTTGGGAGTGGAGTTACACATTTGTTCAAGAACATAGTCAATAATAGGTGCTGGTGTAGGTAATGTTGGGATGTGTGGAGAATGATCATCCTTGATTTATAGTTGATACATAGATCTCTATATACAGAAAAATGATAAAAAATCTTGGGGGGACACTCTCCCCACAACGAAATTTGTCATTTGTCCCTAAATGGTCACCCTTTGTGTTATTAATAGGGCTGAACTCTATTGGAGTAATTTGAGCTGAATGTAGAATGACATATCCCCCATCCACCCACTCACTTAAGGATTATATGAGGGTCTGACCATGGGACATCTGCTTTGATCCCTAACATTAAGACTGTACTCACCAACGTGCTATGAAGTAGTACAACACTCCTTGTGCATGATGACATTGCTCCCATTCTATGAGAGACATATCAATGAGTTCACACATGACACTCAAGTGACATGCACAAGAATGTTTATAACAAGATGCATGCTTGGTTGGATGATGTGAAATTCCAAGACAAAAAGGCTAGTTCTTAGTGTGTGCACGTAGTAGGTGCTACAATATATAATGATTATGCATTGTAATAAGGCGACATACATGAAGAGACTCATAGTGCAGCATAAGAAAATGATCAATCTCTAATTGGAAGTTGTTGAGATGTGTGGATAATGATCATCCTTGATCTTTAATGAATATCCAGATCTGTATCTACAAAGAATTGGCAGGAATCCTTGAGAGATACTCCTCCATGAGCATAATATAAACTAGGGACAATTGTCCTATGTTCAATAGGGATGACCTTGTTATAAATAGGGATGACCTCTATCAGTATAATTTAAGTTGAATGCAAAATGACATCCTCTCTCTTGTAGAGGTTCAATGCAAGTCCATCTATGGAAAAGTCATTCTGATCCTTAACAAATAATGAAATGAAGAGTAAGAAATTATCATCCTTATCTTCATCAACTTGTTTCTTTCCTTATGCTAAAAACGTAAGGTTTGACCAAGTAAGATTCATTTTCATGGAAACCCTTTTTGATGGAGGATAATATCATTTATATATTTTTTACATTGAAAATATCTAATGAAGAGTCATTTTAACCCCTTGAGATCCAATTTGTACTCATACTAATCATGAGCATTAATAAATGATATACACCCAAATATATTCTACATAGAATTAAGGCAATGAAAATAAAAGAATGACATTTTTCCAAAAGTTTTTGAATCCTATGACTTCAGAGGTTAGACGATTTTTACAGTAAATACTCACTAAAACTGCATCTCCTTGGAAAGATATAGTTACATTATTTTGGAAAAAAGTAGATCTAGTTCCTTTAAGAACATAACTATTTTTCCTTTCAACTAACCCTTTTTTTGTTAACATGTTAACTCATGATGATTTATGTAGTATCGTTTTTTGGAAATGAGAGGTTAATGTTTGATTGAATAATTCTTAATATTATCAGACTTCAATCTTTTAATACTGACTCTAAATGAATTTTTAATGAGTGAATAAACTTTTAGAAGCATGACATGAAGCTAAAATTTATGTTTCATCAAAAATTCTAAAGTGAAATCATGTACACTCATCAATAAATGTAACAAAGGCAAAAAAAATATTTTAATTGTTGTAATGGAACGATACCCAAGTCCCCCAATGGTAAAGTGAGAATTTCTCCAAATTTTATGACAAGGGTTCAAAAGATAAGTTGCTCTCTTGTTTTGCAATGTTTGGTTGGGTTAGTACTTTAAAATCATAAAATTCATTTTCTCTAGTTTGTTCAATCTTCTTCTCTATTTTTTAGTCATAAAACACAATAATTATGATAGAATAATATTTTGTAATCTTGATTTGCAAATCGTTTATTCCTAGATATTAGATTTGTGGTCAATCAAGAACAATAAAGGATATTTTTCAAGATGTAAGAAGACAAGATGAATATTCCCTACATCTATGTTAGGTTCCCTACTAGTTATCCTTCTGAACAACTATTAGGGCTAGCAGAAGAAACCTTTGCCTAACCCAATTTTGGAGTCACTTATGACCATAAAGGGAAGGAGTGTAAGAGAGAATTGAAGACAAAGTGGGCCCAAGGCCTACTTAGAGAGTTAGGGTAGATAAACCCTTGAACTGCCCCTTTGAGGAGACTTTTGAAAAAGAAGTCAATATGAGAAGGGGGACACTCTTGAATTAGTCTTGATTATTCTAGGGTTTCTTTCATAAACCACTCTTTTCTTATTCATAATCCATATTCATCACTGTGGATTGTTCCTTGTTCATCTACATTGTCATCTTCTATGTAGTTTGGTTGTTGTTTATGATAGGATTCTATTGGGTATCTTATCTAGTACCAAAGCCATAGCATCGAAGACAAATGAAAGTAAGATTGAAAGTCTTGAGAAGAACATTTGTTGCTCGAGATAAGGGCTCTAGTTCTTATCAAAACAAGACCCCACCATCACAAAATTGAGATGACGACACCTTTGAAGGAGTGGCATGATGTCAAATAGAGACTACAGAAGTGATTCAATTTACAAGACAATCTATGAATAGTTTATGGATATCTAGTAGAGTTAATAGACATTATCTAGTACTATCCATAGGTTGATAGAGGAGGCAGTGGATAAAGTTTTTGTTGAATTACTAAGATAAGATATTTATATAAAGGTTAAGCTATTCAATCCACAAGACCTCAACAATATGAAGGACACACCACAAGCCTTAGAGTATAAAAATTGTAGTCCTCAAGACTAACTCGAGAATGAGTGATGTAATTAAGTTGGGGTGATTGACTCAAATGTAAAAGTCAAAGAATTAGACAACACATGCTACAATGATCCACCAACATGAGAAGAAGAATCAAACTTGGTGAAACAGAATTAGAAGATGGAGGATTAAATAGATAGAGCTAATATAATCAATTTAATTAATCAATTTCTAGATGACAATTTTAGGTTGTTATATTGTCTCTAATATAAAAAATAGGAAGAAATATGCACTTACCATTATCTCTGTCACAACATTAAGGAATGAGACTTGACATCCAAGAAGTAAAACAATTATGATGGCCAAGAAAAATAGCCTAAAAACCAAAAAAAAAAGAGAAAGTAGATAAGAAGAATACATCAATCATATCTCTTCTTCTCATTGATTGGACTATCTTCTAATAGAGACATCTCAAAAGACAACTTGATTGAACCTTTGGTTCTAATACTATGTTAGGCACTATATCAAAAACATGAAAATAAAAAATAAGACACTCTCAACTTGATTAATGTTTGGATCTAATATTTCAAACCACAAGATCATTATGCCTAAAACTTTAACAATTTTGTCAAAATAAGTTTTATTTTTATTTTTCCTTTCTTTTAATATTTATTTATTACATAAGTGTCTAATTAGATCATATCAATTCAGTTCAACCCCTATATTATGATTATCTAATAAAAAATTACTTGTATCCCTTGAAATTACATACTAGATCATTGATCCAAAATCTACTCATGTAGTATTTGTTGAGTTTTATTTTTATTTGGTCTTTGTTTGGTATACAATGTGCAAAAGGTACTATTACCCAATGCCCAATCTTGTTCCTATCCCTTGTGAAAAGTGATTTTACCATTTTTTTATAGCAATTTTCTAAAAAAATATTAACTTTTAAGTATGTATACTTCAAGACAAGCCATCTTGTATAGATGATGATAATCTAGGTGTTAGATATTTAGAAGGTATATGTCTCTTGAGATCAAGACGTTGACTAATTTTGTCTATTTTTCAAGAGGTTAATGCATGATAAGAGAAAAATTCAATTAAAAAAATGATGTCAAAAATTATTGTGGTTTGGTTCTCAATGTCTAGCCTAGTTTTTTAAGATATCCTCATGTCCTATTGACTTTTGTTATCTTCTATCACAACTACTTAACACTAGAAAGCTGACTCATCTCCGCTAGATTTAGGATTTTATACAACAAAAAAGGGAAACACCATGGTCTCAACTCACTATTTTAGATAAATGATTCTCAGTAAGTTATTTATATGCCCCACATGTGACTTAGTTTTAGTAATACAAATTACACATCAAAGATCAAAACACCTTTTGAAACCTTTAAATGTCATCTTCAATGCAAAAAGAAAAAAATAGAATTATTACACTTTTTTAATTAATTTTTTTATTTTGGATCTGAAATTTTTGCATAAATGATCTATAATTAAATGTTGAAGGTGACTATTTCCCCTAGAAATTTTGTGAAGGCATAGCAATAGCAATTGAAAAATTATCAATATAATGCAATGGCATTAAATTATCACTATGCTCTTGTAATGATTTACTCAATATTAAAATTAAGCATACATTACTATTTTAATGTTGATATTATTTTACTCTCAAAAATAAAAATTGAGGGTAGAAAGCACAATTTTGACTCAAAAGTCATCAAATTTTAGGCTGCTCGTCTCTTAGAAAGCATAAAAATTCCATCCAAGAATTCTTGGAATGACTAGGTCCATAGAGTCAACAAGTCTAGCTCAAAATTCAACATGAATTTGAGAGAGTGAGATGGGTTATAATGGTCGATGCATGTGATGGGGCCTTGTTACAAAGAATATAGACCACTTTGCCCTGGTGAATGGTCTTTAGAGTGGTCCACTTGCATATCCATGAGGTTGACTCAACCATCAATAAGCATAAATGGATAGACATCCCTAGAAAAATAAAAGTTGATCCAATTTTCCATCACTTTGTGTAAAGATTGCAAGAAAAACATGTTCATTGACCATTTTTTGAGTCAACGTGTGCAAATTTTCCAAATCTCTCTCTCTCTCTCTCTCCCTTTTACTGCATTATTAAATTTAAATTTATTCAAAATATTAGTCAATTAACTAATATAATTCTCATTAATTATAATGATGGTATTTCAATGTTAGTGGCAAAGTCAACCGCTCCCTTGAATTTCTGCTTTGCCTCTCATCCGGGGCGGCGGCGTGGTCCGTCCCCCTCATAAATTCCTATGTGGAGGCGGATTGCCTACGGCTACCAGCCCGTCAACTAATTCATCCTCATCCCCAACCGTTGACCATTGAACCGGCAGCCCTCGCCGCTCAATCCCGACCGTCCGTTCAGCGATCGTCGGGTAGCCGCCGGGCGGGCCGGCGGGGGTTGGGTAGGTGGCCAGCGGGCGGAGGTTGCCCACCCCGGCCGGCGCCTTGAACGGCAGGTCCACCTTAAATGCATACGTTTCAAACCATCCCTATTCTTTCCACTAATAACGAACTGCCATCGAACCTTACTGTCCCCCGCACGGTTGGATGACCGGACACTTCGTCCCCCGTCGACCCCACAGGCACACGTGGCAAATCACTTGCGGTAAGCTCCTCCGCGAGTACCGTCACCACCGACGGACACGTTTACTCGGGTGGCAAACTGCACATTGGATCCGATTCCAAGTAATTATCGGATTCTCTCATGAGAGAAAGTTCGGCCTCTTAGTTCCCGCTCTCTCTCTCTCTCTCTCTCTCTCTCTCTCTCTCTCTCTCTCTCTCTCTCTCTCTCTGTTGGTCGTGCCGTCGTGGGCTAACAACCTGCGCCACGTGACCACCCTCTTTCTCTCTCTCACGCTCTCTCTTCTCTCTTTCTATCGCTGGTTGGGGGTAGCTGTGGTGGCTGGACGGGGACGGTGGTAGGTTCCTCGCCTCTGGGTGGTGCTGGGATCGCCTTCCTATTTAAAGAATCTGCGAGGATCTGGTCATCTCTCTCTCTACAAAGCGCAGATCTGCTGTGGTATCGGAGCTGACGGAGGAAGTGAGGGCGGGGGGCACTGCTCGTCAGTTGCAGGTATGTTTGGATGTCCTCCCCGAGCTCTCTCTCTCTTGCTCTCCGTGTGCTTTGTGATGTCTGCTCTCTCTCTCTCTCTCTCTCGCTCGCTCTTTTAGAGTCCTTCGATCTGTCTGACGTGGTTCTAGGCCCTGCACTGTAGTGTGTTCCTACCGATTTCGGAATTTCGGATTTCGATTTTGTTCGTTGATCGTGTAGTGAGCTACGAGGTCGAGTCGCTGAGGTTGCTTGTGGCTGTTGTCCGTCTCTCTTCCGGTCGACGCTTGATCGTGTAGTGACAAACATCTTGGATTTGAAGTGAAAAGCGTGCTTGTTGTGGCGGAGGGTGAGTCCCGGACAGTGTTGAGTAGCCATGTCTCTGCTTACAGAGGAAGGATCTCACGGTTTCGTTGACAAATGAAAAGTTCTCTCCCGTTGTGCACGCTAATTCGGCGAAGATTTAGTACTTGAAAGTAGGACTACTGCTGCATTGGTGTACCCTGCGATCCGTAGTTATATATGCTCCTGGAGGGATTACTAATGGTGATCATGGTAAGAAACGCGGCTACGCCGCCGGCCATCTTTCCAAGTCCTGTTTAAGACAACTTTTTCTTTTGATCTGAATTTAAGGTTAAGTAATGGCATGACTGGAGTAGTTCTCGATTTTTTGTGGATCAAGGGCCAGTCATCTCCTTGTTATCTGACATCAAGTTGGCTATGCTACTTTAGGACAGTGAAAGAATTTTGGCCTGAAGGAAGTCTGGGTTAAAATGACAATTTCTGGAGAATTTTTGCGAAATCTGAGTTAATTTGTGGTGTTCCGGAAAAACTATCAAAACAAGCTCCTACGATTCAGAATCCTAAATTCCGGGAGATTATTTGTGGCCTAAGATTCTAATATTTTTGGGTAATTCAAAAACCATAGAGTGGATGGAGCAGATTTGCCACAAAGGTGAAAAAATAAAAACCAGCTAGGGATGAACCATTGCAAAAAAAAGGGGATAGTTTTGGAATGAGGGAATATGGCACCATCGGTCCTGAGAATTGGCTTCTTCATTTCTAGGGTCAGTCTTTGGCTTCAGTGTCATGCATTGAGACGGTGTTGAATTCTACGGAATTTCTGTTACTTGACCGAAAAACTCAAATTTAGTTTTCTTTCTTCATTTGGTATTAGGCATTGCCTATTTCGTCGTTTAAATTTTGATTACTGGGTGAAGGGTTCACGGTGTTCCATCTGTACAGCATAAAATGTTCAAATTTGTTGTCTGCTGGCTTGTGATTATTAAATAAGGAGTTGCAGGAAGAAAACGTACCTCAAAGTCGATTGCTTGACTGTTGAAGACAATTTTTTGTTTCGTCTGTCATCTCTGAGCCCTCCAATCCAATAATGAGTAGATTCGACTTGCAGGCTTTCAGCAATCATGGCTACTGGACAACTATTCTCGAAGCAAACACAAGCACTATTTTACAACTACAAGCAGCTTCCTATCCAAAGGATGCTTGATTTCGACTTCCTTTGTGGTGCGTATGTTTCAGACTTTGTGGTGTTTATGGTCTGGTGCAGATTCCCTTCATCTTCATTGATAGGATGTCATATTGTGGACAACAACTTAGTAGTTTTGCTTGTGGCCATCTTTGCAGGAAGAGAAACACCTTCGGTTGCTGGAATCATCAACCCAGGTTCAGAGGGGTTTCAGAAGCTGTTTTTTGGTCAAGAAGAAATTGCCATTCCAGTTCACTCGACGCAAGTTCTCATGATCCCAAATGTTCTGTTTAATTATTACCTCTAAGTCCCTGCCATAGAGGATTGTAGCTAGTTTTGTTACCTTTTTCCTTGGATTGGTGCGATATGTGCATTTTCTGGATACATAACCTTGTTTTGTGTGCAGTTTTGCTGGAATCTGCAAGCTTTATACTTAGGGCTGACCAAGCCATGATATCGTATTAGAGAAGTTTTACGGTTTTCTAATAGCGTAGGGATTTTAACAGTCGTATGGCAAGTAATCGGCGTTCAGAAGTTCACGTAGTAAAGAAATTACATCCCCACAATGTCTACATTCACGTGGTGCTCATGATTGGAAAAAACAGCTGATTTCAATCTGGATTCGCCGATTTGTGTCGGAATCAGCCACCACCAATTGTTTTTGAAAGGGAGTAGATTCTGATCCTCTTGAACATATATAACCAGTTAGACATCACAAGATTTCACCTAGATTTGCCAGTTACCTTGCTGGATTAGCCCTTTTAGTTCATAAAAGAGCCACGTCTTGCATCCACTTCTGAAGGCTGTATGAAGCAGAGGATAGAAAAGAAAAAAATATATTTTTTTCTGCCATTAACCTCCTGTTCATGTCTTGTCTACCCTGTTGTACTCGAACATGGGCAGGATTGGGTATTATGGACCCAACTGGGAAAAATGATCCACGTCCAGTTGTTATGACTGACGTTTTCTGAGGAACCCATGTTACATGAGACGCTGTTTTTGGACTTTTAGCTTCTAACAACAGCTCTCTTTTTGTGGTATTCAATTTCCTTGCATACTTCATTGCTTCTTCAATCGTAGGCAACCTGCAACATCACTGCCAATATAATTGCTAATAAAAGCGTTCACAGACTGCCTTTTCACTATTTAGAGTCATACATCCTATATTTGCTTTTATTCGCTGGACACTCTTCCTCCACGTCTCATGACAGACTAGGAACGATAAGTGTATCTTTAAATTCGTCAACACTGTCAATAAGTGTCTGTTCAGTTCGAGGTCAACCCAGTCTCACAGGTTTCTTTGTCGTTTTTGTAGTATTGAAGCAGCATGCAGTGCTCATCCAACAGCTGATGTTTTTATCAACTTTGCATCATTCAGAAGGTCAGTGGTCTCGTTGTTTCTTCACAGGTTCCCAGAATAGCAACCTCGAATTCCACTGCAGTTCTAACCGTCCTTTCATTCTGTGTGAACAGCGCCGCTGCTTCATCCATGTCTGCATTGAGGCAACCGACCATCAGGGTCGTGGCTATAATTGCTGAAGGCGTGCCAGAATTGGACACCAAGCAATTGATTGCATTTGCTCGGGCTAATAACAAGGCACGGTATCTTTTATAAATTTCTTAAGCGATGAACACTGTAAACATCACTAATTTTCTTATTATAGTTTTTTAAAAATAATTTCTTAATTGGGTATCTTGTCTTGCCCACCGTCAACTCAGGTCGTCATAGGTCCTGCTACTGTCGGCGGCATTCAAGCTGGAGCGTTTAAGATTGGAGACACTGCTGGAACCATCGATAACATCATCCAGTGCAAGCTTTACAGAGCTGGATCTGTAGGATTTGTGTCCAAATCGGTAGGTTTTTTCTCTTCATCATCTCTTACTAGTCATATAATTTTGTTTAACCAGATGTCAATCTTTTCAAGCAAATTTTACCACTTCTATCTAATCTACCTCCACTCTTTCAAGAAAACCTAGATCTTTTTTGTCAAAAATACACAATTTTTTGGTAGAGTTTCATGCCATATCTAAATTTGATATGCCGAATCTGAATATACTTGGATTCTCAAGATTCTTATTCATATGATATTGTCGAAATGTCACATGAAATTTAAGAAAAGAATTCCTGATTTGTTTTATTTTTAAATACTGCAGGGTGGCATGTCCAATGAACTGTATAACACCATCGCTCGGGTGACGGATGGAATTTACGAAGGTATCCGATTATTTATCTTGACGTGGATTATTCTAATATTACTAGAGTATTTCGGATCTTCGAAGAGCTCATTATGCCTCGGAATTTCTCAGGGATCGCCATTGGAGGAGACGTGTTTCCTGGTTCCACCCTTTCTGATCATGTCCTTCGCTTCAACAATATCCCTCAGGTATTTTATATTATTTTATTTTATTTTCTCCTAATATATGTTTCCCTGTTCTTCGATTTAAATATCCAGAAAAAAAAAGAAAAATTCAACCGAGTTAAACAGCTCGACATTCAGATCTTCTTGGATTATCAGATGTTCTTTCTTTTAATATGATCAGAATCAGATGAAAACCCACGAAAGAAAAATCAATTAAATAATGAACTATATGATTTCATCTTTCGGCTATCCGTATAAATATTTAAAGAAATATATTTATCCGGGGAATCCTCCTGTCCCACCTTCACAGGTGAAGATGATGGTCGTGCTCGGTGAGCTCGGCGGAAAAGACGAGTACTCCCTTGTTGATGCCCTTAAAGAGGGGAAGGTCCACAAACCGGTCGTCGCCTGGGTCAGCGGCACCTGTGCCCGCCTGTTCAAGTCCGAGGTCCAGTTCGGTCATGCTGTAAGTCAACCCCTCCCCAGAAAAGGAAACTCAGGTCTGTATGACGTCATCTTTTTTTTTTCCATCTCCCTAACTCCGATGATGACAACGACATAGGGGGCCAAAAGTGGGGGTGAACTAGAATCGGCCCAGGCCAAGAACCAAGCTCTGAAAGACGCCGGCGCTGTTGTGCCCACCTCATACGAGTCCCTGGAAGGAGCGATTAAGGAAACTTTCCAGAAGCTCGTATGTTCCCACGAAAGGCCCCCATCCCAGCCCTCTTTCACCCTCCGCCTCCTTCCTCAAGACTCTGACTTTCTCCACGGGATCTCGATTTCCATTTCAGGTGGAGGGAGGGAAGATCTCCGCCATCAAAGAGATCACGCCCCCCCAGATCCCGGAGGACCTGAACTTTGCCATCAAAAGCGGAAAAGTCAGAGCCCCCACCCACATCATTTCCACCATCTCGGACGACAGAGGTCAGCTGCAACTTTCCGGTCAACTCATCTCTGACCCCAAATGAATCTCCCCCCGTTGACCTCAAAGTTATCTCACAGGGGAGGAGCCGTGCTATGCCGGAATACCCATGTCAACCATCGTCGAGAAGGGCTACGGCGTGGGAGACGTCATATCCCTCCTCTGGTTCAAGCGGAGCCTCCCCCGCTACTGCACCCACTTCATCGAGGTCAACATGCTGCTCTTTTTTCCGTCAACACCCCCAGAGATTGCATACACTTTGGATAAATACCTCGAATTTCTGTAAACTCTCCTTCACTCATCAGATCTGCATCATGCTATGTGCTGACCACGGTCCCTGCGTCTCCGGCGCTCACAACACCATCGTGACCGCACGGGCTGGAAAGGACCTGGTTTCCAGCCTCGTATCAGGTATTCTTCAACAACCAATATTATAATATATTATTATATTTATGTTCCTATTTAGGTCCACATTTGTCATTTGCATAAAGTTGGGTGTCAGAAATGAAATGATTAAATAATCTGTATAAAATAACAGGAGAATCAGATTTTATTTTATTTATTTCTTGAAGCAATCATCTAACTAACGATCAACCGATTCTCGGTGACAGGACTGCTCACGATTGGTCCACGATTTGGCGGCGCGATTGACGACGCTGCCCGGTACTTCAAGGAGGCCTACGACAAGGTGCGTCAGTCTCGACGAAAATAGAAAAAAAGATAAAAGATAAAAGAAGATGTTGACAAAAATTGCACAGAAAGAATCTACCATTAAAAATTCCTGAAAAAGTATTTGACTTTTCGATTAAGATGGGATGATTCTTTGGATTCAAAGAGGAGAGTGTTGATTCAAGAGGGATCTATCTCTCGACTTCCTTTCTCTTCGCCAAATCTTCTAAGATACCTCTCATGAGCTTTTTCCTCTGCCTCTCTCCCCGCAGAACCTCACCCCCTACGAGTTTGTGGAAGGCATGAAGAAGAGGGGCATCCGCGTGCCAGGAATCGGCCACAGGTATCATCACCATCATCTCCCGTCTGTAATTTTTTTCCATTTATGGAAACAAACTCCTCAACCGGCTAGCTCCCCACACAAACTAGCATACGATATAGAAATGGGGGCTTTTGTGTAATTTTTTGCCATTTATGGAAACAATCTCCTTGACCGGCTAGCCCCCCCACACACACTAGCAAATGATATAGAAATGGGATTTTTTTTCTCTTATGTAAATTTTTGCCATATGGAAACAAACTCTAGATTTAGACGTCTGTTCAAATGGGATATATATGTTGTTTTGGTTTTACTGCCTGCTGATGATGAAGTGAAATCATGGGGTGGGGGAATGAATATGGATATTGGTAAAGGATAAAGAGGGGGGACAACAGGGACAAGAGGGTGGAGCTGCTGCAGGAGTACGCGAGGACGCACTTCCCGTCGGTGAAGTACATGGAGTACGCGGTGGAGGTGGAGAAGTACACGCTGACCAAGGCGAACAACCTGGTGCTGAACGTGGACGGGGCCATCGGGTCGCTCTTCCTCGACCTCCTGGCCGGGAGCGGCATGTTCTCCAAGCCCGAGATCGACGACATCGTCGAGATCGGCTACCTCAACGGCCTCTTCGTCCTCGCCCGCTCCATCGGCCTCATCGGGTCAGTCCCCCTCTCTCTCTCTCTCTCTCTCTCTCTCTATATATATATATATATATATATATATATGTGTGTGTGTGTGTGTGTAGCTATCTATGTATTTATCCCCTTTACAACTTAGAGGTTAGGTTGGGTTGGGCATCTATCTCTCTCTCTCTATCTAGCTCTCCCCCTCCCCTTCACACCGGCTAAGGTTGGGTTCTCTCTCTCTCTCTCTCTCTCTCTCTCTCTCTCTCTCTAGCTCTTCCATCTTTACACAGGGTTAGGTTGGGTTGGACCCCTATCTCTCTCCCTCTCTCTCTCTAGCTCTTCCCTCTTTACGCAAGGATAGGTTGGGTTGGGTCTCTCTCTCTCTCTCTCTCTGACGGAGTGGATAAACGAATTTCTCCAACAATCGCGCAGGCACACGTTCGACCAGAAGAGATTGAAGCAGCCGCTGTACCGCCACCCCTGGGAGGACGTCCTCTACACCAAGTGATCCCATCCCCACCCCTTCCCCCTTCCCCCGCCGCCGCAATTTTCCTCCGATTTCAATTGAATTGGATGTTCCATTTATTTCCCCCTGGGGCCTCTCTCGGACCCCTCCTTGGAGTGTACTAGTACCCTGCCGGACATTCTTCCTCTCTCTCCCTCTCTCTCTCCACGTTTCAGCTCAGCTAAACATGGTAATTGCCGTAAAGGGCAACTAAGCATCTCTCCAACAAATATCCCTAAATCAACAACAAGAAGACTCGAACTTCAGACAATCTTTTGGGATGAGATTCTGTGTTCCTTTCTAGGAACTCCCTGAAGTGAGTCTTTATTCCTCTCACTTGCCCACTCAAAAAGTCAAGATTCCTGCTTCTCGGGAGAGAAAGAAGACGTTCACAATGATATTCGCCACCAATTAATTTATACAAATACTAACATTTTCTTATGCCGTTGCCAAAATTATTAGCTATTTTATCTGATATTAGAATTAATAATCGATCTCAAATAGCTACTTTATTCGAAAATCACAGATTAAAATTATTCAAACATTATCACATTTAATTAATAATAAGTTAGATTAACACAATAATCGAACATTAACAAATAAAAATATTAATACCAACTGCGTGCACTTATAAAACCATTTTTAGTGAATTTATTCTGGGTAATTAGGGATTTCACTAATATTTATTCATTAACATTTTCAAAATTAATAATATGCAACCTCTCTCTCTCTCTCTCTCTCTATCTCTCTCTTTCTCTCTCTCGCTCTCTTAGATCTGGTATTCCCCATCTAAAGAATAAGCAAGAATTAGTAGGCCTCAAAATTATAAAAAAGTTAAATATTTTTTTATAATTGATTTAATAAAGTATTTAAATTATATTTGTGTGTATGGTCATACGTCACACTATGTTTATTATGCTAGTTGTAAGGTAAATGGTATATATTCAATAAATAGTTTTTAAAGTGTTTTTTAAAATAATTTTATGTCGGTTTTGAGGAGAATTCGAGGAACCTGTGAACTGTTGTGCTCATTCCTCACCCTCTCCTACCGGAAACATACAAAATTAGGGAGGAAGTGACCCTTGCTTTCCCCTCCCTCTCTCTCTCTCTCACTCTTTCTTCTCTCTCTCTCTCTCTCTCTCTCTCTTCCTTCTGGGGAAGGGGAAGGAGCGAGCCGGAGAGCGCGGTGGTGTCTTCCTCCCGCTGTGGGTGGGCTGTCCTCGGAGGGGATTTTGTCCTTGAAAGGGAGGGAAGGATGTCCAGGAGGGAGAATCAAGATGTCCAGGACACCAACATCCCAAGCAGCCCCGTCGCTAGCCCAGCGCCGCCGGCCGCCGCCGATAAGCATCCCCTCCAGGTGGCCAAGACCGTCGACGGCCAGGCCGTCCTCAAGAGGTCCTCAATCCCCTCCCCTTCCTTTTCCCTCATAATCATCATCATCGTCATGATCATCTTCTTTCTTCTTCTTCTTCTTCTTCTTCTTCTTGGTTTCGCTCGATCGTAGCTGACGGCTCGGATTCGGTTTTATTTATATTCCCACCCTGCGATTAAAAAATCCTTTGAATATGCTCTTGTTCGTTTTCCGATGGATTGCGGAATTGGCTGTTCTGGGCGTGGGTTCCATCTTGCCCTGAAAGGGATCTGGTGTGTTTTCTGATTTCTGATCTGTTCTGCTCAACCAGGAGCACCGTCATTAGGGCTCCAGCCTTGTAATATCACCCGTTCTGCGTCTATGCCGAATTCTATGCCCATGTATGTCCTCTCTGGGAGGTTTTCTTTCCCCCCATTTCGTCCAGAACTACGAGATTGAATCGATTCCCAGGAGATATACATCTTCTCCCCGGTTGACTCTTCGACCAGTTCTTACTTGCTGGGTTTTGCCTCAACTGATTAAGCCTGGTTCATCGGGGTTGCTGATCTTCTTCTTCCTCTTATTATGCATCTGTGGAAGAACAGGCTCCAATCAGAGCTCATGGCACTGATGGTAAGTCGACTCATCGCGAATTATTCCTGCTGATAGATTCATTTCTCGCTCAAGCTGGAGCTAATAATCGTTGCTTCGTTCCCGAGGTCTAGATGTGTGGCGATGCCGGCATATCTGCTTTTCCAGAAGCGGAGAGCATCGCCTGCTGGAAGGGGACGATCAGTGGATCCAGAGACACGGTGTATGAAGGCACCACCTACAAGCTCTCCCTCATCTTCCCCAAAGACTACCCCTTCAAGCCCCCCAAAGTGAAGTTCGACACCCCCTGCTTTCACCCCAATATCGATGTCTACGGTAACATCTGCTTGGACATCCTCCAGGTACCTCCCTCCCTCTCTCTCTCTCCTTCTCTCCCTCTCTCTCTCTAGAATGTCTATGCGTATGATGAAGTTGCTTAGAAGCTTGAATCATGATGGGGTGGAATGCCCTTCCGATTGGTATGAAGGCTGGTTGGATGATAGTTCTCTGGGTTGACTTTCTGATCACATCATCTGGGCAACTTTCTGAGATGCATAGAATGTTTTAAATCATGAAGGTTGGATGATAATTCTCTGGGTTGACTTTCCAACCTTTGAAGAATCAAGGCCTGATCTTACCATCGGGGCAAATTCTGGAGAGATATATAGAAGTCTTATCTCCCTTTGGGTGTCTTCTCCTGTGAAATTTCTTAGAAGCTTGAATAATGATGGGAGTAGAATACTCTTCCGATTTATATGAAGGTTGGATCATAGTGCTCTGGGTTGACTTTCTCACCCTTCAAGAATCAGGACCTGATCATATCATCTGGACAACTTCCTGATGTGCATAGAACGTCTTAAATCATGAAGGTCGGATGATAGTTCTCCGGGTTGACTTTCTTACCCTGGTAAGAATCAATACCTGATCATATCATCTGGGCAACTTCCTAAGAGATGCATAGAACGTCCATCTCCCTTTGGGAGTCTTTCCCTGTGAAATTGGTTAGAAGCTTAAAGCATGATGGGGGGTGGAATGCCATTTCGATTGGTATGAAGGTTGAATGATAATTCTCTGGGTTGACTTTCTGACCCTCCTGATCATATCATCTGGGCAACTTCCTGAGAGATCTACATAGAGCGTCTTATCTTCCTTTGTGGCGTCTTTCCCTGGTTTGCTGATTCTGTGGACTCTCGGGGGGGTCTTTTCAGGACAAATGGTCGTCGGCGTATGATGTGAGAACCATACTGCTCTCCATTCAGAGCCTCCTCGGAGGTAGTATCTGAGGCAACTTTCCTCCTCCTCCTCCTCCTCCTCCTCCTCCTCAAATCTTGTCTGAGTTCCACTTTAATGGTTTCTGCAGAACCCAACAATGAGTCTCCTCTCAACCCTCAAGCGGCCGCGCTTTGGTCTAACCAAGAAGGTATCTACCCCTACTCTCTCTATCTCTCTTCCCTTCTCTCTCTCTCCTCTCCCCCATCTATTTATTCATTCTTAGTGAAAATGACTTTTTAGCCCCCGTATGGTGGTGGGTTCGCTTCCATTGATGGAAATCATCTACACGATATGATCTCTCTCTCTCTCTCTTTCTCTCTCTCTCTCTCTCTCTCTCTCTCTCTCCTCTCCCCCTATCTATCTAGCTATCTATCTAATTATTCCTTCTTTTAGTGAAAATGACTTCTTAGCCTCCGTATGGTGATGGGTTAGCTTCCATTGATGGGAATCATCTGTCTCTCTCTCTGTCTGTCTGTCTGTCTCTCTCTCTCTATCGCTTTATCTATGTATATATTATATATTTAAGGGTTTTTTTTGGGGGGTTGAGAAGAATTGATTATATGACTTGATAGCATCCTCATCGTCCCTCGCTTGGCAGAGTTCAGGAAGATGGTAATGAAGCTTTTCAGGCCGTCCCCGTGAAACCCACCTTCAAGAAAAAGCGGACGCCTTTGCACCAACATCACATTTCTCGGAAGAAAAGAAGGAAGACGAAAGAAGCGACCTCTCTCTCTCTCTCTCTCTCTCTCTCTAGCGTCGTCGTGTTCATCGATAGATATTTCATTTGGCGGCGGTGGTGTATTCTCTCAACAGTCGGACCTCTACTGTCCATATCTCTCTCTCTCTCTCTCTCTCTCTCTCTCTCTCTCTCTCTCTCTCTCTCGCTCGCTAGGGACGTGGCGTCACTTCATGAGGCCGCCGCAACGTTACAGTGCATGGACGGGTGTCCCTCCCTTTGATGGGGAAGGTTTAAGTTTGATACCTCCTCTCCTTGTTGGGCAGAGCCGTTCATGGGAGATACACCGCTCGCGAGGGCCCCCTCTCCGCCGCCGTGGGAGGCGGTGGTCCTCTTCTCCCGGCGGCTCGATCCAAGCAGCCTGGCGGTAGCGGCCTGCGTTTGCCGGTCATGGAGGGCTGCGATGTCCTCCGACGAGCTATGGAGGTCCATCTGCCTCTCCCTCTCTCCCTCCCTCTCCCGCCACCGCGGCCGGCCCTCTTACCGCCACCTCTTCGCCCTCCTCCGCGTGGCGGCGGAGCAACGGCGGCGCCGCCCGCCCCCGCCGGAGATCTCCCTCGGGGAGCTCCTCTTCGCCGTGGAGGTGCTCCGGGGGGGAGAACCGGTCTTCTCCGCAGTCGTCCCCGGTGGCGATTTGGGCGGCGTTGGGAGTCAAGTGTTCCGCTTCGACGTCGCCGGAGGCGGTGGAGAGGCGGTGGCGGTGGCGGAGGCGACGGCGTTGAGGTGCTCGTGGACGGTGGTCCAGCGAGGGTGGAAGGGCGCCGCCGTGATGATGGAGGGAGGGGAGAAGGGGGTGGCGGTGGGGGAAGACGAGGTGTGGTTCTCTGAGGAGCTTCCCCCGCCGGCTTGCTGCTGCTCGGGGTTGCGGACCGGGGGGCTGGTGGCGGAGCTGGGGCTGCGGCTGGGCGATCGTTCCGGTGGCGATATGGTGGCGGAGGGGAGGCGGAGGGCGGTGGTGGGGGTGACGGTTGGCGTGTTGAGGGTCGTCGGCTGGAGGTACGTTGAGGTTGATGACGGCCTGATGTACCTTCAGCACTTCATCTCCCCTCCTTGAGGGTCTCTCTCTCTCTCTCTCTCTCTCTCTCTCTCTCTCTCTCTCTCTCTCCCTCTCCCTCTCTCTCTCTCTCTCCCTCTCCCTCTCTCTCTCCCTCTCCCTCTCTTTCTCTCTCTCGATGTATGTTTATATCTGTACAGCTTTCCATCTCTCTATCAACTGTCAGTCGTTGAAATCTGAGGCGTAGGTCAACAGGGGATACGCCTCAGCAGCAGGAGTTGACCCTACGGCAACCTGGGTCAACTCGGGTGAGTCAGTTCGTTACTCTCTCTTCCCCATGAAAAGTCAAACTCCGATGTGATTGATTCCTACCTATTATTTTTAATATATAGATATATATGTAATTCGGTGTTTTAAATATCATTATAATATTATTAACCTGATTTTAACTCGAAGCTCGCGAAAATGGTCGAAGGAATGTACGGCAAATAAATAATTTCAGATATATATATTATGTATGGTACCCTAAATAATTACGAAAGTCACCTCGCCTGGGCCAATATCTGAAGAAATGAGACAAAGGAAGAGGAGAGAGAAAGAGAGAGAGAGGGAGAAGGGGAGAAGAGAGAGTGAGACAGAGAGGGAGAGGGGAGAAGAGAGAGTGAGACAGGGAGGGAGAGAGAAAGAAGGACAGAAAGGAGGAGAGAGAGAAAGGGAGGGATAGAAAGGAACAGAGAGAGGGGGAGAGAGAGGAGAGGTAGAAAGATAGTAGGATAAATAGATTCCAGACGGCTTCTACCACAGCCGATCGTCGTCTCCCACGTCATCGCTGCCGCCACCTGATCTTGTTTTCTCCCCTGAGGGGAGATAGGGGCCGGACCCTGCGATCTCGAGCTGCGACGCCATCGCAGGGAGGGAGAGGATATCGGTGAGAAACGACGCTCCGCTCCACTCTCATCCCCTCCCCTCCCTACTTGTGCTGCTTGCTTTCCTAGAATTGATCTCTCCTGTGGATGGAATCGCGACTCGTTCTCTCTGTGATCCGTAAATCGCTCCGTCATTCACTGCTCCCTGTGGCCGAATGGCCGTCTAGGTCCAAGTGATTAGGTAGAATCACTTGTCTCGATCTTCTGTGCTGTTCATCATCGTACGAGAGGATTTCTGCCTCCTCCGCAGAGATTTATTCTAGGGTTTCATCGTGTGGATTTATTTCCCCCATTACCGTCAACTCTTGCTCTCTTATCGTCATCGGGAAGAAATTTCCTCCTCTGCAGATCCTGATCTTATCCAGAACATGAGTAGGATGGTTGATCGTCACTTCGATTCCCTCCCAGAGTAACATTGTTCGCCTCATCTCAGAGATGAGGGTTTATGCCTGTCAGGCCTCGAAGATATGAAGGCTTATGCGTGTTCATTCCAACGCGTCGAATTCATCTTCGGTGGCTCATTATCCCTAGGAAGAAAGCAGAGAATGGAAGAGCATGCTTCCATCGCATCAAATCCTTCATCCTCCATTCCTGATTCCTTGACAGCCTTCGATAATCAGCTTCGCTTCTCTGTTTCTGATCCCATGGGGTTCCACTGTCTCTGAGAATTCTCTTTCTAGTTCCAGGGAAAACCTAGCTCCGGTCTCTGTTCAGATGAATCTTCTTCCTCATTCCCCCCCTCTTCCATCCCTTCCTTCTCCCCTCCCAGTGCGTCCCCAATTTTCTCTTGATTCCCCAAGGAATCTTAATCCTTGGGCAATCAAGAGATCAATCAGGTCGCACAAAACAATTTTCTCTTGTTTCCATGAACAATCCTAATCCAAGACATCAATCAGATCTCACAGATGCCACAGACCAATCAGAGGAGCCCTCTGATCACCTGCATCAGGCGTTCTTGGTGTTCTTCATCCCATCAGATCTCGGACTAATTGATTTATGTGGGTGTGCTGAAGAATCAAACAGAAAGGAATGCATCTCAAATCAGAAACTATATAGATCACGCACCTTACCATTTCATGCTGTTTTTTCTTTTTTCATGTCAGATAGTTGATGCATTGTCTTCTCCATTGCCACACTAGTAAAAAGGTTTCTATTTATGTGAGTGAGCCGAAGAACTCTTGCTCCATCATTTATCAAAATATGGCAAGAAACAACCAACCATACATCTGCTCCGAGGAATTAAAATATTCTTTCATCGTGTTCAATGCCTCTTTGATCTCGTGAAGAAACAGATGAAATAAGATATTCTTATAATCTTTATTACTTTTAGTGCATCTTGAATTTTTTATGTTAAAAAAAAGATAAAATCTGTGTTTTTATGTACCTCACTGGATCAAAACCTCGCAATCTCCCAAGATCTACAGAAACAGGGAGCAGAAGAAATGGGGAGCCAGCCGGACTCGGAGAAGAAATTCAGGTTCTGCATCGACAGAGGGGGCACATTCACCGACATCTACGCGGAGGTCCCCGGAAAGTCAACGGGCCGGGTGATGAAGCTCCTCTCCGTTGACCCCGCCAACTACGACGACGCCCCCATCGAGGGCATCCGCCGCATTCTCGAGGAGCACACCGGCCAGAAGATCCCCCGCTCCTCCAAAATCCCCACCGACAAGATCGAGTGGATCCGCATGGGGACCACCGTCGCCACCAACGCCCTCCTGGAGCGCAAAGGGGAGAGAATCGCCCTCTGCGTCACCCGCGGTTTCAGACATCTCCTGCAAATCGGGAACCAGGCCCGGCCCCACATCTTTGACCTCACCGTCTCCAAGCCCTCCAACCTCTACGAGGAGGTCGTCGAGGCCGACGAGAGGGTTGACCTCGATGTTGACCTTGATGGTGGGTCAACGGCTATGGCAGTGGAGGAGGGAGTCTCTGGGGAGCTGATCAGGGTTAGAAAGCCGCTGGACGAGGAGGGCCTGAGGCCGCAGCTGGAGGAGCTGGTGAGGAAGGGGATCACCTCCCTGGCCGTGGTGCTGCTTCATTCTTACACGTACCCCAAGCACGAGCTGCAGGTGCAGCGGCTGGCGGCCGCGGCGGGGTTCCGCCACGTGTCGCTGTCCTCGGCGTTGACCCCTATGATCCGGGCGGTCCCACGGGGTTTGACCGCCAGTGTGGACGCCTATCTGACCCCGGTCATCCGGGAGTACCTTTCGGGTTTCATGTCCAGGTTCGAGGGCGGCGGCGGGGGAGTCAACGTCCTGTTCATGCAGTCCGACGGCGGGCTGGCGGCGGAGAGCCGGTTTTCCGGTCACAAGGCGGTGCTTTCCGGTCCCGCCGGCGGCGTTGTCGGTTACTCGCAGACGCTCTTCGGCTCGGAGACGACGAAGCCGCTCATCGGGTTTGACATGGGCGGCACCTCCACTGACGTCAGCCGCTATGCTGGCAGCTACGAGCAGGTGTTGGAGACCCAGATTGCCGGTGCCGCCATCCAGGCGCCGCAGCTGGACATCAGCACGGTGGCGGCGGGCGGCGGGTCAAAGCTCAAGTTCCAGTTCGGGGCCTTCCGGGTGGGGCCCGAATCCGTGGGGGCCCACCCCGGCCCCGTCTGCTACCGCAAAGGCGGCGCTGACCTGTCGTTGACCGACGCAAACGTCGTCCTCGGGGCCGTCATCCCCGATTACTTCCCCTCCATCTTCGGCCCCGCTGAGGACCAGCCGCTGGACGTGGACGCCGCACGTGAGGAGTTCCAGAAGCTCGCTGATGAAGTCAACGCCCACCGCCGCAGCCAGGACCACACGGCGGCGCCCATGACGGCGGAGGAAGTCGCCCTGGGGTTCGTCCACGTCGCCAACGAGGCCATGTGTCGACCCATTCGGCAGCTCACGGAGATGAAGGGCCACGAGACAAGGAACCACGCGCTGGCCTGCTTCGGCGGCGCGGGCCCACAGCACGCCTGCGCCGTCGCCCGCTCCCTCGGAATGTCCGAAGTCTTCGTCCACCGCTTCTGCGGCATCCTCAGCGCCTACGGCATGGGCCTCGCCGACGTCGTAGAAGACCTCCAGGAGCCCTTCGCCGCCGTCTACGGCGGCGCCGCCGCCGCCGAGGCCACCCGCCGGGCGGCGGCGTTGGCCCTCCGCGTGAGGGAGAAGCTCCGCCACCAGGGCTTCGCCGACGAGAACATCTCCACCGAGACCTTCCTCAACCTCCGCTACGACGGCACCGACACCGCTCTCATGGTCAAACGCGACGAGGATGGCGGCGCCGCCGATATCGCCGCCGAGTTTGTGGGTCTGTTCGAGAAGGAGTACGGATTCCGGCTGGAGGAGGAGAGGAGGATCCTCATCTGCGACGTGAGGGCCCGAGGAGTCGGTGCCACCACCATCCTTAAGCCCCGGCAGCTCCCCCCCAACCCTAACCCTAACCCCAACCCTAAACCAGAGGCCCGTTGCAGAGTCTACTTCTCCGGTGGGTGGCAGGAGACACCACTGTTCAAGCTCGAGGCCATGGCCGCCGGCGACCAGGTGCAAGGCCCGGCGATCATCATGAACGGGAACAGCACCGTGGTCGTGGAGCCCGGTTGCCGGGCGAGCATCACCAAGTACGGCAACATCAGGATCGAGGTGGGCGGCGACGCCATGGCTCCGCCTGAAGAGCACGGCTCCGCCGCCGCCGCGGAGGAGGTGGTGCAGGTGGCGATCTTCAACCACAGGTTCATGGGGATAGCGGAGCAGATGGGGAGGACGCTGCAGAGGACCTCCATCTCCACCAACATCAAGGAGCGGCTCGACTTCTCGTGCGCCATCTTCGGCCCCGAGGGCGGGCTGGTGGCGAACGCTCCCCACGTTCCCGTCCACCTCGGCTCCATGTCCGCCGCCGTCCGCTGGCAGCTCCGCCACTGGGGCGGCGACCTCGCCGCCGGTGACGTCCTCCTCACCAACCACCCCGCCGCCGGCGGCACCCACCTCCCCGACATCACCGTCATCACCCCCGTCTTCAACAACAGCGACGATGGCACTGGCGGCGCCGCTGGCGACGGCGGCGGAGAGATCCTGTTCTTCGTGGCCAGCAGGGGTCACCACGCGGACATCGGCGGCATCACCCCTGGTAGCATGCCGCCGTCCTCCAAGTTTCTCTGGGAAGAAGGCGCCGCCATAAAGAGCTTAAAGCTGGTCGAGAAGGGCATCTTCAGAGAGCACGCCATCACCGAACTCCTCTGCCACCCTTCCGCCTCCGCCGTCTCCGGCGAGAAGGTCCCCGGCGCGCGGCGGCTGGAGGACAACCTGTCAGATCTCCGAGCTCAGGTGGCGGCGAACCAGAGAGGGATCGCGCTCATCAGAGAGCTCATCGACCAGTACGGCATCCGCACTGTTCAGACGTACATGACGCTGGTACAGGTCAACGCAGAGGCGGCGGTGAGGGAGATGCTGAAGGCGGTCGCTGCCAAGCTCGGCGGCGGCGCCGCGGCTAACGCCGCCGTGACGGTGGAGGAGGAGGACTTCATGGACGACGGCTCCGCCATCCGACTGAAGCTCACCGTTGACCCGGCGGAGGGGTCGGCGATCTTTGACTTCAGTGGGACCACCGAGGAGGTCTACGGCAACTGGAACGCCCCCGAGGCGGTGACGACGGCGGCGGTGATCTACTCCCTCCGGTGCCTGGTCAACGCCGACATCCCCCTCAACCAGGGCTGCCTCTCCCCGGTCAAGATCCTCATCCCCGCTGGATCTTTCCTCTCCCCGAGCGAGAAGGCGGCTGTGGTTGGCGGCAACGTGCTGACTTCTCAGAGGGTCACCGACGTTGTGCTGGCGGCGCTGAGGGCCTGCGCGTGCTCCCAGGGCTGCATGAACAACCTCACCTTCGGGGACGACTCCTTCGGGTACTACGAGACCATCGGCGGCGGGGCCGGCGCCGGCCCGGGATGGGGCGGCGCCGCCGGCGTACAGTGCCACATGACCAACACGAGGATCACGGACCCGGAGATCTTGGAGCAGCGGTACCCGGTGGTGCTCCGAAGATTCGGGGTGAGGGAGGGGAGCGGCGGCGGTGGGAGGTTCAGGGGAGGCGACGGCCTGGTGAGGGAGATGGAGTTCCGGCGGCGGGTCGTGGTCAGCATACTGTCGGAGAGGAGGGTCCACGCTCCCAGAGGATTAGAGGGCGGCCGCGACGGCGCACGCGGGGTCAACGTGCTGGTGAGGAAGGACGGCCGTCGGCTGTACCTCGGAGGGAAGAACACGGTGGAGGTGGAGCCCGGTGACGTACTCCTTATCCTCACCCCCGGCGGCGGGGGATGGGGCCCTCCACCCCCTCCAAATGCTGCTGCTGCGGCTAATGCCTCTTAATTAGTAAGGTTCTTCTTCCTCTCGGGTTTCCCCCAACCAGTTTTTTCTATTGCGAAATAAAATCCTTCTTTATCAAATAAAATTCAGATGAGCTCCTTCTCCCTTCTTCCCGCTTTTCTTAATTTCAATGGCTGCTTGAAGAAGAAGAAACCCTAGCAAAGCAGAAGAAGAAGAAGAAACCCTAGCAGAAGCAGCAGAAGAAGAAACCCTAGCCGAAGGAAGAAGAAGAAAAGATGCGGATTTCTCGTCCCAATACCTCTAGAAAAGAGTCTTCAATTCAAGTAAGTACCAAAATGCGGATTCTACACAATTAAGCCCCCTATGATACCCTTAGATCTTCATTGGATCGCGAAAATAAGCTAAGCATTCGATTATTTAGTCTACAGCTTGAACCGACCGTTGACTTGGGCAAATTATATAAAGTCAACGTGTGACCCCATTTAATTGCGTTGACAAAATGAGCATCACGTTTAGTTACTAATAATCTTATAACCCTCCACACCTAAGAACCCAAGGTGCTATGATGGATTTGCTTGTCTTTTAAAGGAGGATTGAAGTTACTTCTTGAGTGATGAGTCGATACGAAATGTCGTGTCAACCATAGCAAGTGATTTGAAAAGTGAACGTGGTACCCGTTTAATAGCGTCAACAACGTGGTACCTAACGTATTCTAATGGATTTGATTTCCATTTTTATCCAGGAAGGTAAAATTTCCTTCTTCTGTGATGAGTCATAATGTCAGATGGCACACATTCGACCATAGTTTGTGCCAACCATGGTAAGTGGAATTAAATAGAGCTGTTAATAGGCCCTAACAGGGTTGAAACTTGGACCATTAAGAGCAACCCACATTGAAACCCCCCCTCTTCCGGAGAGTTGGGAGAGAAGTCGATAGGATGGGCACGTGGCAATAAAGAAAGACTTTGACTTCCGGGTTGGAACCACACGCACCAGAAACATGAGAAGATCAGAGATGTGGCCTCTTTTGAATGAGCCACACCCGTTGAGAGAAAACCCTAGAGAAGATGATCATAAGAAAGCTCCAGGGATTTAAAGGGAAAAAGAAAGAAAAAAAAAATCCAGCCTGATCAATCCAAAACCGAAGAACTTACCTCAAATCTGCATGCAAGCAAACAAACGAAAAAAAATTCTAAATCCAGCCACTGTTTCCACGAGAACCAAGCAATTGGTCAACCCAAAACCAAAGAATTTACCTCAAATCTGCAAGACCCTGATCCCTGAATGCATCACAGAGAGAGGAAGAAGTGGCAATTGGTGAAGATTTCCCCCCTTTCGATTCCCTTCAGAGATCTTTTCCACGCTCAAGAAGATCTCAAACGCATAGGTATAGAACAAAAAGTACCTCGTAGGGCAGATCTCTGCAGATTTGACTCCGAGGCCCTCTGAATCACTGGAAATCGGAGCCCCTGCTCTCGAGATCCACTCGAAATCTTTCTTGAACCTCAAATCTGCACATCCTCAGAAGAAAAAAAAATTGAAAAAAGTGCGCCATTTAAAACATGAACTGCTCATTAGAAATCTCAGTTCACTTAAGAGGATCACAGCAGAGTTCTGGGCATTGTGAAGAAACAATTTTGAGGAAATGTGCCCTCCATCCATCCCCCTTGCCACTTGTCACACAGAAACTGGTAACTCTTACTATTTCTAGACGTATACAGCATCTAGGGAACCAAATTGAAGCCAAAAATAATGTGCCACAAATAGTAAATTTGCATGCTTAAATCCTGGTTTAAGAAAGATTCTAGTCATTTGGACAAGTGAATGAGAATCCATTTATATCCAACATATGCAAGGCCATGATGTTATGAGAATGAATCGAGAGTTCTTCAGAGCATGAACAACCTCAGGGATCAATGCCACAACTTCCACAGAGAACATGAAAACAGAGACGGTGGACAGGACAGGCCCTAGCATGATGTTGTGCCATCCCCATCAACAGATTGAAGCTCTGGGCAAGACTGCAAGAGAATGGAGAGGACCTCCTTTCCTAGAGAAGATACAAAAGATCTGACATGACATCAGAGGAAGAGAGAAGGTGAAGTAGATACAAACTGCTCCTCTCCACAGTCTCACCACCAACTGATCGCGGGCACTGGCCGAGAGGTGACAATCAGGGGGACGCCAGAAAGAATGAAGACGATGAAGCAGGGGAGACCTACGAGTGAAGGCCTGCCTTGTCCGGCAATCCAGTAAATACCACTCTGCGACTGGTCTTGCTGATCGATGAATCTGTGAAAACCCAAACAGAATAAAATGTAAACAACCGCCTTGAAGAAGAAAAACGAAAAATAAGAACCATAAATTGGTGGGTCAGAAGCTAAAGCTCGGTAGGAAACGAGCACAGAGCATTTCAGTGACCAAGCAAATGACCAGAAGGAAAACCCATGCATACAACAGCCGGAATGGGAGTTTGACGGCCTTGACCAATTTAGATGGGATAGCTTCTGCGAATTGCATTCTAATGAAGAAATGGTGATCGCCGGAGATGGGCAAGAAGCTTCACCTTGCTTCCTTGGAGGTGTTCGAGCGACCACCCCAGTCTCTGCGGCGACTTTTCGTACGGCTCTGTTGCTGTCTACTGTCAACTTGCCCTTGGAAGCTTGAACGATCCCAATTTTTCCGGGGATCATCGGGCTACCTTTGTTCTCCAGGTCGGGGGCGGCGGAGGGATTGCTCGGAAGAGGCGCTTTCCCAGCTTCGCCCATGGTGATGGCCAGCACCGGTGACTGCTGCGCCAAGGGAGTCGGATCTTGTAGCCCCATCCACCGATCTCTGTCCCTATTCTGCATATTCTTCGGGGATACCTTGGAGGACATGGCCCTGTCCAGGTTCGCCGACGTCTTACCCTGAGATTCCGGCATCGCCGGCCCTGAAGAGAGTTCCTCAGGCCTCCTCTGATCCCTCTCGCTCTTCCCCGCCATGAGGACCTTCTCGAGCATCTCCTTCGCCTTCTTCCTCGCGACGACGGCGTCCTTTGCTTTCCTGTCCGCCGCACTTCGGGCAACGGCAACCGCCTTGTGCATTGACGCAGACGCCAGCCGCGCCGCCGCCAAGAGAACCTTTGCGGACTCAAGGTCCATCCTCCGCTTCCCCTGTCCATCCACCGGCAGGCTCTCCTCTCCGGCGTCCGCATCCGAGGTCCGGATCTTCTTGCTCGGCGAAGCAGAGACATCCCCTTCGCTGTCGCAGTCGAGAGGGAAGTACGAGTAGCCATTGGGGTTGGCGCAACTGGGGCAGACGTAGCTGGCGGCGTTCTCGGCCTCCGAGAGGCACGCGGTGTGGCACACAGAGGTGCAGCTCACGCAGTGCACCACGGCCAGCGGCGGCTGCTGCTGCTGAGAGGACCGTCCACAGGAGGCGTCGATCAGGTCGAAACACTTGGGGCAGAAGGATCCCGGATGGCTGCGAAGCACGCAAGAGGTGCAGAGGCGGCACAGGTTGCTCCGGTACCGGACATGGTGGACAGGCCATGGGTTACGGGAAACGCAGCCCTCTCCGCCGCAGCCAGCGGCACTCATTTCCCGCCCATAGAACTGGTACTGCGTCTGATCCCGCTTCGTCCCCGCAGACGCTACCGAAGCCGTCGTCATCGTCGATGTCGTCGTCCCCGTGGCTGCCGCCATGGCCCCCGCTACATCGACAAGATACACCAAGAGATCGAGATCGGAACTCCCTCAAACCCTAGAAACCAGAACAGGTCCCCCGGGAGGTGATATTCCTTCAAAGAAGCCGGCTGGTGGGGGTGGCTTTGACGTCTGGGAGGGCAACGAGGGATCGATTCCTCGGAGCTCGAGGCTATGGAGGGCGTCGGCTGTCTTGATTTCCCTCCCGAAGGTTTCACCTTCTCTCCCTCGAAACCCTAATTTTCCCTCCCTCCCCCCTTCTTCCTCCCCCCCTTCGTATTTGATCGTCTTCTTCCTCCACCCGACGCCCCTCATTAGGGTTTCCCGTTCCCATACCCGAAACCCAAACCCGAATCCGATATTTGCCAAACTCTGCGCGATGACGCAAGCTGGCCCGTGATCCACGTGGACCAATGGGGAGGCCTCAGTGGGCCACCGTCGGGCCTGAACGGCCGCTCCGCCGCATCCCCGCCGGTGCAACGGCGGCCGAGAACTTCTCCGGAAGTTAAATGACCCAGAATTCGTTGAGGATGAAGATCGAATGATTTTTTAATGGGGATTGGATCAGATTATGCAAACCAAAAGGGATTTTTTTGCTTTGAGTCCGCCACTAAAACCGGAATCTGCCTTTTTCGGAAGCTCGCCGGGGATGGTAGTTCCCTCCGATGAAATCGCCCCTGAATCCTCCGATCGCCATGGCCGGAGCTGACCCCCCCACCCCCTACAAATACCCAGTCCCCAGCCGCAGCCTCCTCATCCCTCCGTCAAGAGAGAGAAAGAGAGAAAAATCTAGCGAGAGAGAGAGAGAGGGAAGGAGAGTTCAGAGAGACGGACTGGAGGCCCGCAATGGCTTCCAGAGTTTGCCTTCTGTTGCTGTTACTCTTCGTTTCCGGCGGCGATGGCGCTGCGCAGCCGCCGGCGGGGGCGGCGGCGCAGTTCAACGTGAAGGCCTTCGGCGCGGTGGCCGACGGCGAAACAGACGACTCGAAGGTGAGATCTGGTTTGATTCCAATAACCCCCCCCCCCCCCGAAACTATGCTTTGATTCATCGATTTAGCATGGTTTTTTGTGGGTAAAAAAATAAAAATGATAGTCTTCTTCCTCGGGACAAAGGCCTTCCTGGCGGCGTGGGCGGCGGCGTGCGAGCAGGCAGGAGGATCGAAGATGGTGATCCCTAATGGGACCTTCTTCCTCTACCCTGTGGACTTCTCAGGACCCTGCAATGGCCCGGTCGCGGTGGAGATGGAGGGGACGGTGGCGGCGCCGCCGGATCTCCACTCTTTCCCCGCCGACAAGGACGAATGGATCGCCTTCAACCACGTCGACCGCCTCCTCCTCGCCGGCGGCGGCACCTTGGACGGCCGCGGCGGCGCCACCTGGGACTGCGTCAGAGCCAAGAACTGCCCCCGCAGGGCCCCCCACGTAATCACAAACCAGAAATGATTTCTTCCATGGCGTTTTTTCCCTTGGGAGATGAAAATCGACGATCTTTTTCTGTGGGCAGTCGGTGAGCTTCAACTACTTGAGCAACTCGACGGTGGAGAAGATCAGATCGATAAACAGCAAGCAGTTCCACCTCCATGTCTTCGCCTGCAACAACCTGACACTGCGGGGGCTGGAGATAACGGCGCCGGCGGAGAGCCCGAACACGGACGGCGTCCACATCGGAGACTCTGCCGGAGTGAAGATCGCCGACAGCGTCATCGGCACCGGCGACGACTGCGTCTCCATCGGCGGCGGAAACAGCGGAGTCGTCGTCTCCGGCGTGGTCTGCGGGCCGGGGCACGGATTCAGCGTGGGGAGCTTGGGAGGTTCTGCCGGTGACGAGGCGGTCGCCGGAGTTACAGTGATGGGCTCCAACCTCACGAGGACAGATAATGGAGTGAGGATCAAGACCTGGGAGAGGCCCTACGCACTGTCAGCTGCCAACCTCGTCTTCCAGGACATCACCATGAGCGAGGTCAGGAATCCCATCATCATTGATCAGCACTACTGCCCGGAGAAGAACTGCGAACACAAGGTAGCAACGTCATCTTCGTCATCTTCGTCATCTTCTTCTTCTTCTAGGGTTTCTTCTTCTTGTTGTTACCTCCTTCTGGATGCAGACTCCGTCCGAAGTGAAGATCAGCAACGTGAGGTTTCAGAACATCAGTGGGTCCTCGTCCACGAAGGTCGCCATTAATCTCTCCTGCAGCGAGGCCGAGCCCTGTGAGGACATCCAGCTGATCGACATCAACCTCGTTTACGTCAATCGGAAGGAGAATGTGGTCTCCTCATGCTCTAACGTTCGAGGACGGACCAAAGGCACCGTGATCCCCGCTTCTTGTCTATGACCTCTCTCTCTCTCTCTCTCTCTCCCTCTCTCTCTTCAACGATTCAAGATAGGACGACGTCATTTGTTAGAGACTGGACGAAAGTTTTGCTCTGAATTCTCCTGTATTTTATGTTATACCTTTCTCAATGACAAGGTTGATGTTGTTTCGGTATTCTTGACTAGTAATATTTATTGGCGAGCATTGATTCTACACTTTGATCATTACAAGTATTAGCTGAATAAATAATGTTAATATTCTACGTTTTTCATGGTTAAGCAAGGGATCACGGTAGTAAAAATATATAATATTTTATTTAAAACAACTTGGAAAATGCACACAATTGATGACCATGTTTGTCTTAATCTATGCTTAATCATCTTCAATTGAGCATGTAATCGTGGTAGTTCATGATAAAGTGTAAATTATCATAAATATATAAAAATATATATGTTTATATATTTTACTTCATTTAGTTAAATTTGGTGGAGATTTTTATTCCCAGAAGATCCGCCCTTATTACCCTTATAAAAACAATTCGATTGAAATGATTTTAATGCCAATATAATGTTGGCCGGCCTAGCTTTGCATTTTATCCGGATTTTTTTTCCTCAATAAGATAATAATTACGTGAATATGAATAATTAATTTTAAACAGATAAACGGTCAACGTAAAAGTCAAATAAGTGATATTTCACTATAAAAAAAAAAAAGTGGTGCATAAAAGCAAATCGTGTCTATTAATCACACCCAGTACGCTTTTATTTCCCAAAATATGCATAAACTAGAATAAAATATACTGTTGAAAATATGATGATAAATTAAAAATTCAAACTACTTATGTTTCAGCATTGGATTATCCTAAATTAAAAATTTTCATTGAAACTAAAAATCCTATTTAACGGAATTAAATATTCAAATTTGGTTGTAAACCATTTTTTCACTTTTATTTCCCATAATATTCATATATTAGAGTGTAGTATATTACTGAAAATTTGATGGTAAATTAAAATTCAAAGGAATTACATTTCAGCATTGGATTGTCGTAGATTAAAAAATAAAAAATGAAATTAAAACTGGTATTTAAGTAAATGGAATATCCAATCATCACGCATTAATTTGAGTCCTTCAAGAATTCTCATTAATTGAAGTAATTAATATTTTACGTTGTGGTTGTCAATGTGAAGAAACAAAAATATCAAGGAAAATAAATAACTGATTGATTCATCAAATTCAAGGAGCAGATGGTTACTTCGATCACCACGTTGGTGATGCATACATATCCACGGACTGGCGAGAGAACCGATTCCATGGAACCCACTCCATGCATGCAACGTTTATGTACGTAAGACGAGTATGGAAACCTTGTTCTTATTGCCCTCATCTCTTTCTCTCTCTCTCATCTTGATCCTTCTCTCTCATCTCGATCTTTCATCTCTCTGTGTGTCTCTCTATCCTCCAAACCCGATCCTCGCCTCGTTTCAGCGGCGGCGTTGGCGGCGGAGGGATGGGTCCTCAGCGGCGGAACCCTAGAATGTAGGGAGCGCCGGTGTAGCGGATCCAGCGATCTCCCTGGATGAAGCTGCCGACGGTGAACTGGGCCGCCTCCTTCCGGCCGATGACCCTGAACCCCGGCCAGTCAACCCTCCCGGCTGTGGCGGCGCCGGCGCCTCTATTCCCGTATTCTGCATAATACAGCGTCTTCAGGGCGAAGTCGCCGGCCCACGGCAGCCACCCCTCCTTCCTGATGAAGTCCCCGATCGTTGACTCCATGATCACCGTCCTCGAGTACTCCTTCCACGGCCTTCCAAGATAGCTGGGGATCTTGAATCGCAGAGGAACGAGCTTCCTCTCCGGCACAATCCTGCAGTTGTGGATGACCAATCCGGTGGTCTCCCTCCGATCGGTGCGGCCATGGGCGGTGATGGTGTTTTGCTGGTTGTCCAGAGGGCGGCGGACGATGATCAGGCAGTTCTGCAAGACGGTGGCGGAGTCGCCGAAGATGAAGTCAACGGTGCCGGAGACGACGCAGTTCCGGTAGAACTGGCGGTGGGTCTGCGCGTAGAGCGTGTCCTGGTAGCCGTCCATCCTGCAGTTGAAGAACGCCGCCATGTCCGACTGCACCCTCAGCGCCACCGCCTGGTGCTTCTCCGGCCCCGCCGTGTTCCTGAACCCCATTGACTTCGCCACAAACCCGTTCCCTATCGCCGCTGCACCAGATTAAAAGATAGTGGGATGTTAGAGAGAAAGAGAGTGTTTAGAGAGAGAGGGATTAGAGAGATGTTAGAGAGAGAGGAGGGACCGAAGGTGGCGGTTTGGAAGGTGGGGGTGCCGTCGACGAAGTTCTTGTGCCCGGAGACGATGGAGCGGCGGGAACCGTCGCCGTACATGAAGACGTTGACCATGCTTTTGGTGACGATGACGTTCTCCTGGTAGACGCCGGCTTTGACGTAGATGACATAGCGCCCACGGTGGTCCTTGGGGATGGCGGCGAGGGCGGCGTTGATGGTCTTGAAGTCGCCACTGCCGTCCTTCGCCACAACCGCGTTCGGCCGGGCAGCGCCCCTGTTGACCGCCGCCAGCAGCCGGCGGTCCCCTGCGGAGAACCATTCCGGGAAGGCGGCGCCGCCTTCGGCGAGGAGGCGCCTCTGCATCTTGGGTATCATCCCGGAGAGTTGGAGACCCTCCAGGCTCTGCAGGGTAGCGGCGACCTCGGTGACGATAGCGAGGGCGTTGCTGGTCAACGCGGCGGCGTCGGCGATGATCTTCTCCACTTGGGCCTTCAGCTCCGGGTGGTCAACCCCGTCGAGGCAGGTCTGCTGGTAGGATATGACGGCGCTGAGCCAGGTCTTCACGTCGTCGGACCTCGCCGTCAGGTTCCCACCGGCGGAGAGGTCAACGCCGGAGAAGATGTCCTGCAGCTCGTCGACGGCGTCCTGGAGCAGCTGCTTGCAGTCCGCCAGCGCCGCCTTCTGCCTCCCGTCAACGGTGCCGTTGACCACGCCGGCGGCCTGTTCCGCCGCGGTCCGAGAGGCCTCGAGGGTGACCTGAACCGCCGCCTTCACCATCTCCTTGATACTCACTGCGGTGCCGTTACCGCCGAGGGCGGCGCGGAGGCTCTTCTCGCACTCGTTCCGGTAGTCCGTGACGGCGCACATTGCCTCGATGCTCTTCGACGTCGTCGCGGCGGCGATTCCGCCGCTGCCGTCGCCGGCGGGGCCGCTGGGGACGGCGAAGTCGTCGCCGACCTTCCGGTGGGACCACATCACGGCGGCGACGACCCCCACGACGACCGCCACCACCGCCACCAGCGTGAGGCCGAAGACGGCGATCTTCTTCCCCGCTCCCATCCTGAACACGAAGAAGAAGAAGAAGAAGAAGATGGAGCCCCCCCTCAAGAGAAACCCAGGAAGGGGAGTGAGGGTGGATGGAAGGGGGATCCTCCCTGGCTATATACCAGAGGCGATATCTTCTTCTTTCTCTCTCTGTCTCCTCCACCGTAGACTATTACCAGCCAAACGTTCACAACCGTGGTCCTCCTCTCCCCGGGTCGTCCATGGTCGCCGGCCTCCCATGCCCCCTTTGCTATTTTAAGCACGACCGGTGTGCCCCTCTCTCTGTCTCTCTATCTCTCTCTTTAGCTACCTCTCTGTTGCACCGGCCGGGGGAAGAAGATAAAGTCAAAGAGTCGTCATGTTCCGAAAAGAGGTATCTTGCCAAATATGGCGATTTCATCCGTCAAAGTCAACGAATGAGTCAGCGGTCGTCAAGAAGACCCTTATTGGGCCTACTTGGATCCTCCTCTACGTCTCAACGTCAAAGGGCCCTCCGTCACGAAGACCCTTATTGGGCCTCCGAAGAACACCACCACCATCACAAACATGGAAAATGTCATACATTCGATGATCTGGGATTAAAGGTAAACATATACAAATATATATGCACACATGCATATAAAGTCAACGGTGATATTGGATTCAGGACCAATATTTCTATACAAATGGACTAAAAGAGGGGCGAAAAACTGGAGATCAGAGAAGATTCCTCTCTCTTCCAAGGGCCCAAGAGGAGGTCATGGCGATAAATATCTGAGAAAATTAGGCAAAAACTATATGAATGAATAAATAAATAAATGCCCATTAAGCCATATATATATATATATATATATTACATGAACCGGCGGGCATTTGAGCGGGGAGAGATGGACCAGGCGGACGATTCATGGCAATGGTTCTTGGGAATCTCCCGGGCGAGACAGATGGAGGTAGGCGTCGGTTCCTGCCACAGGGAGAGACGGATTGGAACCTTGGTTTTAGCAGATGTATCTGATGAATTATGAATATTAATCATCAATATAAGCACAAGTTAGTGACGAAACTTTGGAGAAATTATGTGTATTTATGGAAGCTGATGCTGGGCTAGTTCATAATATTTCATCAAACCCATTTCAGAAAGCCTAGTGAAAATGAGAATAGCTATGGAAAATATTTCACTATGAATTTATATAAATAATAAATATCAGATTTACCATGGGAGTCATGCAATAATTAAATGGAAAAATTAAGACAGAATATAGAGGGAAGAACTGGGAGTCTATTTATAGCAAAGATCTACGCACCATATCCTTCCATGGAGATAATCTGAAGATCACCGCCAAAATACCGCGCATAGAGACGACTAATGGGAAGCCCGTATCCATATCCAGCCATGGTAACCCCGTTGTTCACCTTGTTATGGTACTCATACTGGGGAGCTTCTGCCGTACTATAAAGATATGTGAACAGCTTAGAAAGGCCGCTTCTCGGTATGCCACCGCCCTCGTCTGAAATCTGCATGTGAACAGAAATTATGACCATAACAAGAAAATAAAAATAAAAATCTAGGAGCTGATTTTAATTTTTCTATTTTTTCGACTAATTACTCGCAGAAATATCGGTTACCTTGATTGTGACATCCTCCTCGCCGTCGGCTACTATGATCCTAACTGGAGGCGCATCTCTGTCAGAATTCACGTATCGTTCCTGAACTGCGCGCAGGGAGTTCTTGACTAGTTCAAACATCATGAGGTGCAGGTGTGAAGCCACGTAACTGATACACAAAAAAACAGGGTCAAATCATACATAATTTTTTTAATATTCAATATTAAAATTTATTAAAGTAATTTAAATTTTCCCAAGTTAAATGGCTTCTTGAAGGATTACGAATTGAACAGATTGGAATGTTAATTTGTTTCAATCTCAAAGTTTTTATTAAATAATTATTTTTCAAAACCTAGAGAGAGAGAGAGAGAAACTTAACGGGAAGGTGAAATTGGGATCTCCATAGATATTAACATCAGGAGCATCGCCATATGCCCGCATGCAGACAGCACGTGCATCCTCACTGGCTATCTGAGCCACATGAATAGGCGACATCTTGGAGTTGATTTGGCCAACGCAGCCGGGTTCTGCGTCTGAATCATGCAGAGCAACATGCTGCCCTGTATTTTTATAACCCCCCCCCCCGCAACAAAAAAGGAAATATTTCAACAAAATCCCATCGAAATTTTCCATAAAAGGAAAGAACACGCAGAAAAAAAAGAGGAAAATTGGTGAAGAACTAACCGATAAGCATGCGGATCCCAATTCTTGACAAGTAAAAGCGATCGAGGAAATTCTGGATTTCCTCCAGGTCACTGGATGCAGCCTTCGGTCTCAAGTCTTTCTTCAGCTGCTGAACGCCTAAAGCCATTGTAGGCACCACGTCCTTGTGTCTGACCATGATCATCCCAATCATGTCTGTGAAAGCTAACTCGTCGCTGGCATCTCTGATATCTGGGAAGGACCGAAGATCGCGGAAGGAGTCCAAGTACCAGTCCCTCACCTTGAAACAAGAGAGACAGAATGAACAGATATAAGAAAAGGCTGTCCCAATTCAATTAGTTCGATTCTGATCTCCTGCAGTTTTCGATCATCGCTAATCGATCCAAATTCAGAAGATTATATAACCGATATGGTACTTTAATTGTATGAAAAAAATTCCTGAGAATCATGCGCATAGGCCTGCACGATCCCCTTTGCAAGGGAAAAGCTGAAATTCCATCGCCGGGAGATTCGGCCAAAGGAGAGCATCAGATTGCTGTCCGACACAGTACTCCTCGCAGAGATGCTGAGAGACGGAAACCTCCGAAAAAAGATCAGTCTCGAAGAAATGCGTTCAAAATGTTTAGTCCGATCCAAAAAAATCCGTATGTGTGACTATAAAAAGAGGGTTAAAATCTATGAAAACCCCTTCCAAGAGGTTCAAACCGACAGAAAACGAAGACCGAGAACAGAAATGCTGGTGAAACCCCGAGCGAACGGAAACTCCGCTCCCCTAAATTCCCACGCCGGCAAGGAAATCCACATGCAAGGGAACCGAGAAAAGGAAAGGGGAAACGTAGAACCAGAAGATCACAGGCGAATGCAGCGTCAACCACCTTGAGGACGGCGTGCTTGTCGGAGAGACCGAAGGGGAGATCATCGAGCTCGACGACCCTGCGCGCAATCCGGATCGGAAGCTCCTTGTGCAGGAACTGCGCGGACTGCATCAGCTTCCGCTCCGTCGGGTGGGATCCGAACTCCATCATGTGGCGGAGCCCCACACCTGTCTGCTTCATCCCCCCCCACCGCTGCACCTCCTCCAGTAGCACCCTCCCCACCCCCTCCGTCGCCCTCCTCACCGCCATCATCGCTCTCTACTGCTCTCTTTCC